TTTGAATTGTAGTGACAACGTATTCAAAATGATCGAAACTTGTCTTTATACCTTTAGTAATATCATATAGTTGCTTACCATTAAGAGAAGAGTTTTTATGGATATGTTTCCGGATCTTTGGCCTAATAGTTTCATAAGATCATGTATAAATTTTGATATCATATGACCATATAACACACATTAATAATCTTTAACAGATGCCTTTACACCGGTTTTATGTTATTATGAAAGCAAAGAAGAACATTCGATACATCATCATACAACGAACAATATATTCATAGGCACGCATGCATGTCTACCACCTTTAACTATATAGAGTGAACTTACATTTTTTAACATTTCTACAGAACAAAGTAACTCGAGACAACGAAACTACAGAGGCGTGAGGCAAAGACCATGGGGAAAATGGGCGGCGGAGATCCGTGACCCGAACAAAGCAGCTCGTGTGTGGCTTGGAACATTCGACACTGCTGAAGAAGCTGCATTAGCATATGATAAAGCTGCATTTGAGTTTAGAGGTCACAAGGCGAAGCTTAACTTCCCCGAGCACATTCTTATCAACTCTACTCATCATCGCCATACATCAACCACTACTACTACTTCCCATGATCGGACTATCGTAACGCCACCTCCACCAGTTGCTCCTGACATACTTCTTGATCAATACGGCCAGTTTCAAACTGGATTAAATAGCGATACCTGTGCCAACTTATCCATGACTATGTCGCCTTCTTCTTCTTCGTTGAGTCATCGAGGGCATAGACCAAAACTGGAGGATGGTGAGAACGTGAAGAACATTGGTATTCACAAACGAAGAAAATAGCATATCAATGAAAATGACTAACGCATTGACCGTCCGGCTTTGACTTCTGTATGCATGGAAAACAAGTTTTTGGGACCTGAGTATGCAAAAGGGGACTATGAAGAAGATTTGGAAGATAATTAAAGAAAGATGTCTCTGACACGTTCTAATCGGTCAAGACAAGCATAGATGATGGAGACAGAGACCACAACACGCCCTGATCAGTTCAGCAGCCGCACTTGTTCGACCGATCTCTAATGAGAAGCTGAAAAAGATAAAAAAAAAAATCATGTATGTGTTGAAAATACCTCAGAATTGTGAGGTGAAATTCTTCAACCAAAACAAGTTTGATGAGCAAGGAATAACAAGGAATAAAAGTTGATATTAAGAAGTCTTGTGAGTTTAGTGTAGACTTGTAGTTAACGTCTTTGAAACCTAACAAGGAATAATCGAAGAATAAACTCTGATATATTTATAACAAGGAATCCAGTGGAAAAAAAAAATGAACAACAAATATTTACAAAAACAATATGCATCCATCTAAAATCTCAATGGATGTTTGAATACTAATATCGGTAAGTAACAAACAAACATACTCAAGAACACAACTTGTTCAACCCTGTAACACTCTCTAACTTGGCTCAATGATCTCACAAAGTAATGTAACCTTTACTTCAGGGGTAACCATCAAGCACGCCTTTGAGAAGGTTTAACCCTTCCGCAGATATGCTCCGCCTCACACGAGACTGCACTCGGATCTCTATCCTCTGTGGAGGATCAGGAGAGAAGCAAACAACAATCACAGTCAAATTGTCACATGTATTCCGTTTAAGAGCCTCCCTCACAAGCTCTCTAGAGCATCTCTCTGGATCATTATGAATCATCAGCTCCTTCCTAGCGATTGTCACAGCGCACTGACTGCTCATCACATCCCACAGACCGTCACATCCCATTATCAAGAACTCATCGTCTTCGCTCAGGTCAGTCTCTTGCAACTCTGGCTCAGGGCTTAGTGGACAAGCAGAGCCTTTGGGACCTTTCATGTGCCAGTCCCCAATAGCACGTGCCACTGATAGTTGCCCGTTGAGGTAGCCATCGTACACAACTCCACCTAACTTCTCTATCCTCACTCTCTCGGTCGTGCAGTTCGGTTTGTGGTCTCTGGACAACTCTATTGCTCTGCCTCTTCTCCCCAACACTGCTCGGCAATCACCAGCATTTGCAATTATCAACCTCCTGTCAAAGAAAGAAACTTGTCATTGATGATATTACAGTTGATGACATACATAACTTCCTACCTAAATTCATAAACATGAATGTTAAATGCGCCTTACCTTCCAAAAATAAAAGCTGTAAGCGCAGTGGTCCCAGAAGAGATGTCAAGAGAAGAGTCGTCTGCGAACTCGTAATCAGCTTTCAAGAAAGCATTCTTGATTGCCTTCTTTACACATAGTGGGAAGTAGGAGTCCTCTACAATGAATCTCAGTATGTTCTTCCTAACAAACACTGCTGCATCTGTGCCACCATGACCATCAAAGACCTGCCAAAGCACATATCAACAATTTAAAACGAAGAATCAGGTTTATGTGCTTCTTTGAAGAAGATTTGAAGATATGCTTACCCCATAGAAGGCTCCAGGAGATGAGAATTCAAGAGCAGCACCAAGATGCTCAACAAGATCATCAATGCAAATGTGTTCATCTTCCATGAACTGTTTTGGTCCTCGTTCAGCACAACTCCCTGATCGGTAAACAGGCACAAACTCCGGATTTTCATTCGGTGACTTCATGACCAAATTACAAACATCCAAATCCTGCACAAAGACAGAAACGAATCACATCATTTCAGATCCCATTACACACAAAAAAAAAAAAAAAAAACAAAATCCACAAAATAGTGAGTCAAACAAATTACCTGCAGCCTACTACTAGTGCTTGTGAACTGTTGCATTGCAGAGAGATGCCTCGGAGGTTTTCCTCTACTTGTTTGCTTAGTCTCATCCTCTAAAGTATCCATCTCTGATGTAGAAACACTGTCCGTGTTGAAATCCCCCTCTCGAACCGTTACCAATGGTGAAAAATCCATACCAGCAATCATATAAATCTAGCCAGCAATCCAGAAATACTCTCTCTCTCTTGTTTTTTGATGCTATCCAGAGACTTGCTTTTGTTCCCACTAGATCTTCGATCAACAAAGACCAACCTTACAAAGTATCAGACTTTATGAGAAAACAAACTTCACCCAAAGAGCTTGAGACGGACCCACTTGGAAACTTGGAAACTACAGAGACTTTCTATCAATTTCAGTGCCAAAGAAATGATTTTGATTAATACCCAAATCAGTAGATCCTTGATTTCGATCAAATCCAGTAATCACCACACCAACTATCCAAGCTTCTACAACTTTGATTAAGCACCCTAATCAAGCGAGTCAAGAACCAGATATTCGAGATCGCAATCGGTTATCCAGAGATAACAACCAAAACCCAAATTTTGAATTATCCTCTGTTTCAACAAACCCAAAGCTCAAAAATTTCAGAAATCCAGACGAATTCAGCTCTTAGACTAACCCCAACAGTTGATGAGAAAAGGAAATCTCGAAGCAGATAGAGAATTTCAGGAAAAATAAAGAAATTGCAACAAAAAACAAAAAAGCTCTGAGATTTCTCACAGATGACAATGATGATCCTTCTTACTTCCCCTCCTTTTTTTCTCTCGATGCCGTTAGATCCTCTTGAAGAAAATTAGCGAAAACCCAGAAAAAGTTATGGCGTTAACAAAAGAAGAGAATTGACGAAAGACAATTTCAGAAAAACCTTTCTAATTTCGTGAGAGAGAAATGAGAATGATAGATAGAGAGAGAGAAGAACCTTTGTCTCGTTTGGTATTTGGTTGGCCACCGGCGATTCCAGGTAATTGCTTCGATCGTCTATCTGTCAAACCGGAGATCTCCTACCGACACGTGTCAACAATCAATGGCTACGCATTACTTTGACCGGGTGGTACCGCTACCCAGTCCCAGCCGTTAGATCGCCAAGATAGAAAATCGACGGTTAAGATCTCCACCACGCAATCTCCTTTTTGTCTTTTCCAAATGCCGAAGGGTTAGTTATTTAATTAAAAAAAAAGACTTAGCGGCGTCGGATTCCCGCCATCCGCGTGTCGATATTTTATTGGCTGTATATAATGTTGCGGCTATGTTTAACTATCGGGACATTTGTTTCCGGTTTGGGATGGAACTTAACCAAAACCGGTAGAAAACCACCCAAATTATGAACACGAGCACGACAATGTGTTTTTATGATTTGATTTCTACAGAAATGATGGTATTAAGTTAGCTAATGTTGTTAGTGATTGGACATGACATTGACTGAATAAGCATATTAGTTTTGCAATTATTATTTTACAGACTTTTATTGCAATTAAAAGGACAAACCGCTAATGATTAAAAATAGAAACTTTGATCCATAAGACTAAACAGCCAATGGTAGTTCCACAGATGATATATGTACTTGAATGGTCTATTTGATTGTTGAGATATTTATCTGTCCTTTCTATTGCAAATCAGATTGGGATTGATATTAATTTGTTCATTGTCACTTTCAAGAGCTTAATTAAAATGTTGCTTATAACATTTAATTTTCCTAGATTCCTAAGAAGTTTTTTATTCTAAACGAACGCTTCAGGTTTAGGAAGATGCTTGTTGCTATAAGTGTTTTAACTTCAATAACGTTATCAAATGTGGATTCTTGGTACTTCTGCAAATACACCACACAAAGTTACAAACTAATGGCATGTTTTTAAATTGCTAGTTGTTGTGGAATTGACTTTTCTGTTTATTAACGTTTTTCTAATCTGCTAGAAATCAGTCGGTCATCACAAATTGTGCTAAAAAATATTTTACCATTCAAACTCTAGAAAATTGTTCAACAGTGGGAACATATTTACTCTTTACCAACTGTATTTGTGGCGAATTTTGTCCTCTTAAAGTATATATAATGTGGGTCTTAATTAATGTTGTAAGATCCAAAACCACACCCAAGACTTAACATCTGTTTATTGATTAGATTGGATCGTAACAGTGGATAAAAGGAGAGAAATTAAAACAAGTCATTTATCACAAAGCATCAAATAAATCACAGTGGAAAGTAACTAAAACAGAAAGCAATAGAAAACATTTTGCTTTGTGATTAATGAGTGATTCATTTCATTTCTTTGCTTGCTGATTAGCGGAATCTACGACGGAGGCAGGAGCACTGCCGGAGAGGGTAGGTGCGTCGGTTGTGCCACCGCCTTGGCCAGGCTTAACATCTTGGTGACCGGTAGTTCCATAAGCATTCTTCTTGTAATCTTCTATATCCTCATACTTTGTGTACGGACTGGTTTCTAGTGGCAACTCATTTTTCTCTGGATTCTTCGACATATCTCTTGAATTTCAGGTTATTTTGTTTCCTTCTTCTGTGAAGAGAATAATATATTTGTGGAAAAAAAGTGTAAAACACTTATGGGAGACGTAAATAAATGTTGTCCAAAGAAATTGCACAAAAATGGCCATGGAATTAGGGAGTGTTTTGACTAGTTAATTTCGTCATTATCTATTTACTTTACGGTAAAGGTAATTTCGCTAAATGTAACTTATGGTTGACAAATTAATTGAAAAAAGAAGCCTAATCTCAATTTCCCTCTATTTCAAAGTTCTATAATCTCGATCACGCATTTGTCTAAAAATGGTAACTTAGAGAACTGCATTTAGTAGGGCCATTTAGTAACACACTTCAACACGTAATTTTATAAAAAAGTAAAACTGCATTTTTTAACGCAATACGTTTGTTCCATTTAAAAAACATTTGACGTGTCTTTCACTCGGTGATCTTGGTACTGTCCATTTATGAGTACGATACAAGCAATCTTGCTAAACCTGATATATATGTCATGTGTTTTGTATAATGTCACTTGGTAGGCTGGTCCAATATTGGGCTAATTTTGATACAACAAGTAATTACATAAAATATAAATGATTAAAACCTATAATATAAAAAGAAAAATTTGTGGGTAAGCCGGTTAAGTGAATGTACTGTCTTCACCGGTCTAGTTTTTAGGGATCTAAGAGGTCACCAGGTTTACGAGGCTGATCTCCTTCCTTAACATCAACACTAGCCGTAATGTTTGCCGGAGTTGCAGACTCAATATCACCGCCGACTTTAGGTCGGAAATTAGGCGTCGGTGTCGTCGTCTCACCCTTTTTCTTTGCTTTGTTATGCCATTGCTTTAATGCCTTTGACGTTTGATCATCAAACACCGATCGCTTCATCGTTGATCCCATCTGAAAAAATAAAACATTTACTCTCTTAAAGTTATTTAAATGCTAAACCAAACTCTAAAAAAAAGCAGAATAATAACGTATAAAACTTTGACATGCCTGAGTCACGAGAGCGTAAAGTGGAAGTGTGATGTAACTGCATAGAAATTGTACTCCAACCCTGCATTAACTAGCTCAGTTATGGTACATTCCAAAAACAGAGTTTCTTGTAGCTCAAGAAAACCTAAAAAGGATCTTGCAGCTCAAGAAACCTAAAAAAGGGTCTTGTTTAATGAACACATGACTCACCCGAGAGCAACCCGTATGATTATAAGGGCGAAATGGTGATGAAAACAGGATCTTAACCCGAACTCATACTGCAACAATGGAAGCAGAGAGTGAGAGAACTAACTAGAGATCATGTGGAAAAGAGAGCTATGTGTATATTCTTAACTTACCCATATCCAGAAGAAGTAGGTGATCTCAAAGGCATTCTGAAGAATCAAGTAAGCTCATTAGAACATAAATGAACAATGAAGTAGGCTCATTTCTATAAGCGTTGAAATATGTACCTGGAAGAGAATGAAGTGAATGATATGGAGGACTAATTGGGGACGACTAAACCAAAAATGTCGGTCAGAGACATTGACAAGTGGCATCCCTTGTATCACTGCGTGTCTCTCTTGAATCTCCAACGCCATGTCTGAGATGATGGCCTGAAGCTTGGTTCCTATCGCTAATGTCAACTTCAAACCAAACACAATTAGTCTGTTTCTTCATAAACTTGCTCTTTCAACGGAAGCAAAGGCTATAAGGTAGATTGAGTCACTTACAACTGGAGGAATCATGGTGATCACAGCAGTAACATACCACCCTAAAACGGTAATACCAAAACATTTAGATTCTAAGCTCTGTATGTTGAAGAATATTATAATTTATAACAACTGATATTAATAAAGAAAGACTCACCGTGAACATCAACTAGTAAAAAGATCATTACAAAGGCCCATAGCTCTGGTCTGCATCACCATAATAATTGTAAAAATTGAAATCGGAAAACGATGACTTGTAGTGTAAGAAAAAGAAAAGGAAGTGTTAAGATATTTCTGAGTTACCTGATTCCCACTACTACCTTGAAGTCATCTTCTAATGACCTTTTGATGTATTTTTGGAAATTAAACTTCATCCCTGGTGCCAAATGGACCTTAAAAACAGAAAAAATTTGGAAACAAGTTTCAAAAGAAGTTTTCCACAGAAATTCAAGATTGGTTTTGCATAAATTTCGAAGAAACTTACACTAATGAACCCATGACGCATCGTCAAGTAATCAGATTTTCTGACAGATCTTATCATCTGGTGAAAGAAACACATCTGCAAAAAGAGTAACAAGAAGAATGCTCCCTTAGTTTACATAGACAGAAACAAGAGATGAAATCAAGAAACACAAAAACAAAACAAGATCTACAAAACCATACAACGTAGAAGGAGAATCTATTTTTGACCCAAGGATTGACATGCTCTCGAACAAATGATGTCTCATGTGTGAGCCTAAACCTTGCAGGGTCTGTGTAAAATTCCTCAAACAAACAACAAATCAGTTTTCTGTTTTTTTTTTTTTTTTTTAATTTCAATGTGAATTGACATAAACACAAAACTAACCGTTCATCATTTCATGGTCATTTACAACCTCTTCCTCCCATACTTTCCATCCACGAATCTACAGCAAGTATAAAATATTAGAGAATAATATTGGGAAGTTGGAAGGAAAAATAGTATATAATTAAGGAACATAGGTCAGTCCACTCATTGCCGGTTTTGAGTTGGAACCCCATGTAACTTAACAGAAAATCAATTAGCGACCCAATCAAATCTAACTAAAAATTGTATATATACCTTTGCTCTTCCAAGCATCATAGTGATAGCACTGTAAATGACATGAAACACAGCCAAGAAGAAGATGAAAATATGCACTTGATGCAACGCGTTGAGTGATATAAGCGGTACATAGCCCTGCAACAACAACAACAATTTCAACATTTGTCTTATTAAGCAAATAGACTAGAGCGAGAGAGAGAAAAAAAAGAGAGGAAAAGATCACTGTGACCTTCTTGCACTTAGCAGGAGCAGCATCAGCCAAAATACGTCGTTGAAAGGAGAGAAGATGTCTGTCGATGTGTTCGGTGGTCTTTGGATTTTTAGCGTGACCACTGGGACCCTCGTTCGGACTACAGAAGGACATTGCGCCACCGTATTTCTCCGGAATGCATATGCTCGCTATGTAGTTTTGCCCGAACGTTAGTAGCAGAGATATAAATCCCAAAACCATCAGCTCTGCCCAAAAAAAAAAAAAAAAAAAAAAAAGGTTTCATTTCCGAGTTTTTTTAATAACACAAATCCAAAAAAAAAATTAGAATTATTTTCAGATTATTTTGGTACCGTTTTTGATCTTTTGAAGAGCTTCGTACAATGCTTTCTTCCTTTTTCTCTCGAACAACTGCGTTAAACAATCCATGTGAGTGATGCGCAAAAAAAATGTTGAGGAGTTTCACTGAGTTTTGGTTTTTTTTTCTTACCGTTCCGATTTTGTGAATCATTAGCTCTAGGACAATAGATATTAAGATGATAACGCCACAAACAGTGGAGACGGCCCATGTCGGGGTTTGATCGAGCTCTCTCGGGCCTTCGCCGACGCCGCCTCCTCCTCCTCCTCCTCCAGCCATTTTTCTTTAAACGGAATCTGTTAGGTTACTCTTATTTGGATTTTACGATCATCTATTTTTGTCTTCTACGGCTAAGAAACGGCGGAAAAATGCAGTCACGGTGGAAGATGTCTCCGTCGTGGTGCGTGAAATAAAATACTCCGGGAGACAGATTCCGGTGATGGAGACTTTTTTTATTTTCTTTTTAGTTTTTTTTTATTTATTTTTTGGTTTTTTGTTTTGGAAAATTTTGCTCTGGTCGTAGGTTCTAATGGTTTTGTTTAAATCGGAAATGTAGGGAGATTAACGACTTGGCGGGATTTATGGGAAAAAATTCGAATAATTTGGAGTAAATTAAAAAATAATCTAAGCAGAGAAAATAACAAAAATATAAACGCCGTTGCCGGGGATCGAACCCGGGTCACCCGCGTGACAGGCGGGAATACTTACCACTATACTACAACGACTTTGGTGCTCTAATGAAAAATGAATAATTGAATATTAAAACTAATTCAAATACACTCGAATTTTCTAACAGAAAGGAAACGGATGTTATTTATTACAAGCCAAAAGATGAATCTATGGGCCTGATTGGTTGTGGCTGTGGCTTTAGATTTTTGGCTGTAGAGTTTAGGCTGTAGGTTTTAGTGCTGTGGCTTTAGTTTTTAGTGCTCTAAGATTTTTTTTTTGTAGATTGTGTATTAAATGAAATATTAAAACAAAAAAAAGAAGATATAGAAATAAGAGATTAAAAAAAGAATATAGACAAAATAATAAGGAAAGAGAAGAGAGAGAATTTAGAGAGCACTAAATTTAGTGCTATAGAAAAATTGCTTTCCACAGCTACGGAACTTCCATAAATAAATAAAATTGCTCTATGTTTCAAAAATGGAAAGAGATAAAATGAGAGCATGATTGGTAATTTTGGAGTGCTGTAGAGAGATATAGAGCTGTGGAGAGCAACCACAGCTCCCACCAATCATCCCCTATGACTCTGGGGAACATTGAAGAAAAGAAAGAAATAAAACTTAAAGCTAACCCAGACAAAGTTTGGTCAGCTACAAAGAACATTGAAGAAAAGAAAGAAATAAAACTTAAAAGCTAACCCAAAAAAGTTTGGTCAGCTACAAATGTCTTCTACTAGAATTTATTAGATAAATGACTACTCAATAGGCTCAAGATCAGTAGGCGTGAGCTCCGGGATGATGCTGTATGCCCTCACATGACTGATGAAACCAAGGGGAGGGTGTGTTCGGAGAGAAGCCAACTCTCGATTAGTAGCAAGACAGCGACGACCACGTCCAAAAGTTACCAACTCTATTCCTGGACCCTGAGCAGCTTCTGGATCCCAACTCTCATCGCTTGAAGCCATGTTTGCTCTAGTCGGAGCAGCAACAACAACAGCATTAATGCTTCCTTCCTCGTTTGATGCTGTTGGGTTGGTGTGATCTATGGTACGGCCACTAGACTCGGCAGTGTTGTTGCTTTGTTGAGTAGTGCTTCCGGGAGTGCTTACACCGCTTGCATGGCTGCTGGGGATGTGAGGGTTGTGCTGGGGGATAACTGGACGAAGCACCGATGAGGAGGCACGTGCTTTCGCAACTGCTTCATACACTTGCTTTGGGTCGAGTGTAGCCAGCGTCCATGGACTGATCTTTACTTGTCGACGCGGTGGTGCAGCTCCAGTCTCCAAATGATGCTGGATAACATCTTCTTCCTCGATAACATCGTCCTGGTTTGGATCTGTGCACAAGGAGGCACCAGGGTAAGCCATGCTCTCTCCGAGAGAGCTTCTTCCACTCGCAACTGGGCTTAGAGGTGAAGGTGGCTGAGTAATCTGTTCTTGGTCATCATCTATAGACGAAGCAGGTGGTTCGTTTTGTGCTCTCACGGCAACAAAATAGTCGTATGTTGTCATTCCCTGCAGCAACAAAAGTGACAAACATAATGTTTGTTTGTTAGTAGAGAGTAGAGAGATTCAGCAAAAAATAGGAAAAAAAAATGAAATATATACACAAAAGTCAAAACCTTTTTGATCAAAATAAGATGGAAGATGAAAAGCTCTCCAACAGCTAGTAAAGCCACGAGCGAGAGAGTTGTACAAGCAATCTGCAAAATGAGAAAGCAAGTTAACGTTGGAAACTAAGCATTGACTAAAGACAGAGAACAAAACCGGTATTGTGTTTTGATGAGAGAATCTTATTACCACAACAGTGGCGAATACAGGAAAAGGCAATCCAAGATATTCATCAATAAGGTGTCTCATTTCCTTTTTGTGCACAAAACATCGAACCGTCACAGCAACACCAACTCCGGATTCAACTAAAAGCTGTAGTCATATTTTGCAAGTTCATAAATGTATATCTTGATGAGATAAAACGGCAGCAGAATCAAACCTTAAAGTACAAAACTTTATTAAAAAACATACCCAAAAGACGCTCACGGTTATAAGGCACATAAAGCTGGTGTAGTTTTTCTTCCCCACACAGTTATTCAACCACTAAGGCAAAAAACAGATATCAGTTATAATGCTAAGCCAAAGAGAAGAACAAAAACAAAAACTACATTTTCAAATCGCATACCCGGCAATGATGATCAAACTCGTCAACACACTTGTCACATGTTCGACAATGCCTGCTGTATCCACGCACCTTCAAGTAAAAAACAAACGTGATGGTTACTTTAGAAGATGCAAATGACAAGCAGCAAATATAATTACTATTATACCTTGGCATCGCAAACTGAGCAAAGCAAAGAGTCCTCATCTGGTTGGGCATCTCCACGGCAATCTGGTACTACTACACAACCACAAAGGAATCTTCCAACAGCACTGAAGAAACCGGAGCTGTGTCTCCTAACTGGCTCAGCAATAATATCTGTGTCAGCTGCAAACAAAAACATCGTTACAAGAAAGAATGTAACTGAATTATCTAGCTAGCCCTTGATCTTATCTTACACAACATGTACACAGAAACATGAGTACGTAGGATACTTACTGATGTCCTGTGACTTATCGTCTGGCATGTCATCATCTGCCACATAGATTCCAGAATCTGCAGGATCTATGCCAGCGCATCGGATGTACAGAACGAAAACCCAAGTCGCCTGTATCACGCAAACAAGAGACATATAACAAAATAAATTATGGCATTTAATTAAGAGCATTGTAGATAACACAAAGGTTCGTTTTTGTTTCGTACCAAGAATGAGTAAACAGCAAAGGCGATCTCTTCATAGAGTTCCTTCCAGAGAAACGGAGCAAAGAAGCCATAGTTTGCCACAGTGAGGATGACAAATATGGCCATAGCGATCACCTGCACATCAACGCGATCATACAGATCATGTTATACAAACGAGTGACCACTAAGAAATTCCCCATCAGACACATGAAAAATATACACATATACATCTAATCAAATGTGTATGCTTCTAGTTGAAATAAAAACACATAAATCAGCGGTAAAACAAAAAAAAAAACAAAAAAAAAAAAAAAAAAAAAAAAGAACAGGTTTTGGAACTGAGTACAACCACAACAAAGTATTTCCTCCACATACCAACAAAACATGTCAATTTAGCGAGATTAGAAAAAGAACAAACGTTTTAACGTCATTTTCATGGGGATTAGAAAAAGAACAAACTTTTTAATGTCATTTTCATGGGGATTAGAGAGAACAAACTTTTTAATGTCATTTTCATGGGGATTAGAAAAAGAAAAAACATTTTTTTTATGTGACAGTATGCAGATTACGACAGGAATTTCACAATCGGTCAAACCAAAGTCAAAACAACAACTGATACTCAAGTCAAGCATGGATATTTAAAAGAGTGAAATAATTCAAAACCTGAAACGCGTGAATAGGAAGCTGCCATCCATGTCTTCTCTCCATGTCTGTGCAAAAAGAAACACAAAACCCTTAGATGATTATCTCAGAGAAACCGACAAAACTGTAAATCACACGTAAAGGAGAAACCGAAAATTGAGCAGCTAGAACAGTAACATCATTTGAAAACATTAGAAGGAGAGCATGACGTGAGTTTATTAGTCGCACTTACTTCAGTCGAGCAGTGAAGGTTTCAGGACTTGAAGAGGTTTCAGTGGTTGCCTCGGGGGAATCGTAACAAGCTGATAGAGAATAAGACTTGAGAAAAGAAAATGACTGGATAATGACTGGATTAGAGGCTACTTAAACAAAAAGGTTATCCCCTTTTAACATTAAATTACATATTTGTCCCATACACAAATAATAATATTCTTAATTTTTTAATATTTCAAAACTGCACAAGAACTTTTGTAGAAAAAAATCTAAGCATATGGAAAAGAATCTTTAAATATTTGCTAATTAATGCAAGTTCATGTTTAACGGCCAAAAAAACACCAGGCGCCAGCCTTTATTTTTTTGTCACAATGCAAATGATTAGAATTATAGGATAACCACAAAAGGAGTTTCCATTTGGAGGTAACTTAGCAGAATATGCAAAATCTTATCTCCGAAAATATCAAGTGGTAGAGAAGAGAACATGAAAGCCTTAATTCAAACAAAAAAATGGTAGAGAAGATTCGAGAATATGATGGTGCTATATTGACTCCATGTCTTATAACTATCAAATTATACATGTAATTTGCTAATGTTTTATCTAATCTCTAACTACAAAAAAAAAAAGAGAGTCCAAAACCTCAAAAATAACAATAGACTAAAATGAGAGTTAAGCTAAAAACGTTGTGGTGTTTAAGGAAAAGTCAAACAGGGAAATAAAAAGTCGAACGCCGTGTCGTTTTCTCATCGCCGGTCAAACTTGGGCGTGTAGACTGTGGAGAGAGAGAGAGAGAGAGAGAGAGAGAGAGAGAGATATGCATTTGAGCGAGAACGAAGGCGTCGAAGGCAACACCTTCGTGGTGACCGGAGGTCTTGGCTTCGTCGGAGCCGCCCTCTGCTTGGAGCTCGTTCGCCGTGGTGCTCGCCAAGTCCGCTCATTCGACCTCCGCGATTCCTCTCCTTGGTCCGATGAGCTCAGAAACAGTGGCGTTCGCTGCATCCGAGGTTCCCTTTGCCTCTTCCCAGATTCGCTTCAATTAATTACCTTCCGCTTTGATCTCGAATCTCTAGATGATAATCGTATGATTGATTAGTGTTAGATTAGATTCACACTATAAGGAACATTGTAAATGTCAGATTCGTATAGAGCAATTAGAGTGATGATGTTTTTGGAATGTTGATTAGGAGATGTGACTCGGAAAGAAGATGTGGAGAAGGCTATAGATGGAGCGGACTGTGTTCTGCATCTCGCTTCCTATGGAATGTCAGGGAAAGAGATGCTCCAGTTCGGGCGCTGCGACGAGGTTAACATAAACGGGACCTGTAACGTCTTGGAAGCTGTGTTCAAGCACGAGATCACAAGGCTCGTCTACGTCAGCACCTACAACGTCGTCTTCGGTGGTAAAGAGATTCGTAACGGCAATGAAGCTCTGCCTTACTTCCCTCTTGATGATCACGTCGACGCCTATGGTCGAAGCAAATCCATCGCTGAACAGTTGGTCCTCAAGAGTAACGGCAAACCATTCAAGTAAGTTCTTGATTCGTTGAAGATTCGTTCAAGAAGCATAATTTAACCTTACTCACTGCTTGTGCTTGTGATGTAGGAATGGTGGGAAGAAGTTGTACACGTGTGCGATCCGTCCTGCTGCTATATACGGACCTGGGGAAGACAGGCATCTTCCGAGGATTGTTAACCTAGCGAAGCTTGGTTTGCTGCTGTTCAAAACCGGTGAACCGGGTGTCAAAACCGACTGGATTTACGTTGAGAATCTTGTGCTGGCAATCATCCTGGCAAGTATGGGACTCTTGGACGACATTCCCGGTAGAGAAGGAGTCCCCGTCGCTGCTGGTCAACCATATTTTGTCTCTGATGGTAAAACCCATTTAACCTTGAAAACTTGCTTCCTGTAATCAAAGCTGAATGGTGTCGATGATGTTGTAGGTTCACCGGTGAATACCTTTGAGTTTCTACGTCCTTTACTAAGAAGTTTAGACTATGAGCTGCCCAAGTTTACGATATCTGTACCATTTGCGTTGACCTTGGGGAAGATCTTCCAAGGTGTCTACACTGTGTTATATCCATGGCTGTCAAAGAGCTGGTTACCACAGCCACTTATTCTTCCTGCTGAGGTCTACAAGGTAAAACAGTTTTCTCAACTCTTTATTCTGAGACTGCAAATCCAACTTGTGATGAATATCTGGCGATCTTGTGTAGGTTGGTGTTACTCATTATTTCTCGTATCTCAAAGCTAAGGAAGAGCTTGGGTATGTTCCATTCAAGAGCTCCAAGGAGGGTATGGCTGCAACTATCTCCTACTGGCAAGAGAGGAAACGGAGATCTTTAGACGGTCCAACCATATTTACTTGGTTAGCTGCTGTGGGAGGAATGTTAGCTCTTTTTGCAGCTGGGTGGTTACCTGACGTAGGACCTGTGCCTTTCTTTAGAGCCCTAAGCCTCTTCGTCTTCCGGACGATGACGATTGTAAAGTTTGTCTTCATCGTTGCAGCGGTGTTACATGTTGGAGAAGGAATCTATGCTTGGTTTCTGGCTAAACGAGTCGACCCGGGAAATGCAATTGGGTGGTTCTGGCAAACCACCGCTCTTGGGTTTTTCTCATTGCGGTTTCTGTTGAAGAGAGCCAAAGACCACCAAGTTTAAACCAAAACAGTCTTTGTTTAGATTTTGTAACATCAGATTCAGAAACAAAATAAATGATCTATAAATCAGGATATTCCAATTTCTGAACAAATTAAGGTTCTGAAAAAACACAAACAGGTCAAAGTTATTAAATTCTTCTGTCTCCGCAAGCAATTAAGAAGCCTAAAATGACAATCATTCTAATAAATAGAGGTTGTTGGTTTTAAGATGAAACATATCATCATCAGTTTGGCTACTACTTCCAGGGCATGGAGAGGTTGGGGTTACTGAAAGGTCCTCCTCCGGTGCTCTGGTGAAGAGGGCTTCCATGTCCTCCGCAAGAGGATTCACTCATCGTGCCTCGAGACTGCGGGCTACCCGGATTCATCAGTCCTTGATTTGGGGCCACACGCGGTGGTGCTGCGGGAGGTGGTGATAGTTCCATTTGGCCAGTAGCACGTTGTTTCGGTTCCTTTGGCCCGTCTGGCATGAAACTTCCAACAACAATCTGTGATTTGAGAGAAAGCCAAAATGTTGTCCTTAACAATGTTCATGAATTTACCAAGATTTGTATTAGAAGAAGGCAGAAATAGACCTGAACAGGCGATGCTGCTATAAGAAGACCAGCTACAGAACCACCAAAGACATTACCATCAGGACCTGATAAGCACACGGTTAGACCTCCGGTCCTGCTTCTGTGACCATTATTCTCCACTTGATGAAACGAGCCAGACAAAGACAGAATCTCATATCTCCCCTGGTTTTTCAATGTGAAACAACTCACTTAGGGTTTAAGCTAAGCAGCAAAAGGTTAGAGACGAAGAAAATTTGCAAAAGCCCGGATATTGATACCTCATGTGTAACGGTTCCACCATATGTGGTTTGCTGGCGAAGAGTCACATTGGAGATGGAACCATTTGCAGACAGGACACACACATCACGTGGTCCATTCAGAGACAAAGCCATTATCTTTGATGCTACATCCTGTCCATATTGATCCGAACACCAGAATCATAAACATGTCAGATCTTTCCCCTAAACGGACACCAAAATGTGAATCGAAACCTATACATGTATTCACTAGAATAGCCCACACACAAAAACATTCATCTTTTGTCAGATAACAGATTCCTAGTCAACTTCAACATTCTTGTAAACAAATCCATCGAAATATTCAAACTTTAGTGTTAAAAAGAATAAAAGAAGATACCTCTCCAGTGTTCACGGTAAGTACATGAGGCGTAAATCCGGCTCCTGTCGAGCCTGCAATAACAAGAGTATATAGCAAAACCAGTTTCAAGCCACAAAAATTGCACTTTTAAGGAAACAAGAATTAAAGAACGATGATCTAAACAAAGCTCCCATAGTTACATTAAAGACAGTGAGGTGCCTAAAGCCACAAATGATCTCTCAAGACGATACGTTAAAGGGCATAAAAGTCATTTGTGATGGAATCTAATTCCAAGGGATTCTCATATCTCAAGGTCCATTGTTTACCATATTTCACCATTTTACTAAATTCTAAATTGATTATGTAGCCGACACAGAAGATCCAATCGCAGCACGTGAGAGACAAGATTCCAACACAAGAATGTCTGAATATATATATACATTACCTAAAGCTTCAAGCTTGTGCCTTTTCCTTGAACCAGAAGCTTGTCCTCTCACCCTCTTCTGTGTAGGAGAGGCTCCTTCACCGTCGCCGTCGCCACTAGGTTGGCTAACGGTGAACGAAGGAGCTCCGGGAACAAGACCAAGCGACATTCCGTCGCTGTCCGGTCCGTATTTCCTCGGTCTACCTCTCCTCTTCTTCACAGGCTCACTTCCGGTCACAGGCATGGGCATGTTCATGTTCAGGGAGGGAATTCCGGCGCCGGAAGAGTTTGGTTGGTACTGCTGCGGTGGTGGGGACGAGGCGGAGCTCATCGGCCTGTAGATAGCGGTTTCGTCGCCGCCGCCGAAGGACAATTGCATATTCTGAGACTGCTGCTGCGGCGGAGCTTGATTGTGTTGCTGCGGCGGCGGAGCTTGATTGAGTTGCTGGTGCTGGTGCTGGTGGAGACCCATCGGGAATGGCATTGATTCTCTGTTCGCCGGCATTAAACCCGGCTCAGATCCTGACATTTCCCTCACTTTTTGAAAAAGAAGAAACAGGGGAAAGAAAAAGAAACTGTTGTTAACAGAAGATTAACGACAAAACCCTAGTTTCCATTGAAGCTAAGAAGTGGAGATTGTAACATCTCCGAGGAGATAAAGTTTCGAGATTTTAGCCCTAACTCTAAGCAACTACACAGTGAGAAGAGAAAATCCAGTTTAAACTTCCAAGATTTAACAGTCTGCTTTCGAAAGGATTTTGAGATCTCTCAAAAGAAAAGAAAATTGAAAAACGGATCGCGCTTTAAGGTTTTCCGAATTTAGTGATTTGAGATATTAAAAAATAAGAAAATAAGAACTTGGCTTTTTAAATATTAAATTTTTACAGAAGAAAATTATTTCAGAGGGGAAAAAATAGAAAACTCAAGCAGAACATCTCGAATATACATTAAAAATTGAAAAAAAAAAAAAAAAAAAAAAAAAAAAAAGAGAAGAGGGTGAGAGAAAACTTACGATAACTAGGCGAGAACATTATTAAAGGGGAATATGCCCACTATCTTAAGGGTTTTCTATATATATATATTTATTTTTAAGACAAAAATCTGAATATTTGGATTGTTATGTCAACTCTTTAACTATTTCTAGTCAAAATTTCCTTTTTGGAAACAAAATAAAATTTTGTTTTTTGGAAACAAATTGAAAAAAAAAGGAGAAAAGATATATAGTATTTATAATTTGTTTTTATTTGGAGGATAATTATCTTCGACTATTATTATAATGCATCTTTTTTATAGATACGTTTACTACCATAAGTTAATATTCTAATGGTAGCTTCCATAAAAGTCAAATACCATCGTTATGTATTTGCTAGTTTGAAGAACTTTTATAAATTGCTTTCAGTATGAAAAACTAGATAAAGGAACTCTTCCTCTGAGATTGGACGTCGATAGGGATTGCTAACGGCAGCTACCAAACAATCTGTACAAGTCAAACCTCCTCTTTAAAATCTTTCTTCAAATTTCCCTCTAGCATGTTTTCATAAAGTACATATATGCTCGATAACAACATGTCAACATTATACGGTTGTCTTTCCATCCAATACTTATAAACACTTTCTATGATTTGAGTCTTTCCACTATCCTACAACTTGGAGATCGATTAGCCAATGTAAAAAGGCAATACATGGAAATGGAGTAACAAAGGAAAATATTTTGTAACGAGATTTGAGGCAGAATTTTGATACCCGGTCGGAGCTCTATCATCCATCGATCGACATCTCAAGAGAATAAATGGAAGAGTTTAAATGATGCACAAGGTTAAACATAATTACCTTATCATCCATGAGCCTATTGCTTTTGCTTTAAACTAGGTCATGCTTGCATTTCCCTCGGAAGAGTTCAATTGTTGGCAAGTGAGCAAAGCTATACAATTCCCTATTAACTACTGAAATCTTTATGATACCTTTCAGAACAGGGTGGCTTTTAACTCTTGTAGTCCTGTCACGTTATTTTAATATTTTCTTGCAGTGGTGCTGTGGTGTAAATATTCGTATTATTACAAATTATAAAACTCGATTTGGTTTAAGAAATTTTAATTTCGGTGACGTGCAGGTGCAACTCAGTTTGCTTCTATTTTTATACACAAGTCTTGCCAATTCGATTTCATCAAATACATTCTGTTACTAAGAATCTCAATTACAAAACAAGTCTTTCTTCTTCTCAACAGTTTCAAACTCAAAAGTGCCTTTCTAACTTCCAACACTCTCCACTCTATCTTCAGCTTTCCGGGCTCTTCTTGTGTGGAAGAAGACGTTTAATTGATCAGCGAAAAGCAGATTCTTCATCTCCTCCAGTTGATTCCGGCTTCTCTCCATTTCCAAATCCAATTTCTCGAAATGTACAATCCTATCTCGAATCTTCATCATCTGTTCAACCCAATTCAAGATTTGAGATTAACATAAACCATCCATACAAATCAAAACTTAACTGGAAGCAGAACATTACTATTACTTACCTCAACTTCTGCAATCTCTCTGATGGCTCCTTCTACCTCCTGCTCTTCCTTCTCAATCGCAGATTTCGCATCAACCCAAGCTCTAGTGGTTTCACCATTTATCTCTGTGTATCAGAAAAACAAAAGCGTCACTAACTATTGAGTTTGCTTGGGACAGAAACAGTCTGCAAAACGTTAGCTTTTGGTCCTTGATACCTTGTCCATTTGGATCTCCACCAGCAATTTTCTCAGCCTCGTCGTACTCTACATTAGATAAAGCTGTCACTGCAGCTCTAGCTGCTGCTTCTGCAACATTTGCCCCAGCCAAAGCTGAAAGAAAAGCAGCCTGGAGACACGACACAGATAGGGCATAACAATTTCAATGAAGCTCCACAAGGTAATTCTAAGCTTTAGGGTCTTTAAAAACACATCAAAGTTTCAATTTTTCATCAATGTTCAACACTTGACACAATAAAATAGTGAAATGGTCAAACCTGAGCCATGATTGGGTTACTAGCATCTGCAAGAGGCGTCAATCTCATCCGCTTATTAGGAGACGAACCGTCTTTAGCAGAGCCCTTGATCTGATCAAACGTCTCAAAACCATCCTCAGAGTCAGAGTCTTTCACAAACTGTTCCCCAAACGGAAGCTTGACAAACTGAGAAACACATTCCTTCTCGCTTCTACCAACAACATGCGGCGCAACCTTCTTCCAGTCGTCTCCATAGTGCATCACAGCTTCAAGAAGCTGTAGAGTTTCCTTCTCTGACCACACCGCCTTTGACTCATCAATAAGCTCGATCCTCTTAAACTCCGACGAGTTGATACCAATACGATAGTTACCACGAACATAGCACCTCGCACACAATGTTAACTCATACTGGAAAAAAAAGAGAATCATCATCATCATCAAAGTGACAAACTCAAGCTACAACTATTAGGGATTATCAAACCTTATCAGAGGCGAAACAAGCGATGCTGCAAACCGCCTTGCAGCCATTGCAGATTCTCTTGGCGGTTTCTTTGACCGGTGTAGGAGGCTCAGAGGCTGCATCTCCGGCGGATTTTCCGGCATCCTTTTCGTCCCACTTGAGCGGCTTAGCAGAGGCGGAGCTGGAGTAGTTGATAAGCCCCCATGAGTCGAGGAAGTCAAAGACGCGACGAATTGAGACTACATCGCTGACGAGAGTTCTCCGGACGTCGGTGAAGCTAATCTTCTGAGGATGGTCGTCTCTGTACTGCTTGATGATTGAATTCCTCAGGTAGAGGTAAAACTTAGGGTTTTTCGACGGAGATCTCGAATCGAAGAACTCCGGCAGGGACCTGACCTCGCATTCGTCGATGCCGGTCCACGAAAACCACCCTAAATCGGAGAAAATCCATAAGAAACAGTGAAGAAAAACAGAATTAATCAAAGAGTTCCTCGGCGTCGCAGACTTACGGGAGTAGCTTGGTATGTAGACACAATCGTTATCGGAAGAAGAAGGTGGCTGTTGAGACGACTGCGAAGACGCGGCGGCTGCAGACGAAGTTTCAGGCTTGACGGGAAGTGAGGGAGATATCTGGAGAATTTCCCCAGATCCGCCGGAAATTGGAGCTTTCGCGGCCATGACTCTGTTCAACTAACGCCAACTTCGCCGGAGAATTAAGGGAGAAAAAAAAAATAGTACAGTTACCGAGCGGTGAGAAACTTAAGAATCCGAGAGATGAACAGATTCGGGTCCGGGTCCTGATCCACGTAAAGTTCCGGGTCCGGTTTAACTTTTTGGTTCTTTCAAGATTTTTTTTTTTTTTTGTCATCTAAAATTTTATAAATGAGGTGAAACCGGTGCGAACACCAACCAAACAGGACATACCAAAGCTACTAAAGGAAAAAAACTCTCAGCCCAACACCAACAGGGCCTCTCTTAACCTTAACCAAAACCAAGGAGAAGAGGAAGAAAGAGGAGCTACAACAAACTAACAAAACCAACTTCCAAAAACTAACAAACCAGCTTCCAAAAAACAACACCTCACGCAGAGGGAAGAACTCTCTCACCGTCGAAGATCACGTTCAGCCACTTCGGATGACCACGAGCCACATAAGACTGCCACTGACTCTCATTGAGCGCACCTCGAGCTATGAGATAAGCCCCTCTGTTGGTGCATCTCACTTCCTGTTCTATTCTCCAACTCCCTAGCTTAGACAAAATATGATAAAGATCCGAAGTTTGTAACCTGAAAGATGGCCAAACAATCGGCCTAGACAAAGAACCAACCAAATCCGCATCTTCCGAGGCAAAAATCACTCTCTTCACACCATGACTGCACAGACTTTCCGCTGCCCACGATAAACTCAAAAAACTGCAATCCGACTTCGATTGAACCGAAACCCATGCTCTTCTACTATGTAACAACACCTTTCCCAACTCATCCCTCAGCACCCACGCCATGCCTCCCTCCTTCTTCGCTTCCGACCAATAACTACCAACATTGCACTTCAACCAAGGTTTCGGAGGAGGTCTCCATTTTTTTATACTCTTAACCCCGACTTCTGATCCTAGAGATCCATCTCCATCCACCAATTTCTGTGCTAGAAACCACATCTCCACTTCCTCTATGATTTTCCCAATGATTTGTTGTGCATCAAAGAATTTGTTATTAAATAAAAAGGTGTTCCTATTTTTCCAGATAAACCATAGAACCCATGAAAACCTCTTTTTGATATCTTTGTGCAACCTCTCATTCTCAGATTGACTCATCAGATGATAGACATTGGCATAAATCGAATCTCCAAACCTATTCTCTGGAACAGGAAAATCACTCATACCCCAAATTTGTCTTGAAATAGAACAAGTGAAGAGCAAATGATTTATCGATTCCCCAATCACTCCACAAGCTTGACAACAATTATCTACCATCATGCCTCTTTCAAGAAGTTACACCTCATAAAAAAATTCCATCCAATCTGAACATTTTAATTAATACACCTCATTTCTTATTTTGACACGTGGACTCACATATCGCGCGTCACGAATTTAAACATAACATCTGCTTAGCTTTAAAAAGGGTCTAAAAACTCACAAATTCAAGATGAAATATGTTTACAACACTTATTTATTGGGTAAAGAGAAAGAGCGCAAATTGGAACACAAACGAATCGAGACAAGAACATGACCAAATACTCTGTTTTGCTCTTCTTTCCAAGTTTTTCTCAGTCCACAATCTTTGCTTTCCGGTAGCTCTCCACCGAATCCACAAGCGTCTCCTCCAACGGCCGGAAACTCCAACCCAACTTCTGCAATTTCTCTGAACTCAACGTCGGTCTTTCTTCCAATTCAATGTATCTGCACCATTCCTAAGTTAATATATCTTGAATAAGCTTCAAAAAGGAGAGATGTGTTTGTTGTTTGCTTACCTCTTTGGGTACTTGTAATTTGGGTAAAGACTCTTTAGCTTCCCAACCACTTCTTGTTCTCTAATAGTGTGAGCTACGCATATGTATCTCCCTTCAGCTTCTGCTTTCTCATAAACCAGAAGTAAAGCTTGAGCCACATCACGCACATCTACAATAAGTCGCATTTGGTTCTCCCTCGTTTCAAATCCCTCTACACACACACACACACACACAAATCAAGACCCAAGATTCATCAACCTATACTGTATATGCAAAGTTTTGCTTATATACCTGTAAGAAGCTTGGCAAGAGCAAGGCTACTAGCATTTACAACGTGCTGCTGAAGTACAGGTCCAAAGACCATGGTGGGACAAACGCTGACGAGATCAATCCCGGTTCGTTTCGCAAACTCGAAAGCTTCACTCTCTGCCTGTGTCTTTGACAAACAATACCAATTCTGCCAGAGGGACTAGAATCAGTTTTTTGTTTTCAAAGATGAAATTTAACAAGTGAGAATCAGGAAGCATTAAAAACCTCAGTTTTTCTGCAATATTCCTGGTCAGACCAACAAGTCTCATCTAAAACTTGATTCTTTGACCAAATAGGGTTCAGCAGAAGCGCAGCTGCAGAGGAAACATACACCACACGCTTAACCTTTGCTTCAACGCATGCTTTGAGCACATTCAGCGTGCCATCCACAGCCGGTGCGATCACTTCCACCTGCAAAAAAAAAAACAGTGGAAATCGGAGTTAGTGAGACAATAATGTAAAGAGCTTTCAACAAATATATATAGACAAAATGAGAAATCCTCACCTCAGGATTTGGGACAGAAGATGATGGAACCGGGCTTGCGACATGGAAGACGCCAACACAACCTGAAATTGCGGATTGAAGAGACTCGTAGTCCAGCAAATCGGCCTTGACGAGCTTGAGTTTGTCCCCGGCTTTCTCGAGCTTCTTCAAATGACCATACTTTTCATTATCTATAAACAATGAATCAATGTGAAAACTCTTGATCAGAAAACAACGTTAGTCTAAGCAACAATGGGTCATAAAAGACGACGAACAAACAAAACTCAAAAGCTAAATCTGAGAAACTCAAAAAAAAAGCAAATATACGCGAATTTCCACTTAGCACACAGGCTTGAAGTTCCAGTTACACAAAAATGAGCTACGAATTCGGAATTTATAATATACCTCAGTTCCGATCAACTAGAGAGAGATTTGAGGAAATAAAAAAGAGAGGAGGCTCTCAAGTACCAGGGTCTCTGACAGTGCCATTGACGAGGTAATCCTTGGAGAGGAGAAGATCGACGACCCACGAAGCCAGAAAACCTCCGGCACCGGTTACACATACCCTTCCTTTCTCAACCACCGACATTTTCGATCTCCGAGAAAAGCAAAAAAAAATTATTCTTCTTAAAATGTTTCTTCAGTTTTCTTTCCTTTTCCAGGTTGTCTGGTGTTAAGTTTCAACCAGCTCAGTTTTTTCTTTCTTTGACTTTTTTTTTGTCCTCTTATCCATTTCTTCTTATCCTTTCCGAGGTGGGGTCTTATGGGCTTTACAGTTTTTTCCGGCCCATTGGATCTCTTGATGCTACGTGGAGAAATCACAGCCGTGGGATGTCAATCACAAACAAACACAGATTAATTGCTGAATTTGCCTACCACTAACCGTCTCAGCGAGACCGGTTTCGTTTTTCGCAGTGGGCATCAAGCAAAAATGAGAATCAAAACCAAATCGCTGCTTTGCTTTCCTTAATTCCACAAATCGAATCAAAGTCAAGCACACCTCCGAGAGAGAGAGAGAGAGAGAACCTTAGAACCAGTCGTATTGGGGGATAAATCGGCATCAATGGCTAGCAGCTGGATGGGGAACGTGAGGTCTTTCATCGGAAACTCCATGGGAGGTCTTAGAGGAGGACAGAATGTCGCTTCCTGGGCCGTCGCCGGAACAATCGCCTACTTTCTCTGGATTAAACCTGCTCAGGATCTCAAAAAGGAACAACGGGTACCAATTTCGACACTCAGATTTCACCATCCAAAGTCTCTTAATACGGTTATGGAATCTCTGATTTCGGTTTATTCTTCGGTTCGTGTCTATGGTTTGATTAGGATAGGGAACTTCTCGCAGTGGCGGATCCAAATCAATACGTGGAGAAGAGGAAACCAATCGCTGATCCTCAGGTAAAATTTCGAATATGCAATCATTTGCGATTTTTTCGTTTGTAATTAATGGTTTGTATGGCTATTTTGCAGGTTACTGGTTTGATCTATGGAAACAAGAATAGAAACGATAAACAACAAGATTAACTTTTCTGTAAGTTTTGAAAACATCTCGTTGTAAGTTAGCTTCTATAGTTTTTGTCCAGTTAAAGATCATGTATACACACTATAGTTGTGACTTACATACAACGAATAAAAAGATGGAAACTTTTTCTGGAAGGATTTGTGTATTGTGTGAGCTTGAGAATGATCTGAAACTGAATTTTTGACTCTCAACCTTCTTGTTCGATTTGAATTTCCTTATGTGAAAACGATGCTATTGGGGAACATATAACTTGGAGTTGAATCCTTGTTTACCATTTTAAAGTTGGTGAGATGCATGGACTTGTATCTTTTCAGGGTCGTTGCATATATTTCGTTTGGGGTTTAGTCTACCATGGTTGTGTTCTGCTACACAAGGATGGGAGATTGTTTCGCGTTATGTTTAGAAAGTATGTCTTGTTCTTTAGTTGGATTGCAACTTGAAACCTTGTCTTCCCGGGAAATGATCATCGTTTTAAAAAAATCATGTGATGCGACTTTGACAATGAACCTCTGTGTTTTGTTGAGTGTTATATTGAAGTTCTTTTGTGCGTGCAATGGAGACTCGTGTTAGGACCAATATGCTTTTTAGTGTCCTTATCCTTGGATTTTCAGTGAGTTGGTCTCATGGATTTTGTTTATTCTGCTTTGCGTTCTTGGATTGATTCATTTGGTGTGCCAAGTGCGAGCTACTTTCTTTTATCAGTCCTCCCCATACTTGCATTCGATTAGCTCAGTTTTTAACTTTGTATCCACAGGGGAACCGTATGTTGTAAGTTGCAAGTTTTTTGGTAAACCTTTAGGATCATGAGCGTAGACGAATTTGCTACAGAAAAAGACCACAACATGAAACGATCCTTTTAAAACAGGTGGTAGTTGGGAGGTGGAGACTCAAAAAATGTCTCTTTGTTTTTGAGAAAATTAATTACACGATACAGCAACAAACATGATCTAATCTAGAAGACTAGAACAGTTTAGTAGATACATTTTCAGTGTCACTTTATTCCACAGCTCATCTTGACTTTTGGATCAATACAAAGACTAAACCAATAGACAAGTTGCTTTTTACTAGCCCACGGTTTACGTGCTTACTATTTAAGAGAATAACAACACTTGGTAATTGAGTCTCTCAGTTTACATTTTCTTTGTTTTAAATTATTTAAAGAGGAGATAATAACACAATCGGCTTGATTAGTTGCAACTAGCAACTTCACCAAATCAGCACAATGGTCATAAACTTGCCGTCCGTGATGCTCTTAATTAGGCGACAAAAAAAGTAGCGGTAAATACAGAGAAGAGTGTAGATGAAAAATATGTTTCAAATATATTTTTGTGCTCTCTAATAAAAGGACACAGCGATAAGATTTGGCGAAATTGCGGTAAGAATTAAGGAAAGGTTGCTGTTTTTTTTTCAATTTATTTATTTTCTTTTGTAATTTGTACGCTGTGTACTTAAAAAAAAAAAGACTACTCCATATTGTATTTTTTTATTTTTATTTTTAACATCAAGACTACTCCATAATAGTCCATACTATTATTTCTAGATTGCGTGTGGTAAATAAGTATTTTATGAAGACGTATAGAATTTCTCCGCCATTTCATCAATTTTCATTTTGACAGATTGGAGCAATAAGAAACGCCATAAGAGTCAACACCAACGACGCGTCCCTTGACTGACAAAGTCGTCGCCGTCTCCTTTGCTCTATCTCCTCCTCTCTGTTAAAATCAGGAGAGCTTCTAAAAATGCTCTCACTAGAATAACTGAAGAAGAGTCCTTTGACAAATCAATCAACACACCACACATGGCTACGCGTACACTCCACACGCTCTCCATCTCCGCCTTGTTTATTCTCCTCCTCTTCGCCGCGTCGTCACCGGCAGATGCTCAGCAACCGTACGTCGACAACCGCCAGCTCGACTGTTTAAACCACAACTTCGACAACATAACCAACGGTTACACCTGTAACGGCCCAAGCTCTTGCCGCTCCTACCTCACCTTCTGGTCTCAGCCACCGTACAACACGGCCAACTCCATCGCCCGACTCCTCAACTCCTCCGCCACCGAAATCCAGTTAATCAACAACCTAACCACCGTAACCGCCACAATTCCCACCCGTCAATTGGTCACGGTCCCCGCCGATTGCTCCTGCTCCGGCGGATTTTACCAGCACAACGCCACTTACAGACTCTCCGGCGCAAGAGAGGAGACGTATTTCTCGGTGGCTAACGATACATACCAAGCTCTGTCCACGTGTCAAGCCATGATGTCACAGAACCCATACGGAGAGAAAAATCTAACCGCCGGTTTAAACCTCCTCGTCCCTCTCCGATGTGCTTGCCCAACCGAGAAACAAACCGCCGCCGGATTCAATTACCTATTGACCTACTTAGTCGCCAGGGGAGACAGCATCTCCGTCATCGCCGAAATGTTCAGAAGCACATCCGACGCCGTCACCGACGCTAACGAGCTCAATTCAACCAACATCTTCTACTTCACGCCGCTTTTAATTCCTCTCAGAACAGAACCGACCAAAATCGAGATATCTCCGTCGCCTCCTCCACCGGTTGCTACTCCGCCTCAGTCTCCGCCGGTGGATCCTCCGAATTCTTCTCGCAAATGGATTTTCGTCGGAATCGGAATCGGAGCTGGTTTGCTTCTCGTAATCTCAATCTTAGCTTTCTGCTTCTACAAACGGAGATCGAAACCGTCGTCGTTGTCGCCGACGGAACAAAACAAGCTCACCGATTCATCAACGAAACAATCTCTTCCCACAACAACAACAACCCAATGGTCAATCGATTTATCAAACTCCACAGAGACATTCGGCCTCAAATCCGCAATCGAATCCCTAACGCTCTACAGATTCCACGATCTCCAATCCGCGACCTCGAATTTCAGCGACGCAAACAGAATCAAAGGCTCCGTGTATCGCGCGACGATCAACGGAGACGACGCGGCGGTGAAAGTGATCAAAGGAGACGTCACATCCTCGGAGATCAATCTACTGAAGAAGCTAAACCATTCCAATATCATCCGTCTCTCCGGCTTCTGCATCCGCGAAGGAACGTCGTACCTCGTCTACGAGTACTCGGAGAACGGATCGGTTAGTGATTGGATTCACTCGCCGGAGAAGAAGAAAGCTCTGACGTGGAAACAGAGAGTTGAGATCGCTAGAGACGTAGCAGAAGCTCTAGACTACCTCCACAACTACGTAACACCACCGCATATCCACAAGAACTTGGAATCCACAAACGTACTTCTTGATGCTAACTTCAGAGCCAAGATCTCGAATTTCGGAGTTGCGAGGGTTCTTGACGAAGGCGATCTTGATCTTCAGTTGACGAGACACGTGGAAGGAAGACAAGGCTACTTAGCTCCGGAGTATGTGGAGAACGGAGTAATCACTCCGAAGCTGGACGTGTTTGCGTTTGGTGTTGTGGTGCTTGAGCTTCTTTCAGGGAAAGAAGCAGTGACGATAGAGAAGAAGGAGAAGGGAGGAGGAGAAGAAGTGGAGATGTTGTGTAAAGAGATAAACAATGTGCTTGGAGGAGAGAATGTTAGAGAGAAGCTAAAAGCATTCATGGATCCATCTCTAGGCGATGAGTATCCGTTGGAGCTTGCTTACACCATGGCTCAGTTAGCCAAGAGCTGCGTCGCAACTGATCTTAACTCGAGACCATATGTGGCTCAGGTTTTGACCACGCTCTTGATGATCGTCTCGTCGTCTCTCGATTGGGAGCCTTCTCATGACCTTCTACATGATTCGGGCTCTCTTGGTGACTAATACTTACTCTTTAGGTATTTAGATTTTAGATCAAATAAGTACCACTCTGTACAACAAAGATATGATTGAGAAACTTTGTTTACGTCTTTTGTGAGGATAACTTTCCCATTTTTGAATGAGTTATCAAATAAAATAGTAAGAGGAGAAACAAAACCAGAGTTATACAACTAAGAGTCTAAGACAATAACAACTATACCCACTGTACATAAATTGCTTAGCAGATATAATCCCATTTTAAGATGGAATTATGTTGAGAAACATATCTAAAGCAATACAAGAACACAAAAGTTTGTAACAGGCAAATATGAACTTTCATGTGAACCCAAGTCAAACCAGTAGCGACCAATGTTCCTTTTTCATGATATTATTTATGAAACACTAGAAAGTAGAAACAACCTAGGTCTTGACTTATTTGCTTATAATAATTAATACTTTCAGTATGGTTCCAAGTTCCAACAAGTCTTTATCATTGAATGAATTATTGAATGAATCAATGATTTATAAGATCGATTATTTAATTAAGTAGGATATACGAGAACTTTTTATATTTATCAAACCGGATTTGGTTTGACGTTTGAGTATGATGTTGTAGCTGTCGATTGTTTATTTTGTTGCGTTTGTATCCCCCCTTCTCCAGGTTGGTAACAGAACAGTCTTCCTAATGTAGAAAGCTATTCTAAGCGAGACCAAGACCAATGGGTTGATATCTTTCATGTTTGAACATTAATACTTTTTGTAATTTGGTGAGCAAAAGTTGATAACAAAATCAACAAAACTAATGGAAGCCAAAAATAAACCAAAATGGTTCGTATGCCCAAGGTCTAGTAACTCTGATTTCTATTAAGTTGGAGTACTGGATAACATGTAATTAAAAAAAACCCAAAAAAATATTGATAAAAGTTATTAATGAAATAGTAAAAGTCTAAAAGAGGACAAAACAAAGACGAAAAATGATACATGTAAACAGTAACAACTATACCCTTTATAGACAAAATGCTTATCAGTTATATCTCTGGTCATGAGAAATTTTCCACAACTTTCGTCCCGAGTTTTTCCTGCTCAAACGCTTTAATCGTCTTCACTAGCTTCTTCATGTTGTCGTCGTACACAAACGGAAGCTTCTTGTACAATGTCATCTTCTTCTTTGCCGAAACAGGTAACATCTCCCTGCAAAGCTCCTTGTGCTCGGTTATAGTGTTGTGGTAATGGTAATAACGGATCTTCGCCTCCGTCTTGTGCAGCGTTTTCCCCACAACGTTTTCAGACATGTGAACCCCCGTCGCAAACGCGTTCTTCGCCTGGATCGCGTATTTCCTATCGCGCCGTATGTTCGTTCTCGATTCCCTAAACAGCAACTTCTCAAATCCCCATTGCCTGAACAAAATCCCCCACAAAAACAACAAATCAAGAAAAACATGCCTAATCAAAGTAAAGCTAATTTGCCAAAATCAATCCTAATAATTAGCTTACTTGGGATAATCTTGAGAAGAATCGTTTAAGCAAAGAACACTAGACATTGGATTCTGCTCGATCGTGAACTGAGTGTTATCGGAGAATCCGGCGAGCACCGATTCGAGCGTGTTCCCGTCGGGCAAATATATATACTCGTCGACGTCGAAGAAGAAGGTCCAATTCGCAGCGTGACGATACTTATGCAAGCAATCATTAACGATCAAAAACTGATTATAATAGTAACCATCGTACTGCGACTGATCCCGAATATCCTGAAGCGTGACCCTCCCGGCGCGAATCCACGGCTCGAGAACCTCCCTAACCTCCGGCGAAACTCCACCGGCGTCGTGGAAGACGAAATGCGATCTGTCTCCGAAGAACCAGGCGTGGTAAGCGATCCACTCCCTCATGCGCGACGAGCTCACGTTGCCGTAGAGAGACGATCCGCAGTAGAGGTAATCGTACGGATACGGCGGAGAGAATCTGGACTCGTCGTAGGATCCGGCGGATTCGTCGAGCGTCGTGAATCGCTCGAAGAGTCTCGGGGATTCGTTGTAGTAGGCGTTGAGCATTAGCTTGCCGCCGGAATTGTCGGCGTTTGGGTTCGATTGGAATGTGCAATTGACGACGACGACGGTGTAGACTCGCCCGTAACCCCAATCGGGGAGAATCTTCACCGCTTTAGCTCGAATCGAGGTTCCGTTGGTTGATAGCCACTCGCACTTGTACCACGGCTTCCCGAAGACGTGGATCGGCTTCGACGCGAGTCCGACGACGGCGAACGTCGCCGGACCGCCGCGGTAAGCTCCCATGAGGACGAAAAGCGCCGCCGCGTTTCCGAACGGCTGGAAAACGCGTTTGTTCGGATCTGAGGGCTTCGAATCGTACTTCTGAGAAGCTGTCGCCGGTGTGGAAGAGAGTGAGGTGGTGAAATTCGCCGCCGACGAAGTTGAGGAGAGTGTGGCGGTGGTGACGGCGGAGCAGGGGCGAGAGGTGGAGATGAGGCTGTGGTAGTAAGGAGGAAGGTTCCAGATAATCATGACGAGAGAGAGAGCTAGCAATGTAGCAACCAGTGGTTTCCTCTCGAAACAGACGAGGAATTTAACGGTGGTGGTTGACACCGGCGGCAAAATCTCCTTCCTCATGTTTTTTATTTTTGCGACGGCGCCGGTGAGGTCAAAACGCACCGTTTCAGTTTGTTAGTAAATTATAAATTTTATTAGAGTGACGACAAGCGTCAGAGAGAGAGAGAGAGAAGTGTGACGAAGCTTTGCCGACACGGCGTTCAATGAGAAGAAGAGAGTAGAGAGAAAGAGACTCGTGGCTGTATGAAGAAGAAAGAGAATGAATGAGTGAGTGTGGAGGTTTCTTGTGGTTTAGGAACGTGGGCTTGGATCTCTGGGGAATTACGAAAGTGACACTGCATCTCTAAATTGTAAAGTTGGATCGTCTGTTTAAATTGCTGGCTCCCAATTGTGACAGCTGGTGGGACCCTTGACAAGTTGGAATAACGGTGCGTGCTTTCAATTTCATAACCTTTTTTTTTTTGGTTTCGTGGGTTACAAAGAAGCTGTCCACCTAGGATTTTAAAGGTTGAATTTGATTGGTTCATATCATTATTTTTATTTTTTTCTTGCTTTTAAATTAATTTATGTAAATTTTTTATTTTACATATTATTTATTAATTAGTTTTCAGTAAAGATAATTTCTCTGATTTTACAATTTTCGAGAACTGAATTATAAGTTTCCTATTCATAGATTATCTAAATTTACAAATATTATTAGTATTAGTTTCCTTTTTAGTAGAAAATTTACACATGTTTTAAGTAATTATAGAAATAAATTTCCTATTCAGCCAAAACTTCCTCTTTTTTCTACAAATCCTAAAACTGCATCTCACAAAACTCTCTCTCTCCACCGTCAAACAACAAAAAATCATTCTTCATTTTCCAGATTTCGTAAATCGAATTGGATTTATTTTGCCCTAAACTCCCTATTTTACATTGTTGCAAGTTTGAAGCTTCAATACAACTTTAGTTGAGGGAGTATTAGACCAAAAATGGAGAAATTCGGAATCTATTACTAAGATAAGTCTTGTGATTTGATTGTACAATTCAACTGCTTTAATTTCTGGCGAATTTAAGATTGTTTTTTGGCATTTTTTTCTTATTTCTTCTTCCAAATTTATTTCTTAGTTTCATTATTTCGTTTTAGTCTAGAAGATTTTTGAAAAATAAATTGGATATTGTTTGATGAAGATTAGGATTTGGATAGTTCCTATTTTTGTAATTATTACTTCTCTAATTTTTTTATTGTACAATGACATTAATATACATTAATTCTTTTTTCCATTAAGAATAAGATAATCTTAAATTCTATATATATGTGGTCTTATTGCCACATGAAACCAAGTTCAGAATATACATTCACATCTTTCAATCGATGATTTTTTTGTGTGTTTTGAATTGACATCATCAACTAAATGAGGAAATTTGAAAACTTAAAGAGTCATCAATGAATTTGGATAAAAAAAGGATTCATTTTTAACTTTTTTTTCAGGCATTTCATCGAACAACATGAGTGCAATGATCATCCTGTGATCTTATCAATATAATGTCAAAAAATCAGGTGCATCGCAAAAACGTACTATAAAATTCCAGAAAAATGCATAAAGAATACAAAATTGATTTCATTAAACAAAAACCCAGAAAATAAAAAGGAGGAAACAAACAGATTATCACGAGTAGGAATAAAAAGGATGAGACATTGATGGTCGCTTTCTTCTAGCAAAAGGAAGAATAAAATGACCACGCATAAACTCTTACTCAAAGGATTTTAAAGAAAAAAATTGAACCGAAGGCTATGTTCGATGCTTATTCCAATTTAATTGCAATGCTCAAACGAATGGCGGTAGGTAACAAACTCAAATTACAGATCAAGAATTTAGGAGGGAGAGAAATGAGAATCTGAAGAGGAACTCGGCCTGATCAGTAATGGTGGATTATGTGTAATTATCTTTGGCGGTTATCAGGAACTCGACCAAATATTTTTGTGTTTAGTCTTTTTTCTGGCCGGTTATTTTTGTCATTTTCGGAAGATGTCATTTGGATATTAAACAATTAGAGGCGTGTAAAGTAGATTTTCTTTATAAAGATTTTGGGGTTATAAATTATATATAAACTACATTAATTTTATAAAAAGGGTAACTTCTAAAGATAAATTAATTATCTGCCATTAAAATAGACCACCACCACCGTTACTGCCATCAGTTATAATCGTCGTCACTACCGATATTACTCTTATTATCATTAGTAACATTGTTGTCATGAGCATTTTCTCTTTTTCCCTTTTCCTTATTCTGTTTTTCATTTTCTTTCTTTGGTAATGTGTGAAGAAAGAATATTGAAGAAGTGGTTTGGAATATATAACTAAATGAATGAATAGAGAACTATTGATAATATTAATAATTATACATTACAATTACAATTTCTACATAATATGATGTCTCTTAAAAATCCTGATAATCATGTTTATGGTAGTTAGTTTTGGTTATAATCTTTGTCTTAATATTGGAGAGTCATTTTAATAATAGACCACGTTAAATTTTTCAAACAACATTTTTGCATTTTATCCTTTCAGTCTCTCATGAATTTTTTTTTAATAAATGAAACTATTATTTTGATCCATTATCAAAGAAACAAAAAAAAATATTGATGACTCAAACCTAATATACAAATATTCATAATTGAATCATATATTTTCTTAGTATTATTGAAAAAAATAAAATAAAGAAGACATAAAGATTATTAACAAAAATTAAAACGGAAGGCCTTTTAACAAAAAATAAATAAATAAATAAATAAAAATAAAACGGAATCCGCGCGTGCGTGGGTAAAATACCTAGTCAAATCAAAATTATGGGTGAAATTGTTAACAAAAGAGTTTGGTCCATGCTAAAGACGATTACTGTCTCTTCTTGATTCAATACACTTCGACTGTAGTGTTTCGAATGTGGTAAAGTTTGTGCGAAAAAGCGAAAAGATAAATGTGGATAGAGAGTTAAAAAAACAAAAGCGAAGAGATTATTCCTTTGAATAGACTCCTTTTTTATTAAATAACTGAAAAAGGTATTCGGACAGTCAAAATTTCTAACACTTGCTATTATCCAACGTCTAAATTTGAGGGCCAATCCATGTTAATTCGATATTACGGTCGATAACTCGATTTGAGAAAGCTGCCGGAAGAATGGACATCAATATACTCAAGTCGAAGTAGAATTCAATGAACCGTGAACTTTTGGCATCTTACATCCAAAAAGGAGAATTAGACATATTTGATTAGACAACGAATCTATTGTTTTAATTATATCGTAGGTCTAAAGTTGCACCACATTTATTATACTTGAAAGATTACCAAAAAGAAAGAGATGACCAGAATAAAATGATGTTCGTTTTTTTTATAAAACTCTACACTCCAACTAAAATAAATGGTTAGACATAATATTCGCTATAATTAAGTACATACATTATCATTATCCCTGAAATAATTAAAACATGATTTTCTCCTCCAATTATAGGACTCTTAATTAAGAGTAAGGGCAAAGGCTTGTAGTTTTTAACAATAACAAGCACATGTAAAATTGTAAATTGAATGCGAGCACGATTTCATGCACATGTAAATTGATTCACCAACACACAAAATGCATAAACCCACTGAAAACTTGCTTGTTTGGAACTCAAACTTCAGTAAATGAGAGATCATGTACATTGAAAAATGAAGGATACCATGTATATTAATTATTATTTTTCCTTCATTTCAACTCTTGTCAAATCTGAGAGTGCTTTTTTAATACATTTAATTATTTTAGAAATCTTGTCGGTCGAGGTTGTTACAATCAATTCCAACAAACAGGTCTAATACAACTCCTAATGTGATTGGCAGTCGTACCTGTGGATATGAATGTGACCATATCCCTTGAGGAAACTTCTGACCGACAAAGTGAATCTTGTGGAGGGACTGTTTTAACTTCCAAGGCAAAATGTAAATTATGCTCGTAAATAAAACAAGGTGAAAACTAAAAATAAAAAGTACATCTTCTCCTTATATTTGGCTTTGACTGGTGTTAGCCATAACCACCGAATGAATATATGTTTATCTATATTGTCATATCCTCAAACTTTTAATTCATTTTATCAATTTTGCAACCAAATGATCGAGCAATATAATCCGTCTAACTCTTGCGTATACGATTAGGCGTTATACGATTATCTAACGCGAACTAGAACATTGACCATATTAGATTACTGCACATTTGGCAGAATTACGTCTCTACCACATTAGAAAGAAGAATCCAAAGATTGCTTAGAGAAACCAAATATTTGCGGGGAAGTAATAGGAAACGCAATCATAATAAGAGACAAGGTTGAGCTGCCTGCAAGAATAATGATGATTTTTAAAGCTAGGACATAATCATTTTAATTTCCCTTAGCATCACCGCCATTCATTCATTTTCCATTTAGATAACAGTCACTACAAATGTTAGTTGACTACTGAAACAAACTGTACTACATGATCGCTTAAGTTGCTGATATAAATTAGATCATTCGAAAAGAGAAGAACATTTTGGCCTATCTAAATTAGGCCCAATAAGAAAACGTGGGCCCAGCAAAAAGCGTGTACACGCTCCCAGATCTCTGCATCTGCGGCTTATATCAATGCACAAAAATTGATAAGCCCTCAACGGCTATATTCCCTCCCTTTCAATTTCAAAAACTCTCTCGAAGTTTAGCGAAAGAAGACGACGATGGCGGCCGAAACGAGTGTTCAGGTCTCAGATCCAGAAGCAGAGTTTCTCAATTCAAAGCAAGAGACCGGCTACGAGTGGGAGCTTTTCAAGGAGAACGTACGGCCATTGAAGAGAGGACGCAATGTCCGTCTTCTCAATCACGCTCTCAAATCTCACACCGACCACCAATTGAGGAAGAATCTCGTCGAGAAACGAAGGTATCTCTCTCAATTCCATATCCCTCCTCCTGGGTTTTCACTCGAATCGGTCCGATTTTTTTTTGGGTGGACTAATTAGGAAGCTGATTGAGGCAATCGATGAGTACGATGGAGACGACCCTCTCTTTCCATGGATCGAGTGAGTTCCTTGTTCCATTTTTCTTGATTCAACCACTGCAATTTCTTGAAAAAAATCTTGATTTCTGAAAAACTGAGCTATGGTTTAATGGTAAAAGGTGTATAAAATGGGTGCAAGAAGCATTTCCACCAGGAGGAGAATGCTCGGGGCTGTTAGTGATATACGAGCAATGCGTTCGCAAGTTTTGGCACTCGGAGCGTTACAAGGATGATCTTCGTTACCTCAAAGTTTGGTTGGAATATGTAAATCTTCTCTCGCTTTTTGATTTTAGCTTCTTAATTCCTTTTTCATTATGATAATCTTATTCTTCTTTGTTGTTTTTGAAGGCTGAGCATTGCGCTGATGCAGAAGTGATTTACAAGTTCTTGGAGGTGAATGAGATTGGGAAGACGCATTCTGTGTACTACATACCTTATGCTTTGCACATGGAGTTTAAGGGGAAAGTGAAAACTGCTAATGAGATCTTCAATCTTGGACTCTCTAGGTGATGATTCTTCTTCATCTTTGGTCCTCCTTGTAGTTTCACATCCAACTTTTCTGATTGAAAAGTGTGGAACTTTTGTGTGTAGAAATGCGAAGCCGATGGAGAAGCTGAATGATGCGTACAAGAAGTTCATGGTGAGAACTATGACAAGGCCTAAAGCAGCTGATGAAGTAAGAATTTACTTTATATCTATGCATTTCCACTAAAGTTTCGTAATTTTTACATGATTATTAATGTTTTAGCAGGAACAAAAGGAGAATGATTTACCGTCAAGAAGCTTTGGCACTCTATTGTCCAGAGGAGATAACAGTGAGTAAATAGCAGTAACTTTACTTTGGAAAATCACTGAATTGTTTTCTGATAAGCTCTCTTGCATGACAATGTTTCTAATAGATACAGGAAGGCAAGCGTTAGGACCACAGTCGAAGAAACTAAAGCCGAATCAGTAAGTTGTTTGATTGATTCTGTATTTCCTTTAAGCATTTACAAACTTGAACTTAACCAAAACTCTAAATTAATTGTGCAACTCTTTATGATTTGCAGATCATCAAAGACAGCTTTTCCTATCTACACGGACACTACTACATCGGGGGATCAGCCAGAGGCAGACAAGACAAAGCCAGAGTTTGGTAGCTGGCTAATGCTTGGAGGCAGAGCAGAGAGGAACAAAGAAAACAATTCTTTACCTGGAAAATGGACATCATTCAAGGTTTTTGCCTCTTAACTTCCAAAACAAAACTAACTTATCCCTGTAGATTGATCACTTTACTTACTACTGAATTTTGGTATGCTCACAGGTTCCTCAGAAACCCATTGTGAGAACTGCAGCAGCTTCTTTATCATCTGCTGCTTCCTCCTTTGAGGTTTTTGTCGATGAAGAATGTACAGAGTAAGTTGACACTTTTTGAATGTTTTTCGAAACAAGACATGATGTTTCAATACTGACTTTGATTATGAAATGCAGAGAGGGAGGAGAAGAGAAGAAGAAGACTGAAACAATCTCATCATCATCATCAACAAATGGTGTGCCCCTTAACGATGGCCGTGAGATTAAGAAGTAAGTATAAAACAAAACCCCTCTTAAATTCACCATACAAATGTAATATTATCTAATAATTTGTATGTACCAACAATTGTAGAGAAACAGAGCTGCTGCGACAGAACCCTTTGAGACATTTCCCACCAAACAGCTTCCTACGATGAATGATGCTTCATCTCTACGCATGAAGAATCCATCATAATAAAACACGATCTTCTGATTTGAGGAAATTTGGGGCTTTTGTCTATAAAGCTCCTTTGTAATTTGCTTATTTGGATTTGTTTTTGTGATGTACTGAGCCTTGCCTTTGGCATGTTTAATGAAATTTATGTGTTCTTTAATTCATTCCAGCTCAGCTACTTTACATCTCCTCCTACTGTTTTAGTATCTATATAAAAATTCACTAATCACCCTAAATAATTTGTTTTAAATTTAGGATCACTGTGACGATACCCTAATGTGGGCAAGCCATTGGTTTGTATGCCATGCGACTTTTTGCTGATAATCGTTTGGTCTATGCAACTAGAGTACCTTTCTTTAACAAAAGACAGAATTTTTTGGAGTTTCATGGTAAATAGTAGATGCGTATGTGTACAAGCTACAAAAGATTAATTCTTTGGGCACTCCTCCCAGAGAAAAGAAAAAGTGGCTTTAAGCGGATGGGAGGGGGCATCATAAACATAATAATCAAGCATTAATAGCCATCTAATTAAATGATTATTAAACCAATGATGCGATTTTGGGGATAGACTTTGAGTGGTAAACAAGACAATATGAAGAAGAAGAAAAAAATTTGGAATTATATTTGAAGTTAGTGGTAGGCGCATCATTTCATTTCATTATCTACCCTTTAGGGCTTTTAAGGGTTCCTTTTATTGTAATACTTTTCATTTACAGCTTATTTAAACATAAGATCCGACTCACTCACAATTTCAAATTTGTGGTTCAAAAATAAAAAAAAACTTTAATATTAACTTGTTTCACTATAATATTTTTGGTCAACATTTCACTAATATTAATTTGCTAAACCCTAACTATATTTTATCCTCAAAAACTAGTTTTTCGAATATTATAAATTTTCGAAAACCTAATATACGATGTAAAAAGACATGATAGGATCATATTCATATTTATTAACATTATCTCTTCAAATTTTGTTTTGTTTAGTACCTATCAGTTAAAATATCGTGTATGTATCAACACCATGTACATGTAAAAGCTCAGAATAGACACAATCAATCACTAATAGCAGTTAACAAATAGTTGGAAACTTTAGGATACCAATGGGGTATCCCAAAAACCGTGGCAATCTGACAAATATAATAAAAGGATATATATTGTTGAGTTGTATTTGATACAATCATATGATCTATGTATATAGAATTTAACATTGAGAATATTGATAATATTAAATAATATAAATTTTCATAATCCTTATTAATATTGAAAGGGACTTCGACGTTGAAATGGAGTTTGACCTGACTTTCAATGTCGACCAGGATTTGCACCGGCGGTGGTGGAAATCACGACGGAAGCTGGGCATTCTCGCTTACGGGCTGGGCTTGTGTCTTGGACTTTGGGTGAGCCTTGTTCGACGAATTGGGTTTGACGAATCGGCCGACTTGGATTTAGCGATTGGACTTGAGGTTATATATACACTTGTCGTTTTCACTTAAATAGTTTCTAAGATTATTAAAGTGACAAAAATGTAAAAGAAAAACAAAAGATAAAAGTGATAAACAAATTAAGGATTTTCCAACAAGCAAATGTGGATTTGAAGTAAATACAATTTATGGTTGTTGGATGGAAATAACCAATAGAAATCCCAAAAAACGAGTTTAATGCCTTACTCTACGCCCTATCCAAAATTACGCTCTTCTCTCTGGTATTTTGTGGAAACAACCAATCAAAATGTGAATTTAGTCACATTATATGCAAAATGTATTTTACAAACTTGTAGACCTGCCAATATTCTTTTAATAACAAATTATAGTAATCACGGGAAAGTTCATGTTGAGGAGATGTATAGTTTTTGTTCTCATATCAAAAACTTATTATTAGTTTTGTAATAATAACTGAATTTATATAGTTTTGTTTTGTTTTGTTTTGGATTGAATCTTGGACGTAGAAAATGAGGTGATGATAGTGATGTGTCAAAAAAAAATCAGGGAATAGCCCAATCAAAGCAAGTAATCCCTAATTGGACTAAGGAATTAAAGATTTGATTATGCCCTTAATTCAACAAATCTACATAAACCTTAAGAAAGGGTTAAGAGTCGAGATTAATAAAATGATTAAGGGTCAATATATCTACAGTTACCAAAATCCAAAGAGAGACAAAAAAGATTAAAGAAAGATTTTTATACATAAAAAGTCATTATCTCACAAATAAATCTTTCTTCTCTTTCATTTGTGCGCTCTCTCCGCCGCTAAAGGATGAGACAAACGCCGTAACGGGATGTCCTCACCGTAACGCCGTTAAGTCTGAACCCGTTTCAACACGTGCCACAGGAAACGGAAAAATCAAAAAGGGATTTTAAAGTAATATTCCGTTCCGTTTTCTCTTATGGCTCTGGAACAGTTGGGGCTGGGAGTGAGCGCCGTTGACGGTGACGGTGACGGCGTTACTCAACTCGGTGTGGAGAATAGTGCGCCGTCTAACGATGGCGGAGATGACGGCGTTAAGACGGCGAGGCTGCCTCGCTGGACGAGGCAAGAGATTCTGGTGCTGATTCAGGGGAAGAGAGTGGCGGAGAACAGAGTCCGGCGAGGGAGAGCGGCGGGTATGGCGCTCGGGTCGGGTCAAATGGAGCCCAAATGGGCATCGGTGTCGTCTTACTGCAGGCGTCACGGTGTGAATCGCGGGCCGGTCCAGTGCCGGAAAAGGTGGAGCAATCTCGCCGGAGATTATAAGAAGATTAAGGAATGGGAGTCTCAGATTAAAGAGGAGACGGAGTCGTATTGGGTTATGAGGAACGATGTTCGCCGGGAGAGGAAGCTTCCTGGGTTTTTCGACAAGGAAGTCTACGATATTGTAGATGGCGGCGTGATTCCTCCGGCGATTCCGGCTCTAGCTCTTGGCTTGGCTCCGGCTTCAGCATCGGCGGAGGAATTGTTTCCCGATTTAGATCGGAGAGAACCGGCGACAAGTCCAGATCAGTTGAATTCGGCTCCAGCGCCCAAATCAATTCAGGGTAAATCCAGATCAAACCTTTTTATTTGTTCATCAACTTGACTCCAATTCTAATCAAAGTTCAATTTTTTTGATAAAGATATTATTATTGTAGAGAAGGAGAAGGAAGCAGCTTGTAGAGCAGACCAAGGTTTGTTTTGTTGTTTATTGTTTATTCTTATGTTCTATGGATTCGAACCTGTGACCTGGACTTGTTTGGTATATATGATTTTAGTACTTTTGCCACACACTATGGTTTCATCATCATTTGATCCAAACAACATAGAAAGGTTTTTGATTTAGAGAATTTGGAGAAGACTTATAAATGTCCTCTCTGTGTTTCTAATCTCCATTCTTGCTTTGATCTATACTCTTATCTCAAACAAGGCTTAACGCTCTCGAGTTTCTCTTGATGATGTAGTTATGTGTAAAGCTGTTTTGTTATTATTATTAGTGGTATATAGAAAAATGCAGCTCTGTATATTCAGCTCTGGTGCATTATCTTGTTTTTCACCAAAAAGGTTTTATTATTTGAAATTGAAGGTAGAGTGAAAGAGAAACATTCGGAAGAAGCAAACCCGGAAGCTGGATCGACATCACAAGAAGAGAGGAAGCGTAAACGGAAATCATCTGCTGGTGGTGAAAAAGAAGAAGAAGAAGAGGGAGAAACAAAGAGCATGCAGAATCAATTGATAGAGATACTTGAAAGAAACGGGCAGTTATTGGCGGCACAGCTTGAGGTTCAGAATTCCAACTTAAAACTGGACAGAGAGCAAAGGAAAGATCAAGGTGATAACTTAGTCGCTGCTATCAGCAAGCTCGCCGATGCTGTGGCCAAAATCGCAGATAAGTTGTAGATTTAGTACTCTACATATAAGTAAATTTAGTCGTATATTGCTTCAACATTACTTCTCATTCTTCTTCTTCGTTTTTTCTTTTCTTTCTCATTTACCATTATTGATGATTGAATATTGATGTCACTAGAGGCCCTATACACGGCTTATATAAGCATGAAGATTTATACGGTTTTCGGACATCAGTTGTCTTTGTTTTGCCCTTTTGTCTGATTCAGACATCTTATATAAACGTGTACGGTTTAGGACATCAACTGTCCTTGTTTTTACTCTTTATTTATTGATTTCCCCAATTAGTGGATTAATATATAATGGAGGATTTACTTTTGGCAAACTAAGACAGATGACCCTTCAACATTAGTATATTTGTTGACGGCTTGTTTTAAAAGTTCCTCGATTTGTTAGAATTTAGAAACAACTCTGGTATATGGAGATTTCAGATCTGCCACTTTCTGTTATTTAGTAACTGGTACTGCAATAGTTACCATGAATGTTGGTAACATGAAAGTCAGTGGTTCGCTTGAGACAAATCGCAAGGGAGAGAGATTACCCTTTGAAGATTTGGAAGATACTGAAAAATTGAGTGTAATATCTACATTATGCTATATTTGTCATTGACGCAACTTGAGGTACAATGACTCCTAAACATATGCGTAACAAAATAAAACCCACTAGGCCAAAAAAAAAACTAACATAATTGAAACTAAAAACTAACCTACTGAACTGAGAGTTAAGAAAAAAGATATACACTGCCATATTCTTATTGTGGAAAAGAAAAAGGACTAAAATTCAACGATTCCACATTGATTAAGAGTATCATAAGAGATCAAGATTCTACATTCGTCGATTTTTTAGCTACTAAAAGCATCATAACTGTTGAAGATTTTGGCCATCTAAACGGCCGAATGTTAAAAGACATAACTTGAGAATAGTTTTGATTTTTCTTTTTTTTTAAAAAAATTCAATAGAAACCGTATCTAAAAAAGTGATGTAATATTAAAGGTTTTTGTGCAAAAAAACCAGGCAACTAAATTAATTTTGCAAAATTAACCCTCACCTTTTTTTGTGTGCAGGTCAATCCCCCAAACTCAAAAGTCACCCGCTAAATAGCCCTTCCTGTATTGTCGACGTGGTTCATTCTTCTCCACAAAAAAAATTCAAAACTCTGCGTTTTCGACAAAACTAAATCAAGTGTAAATCAATGTCGTCAGATTTTGAATTGGGGAAAACTAAAATCGATTTGGGGGAAAAAATTAGGGTTCTTGGCGATTTATTTGGGGGAAAAAGTTTGGGGAAAACTCTTCTTTGTTTTGACGCAGAGGCTGGAGTTGCATTGACCGATAATTTGTTTCTCTGATTTTTCGTTTTCTTCTTCTTCTCTGGTTACATGATAAAGATTTACGCTACTTGTTCATTTACAACAAGTTTCCTAGTTTGCGTGAACAGGTTAGCAGAAAAGCTTCTTCTTCTCCTTTGTTCTGTTAGTTATTGATTATTCTCCTGAGGAAGTGTGTTTTTAGGATTAATAATGTCACGACATATTGGGTAAAATAGGCGTTGAGATATTCCATGGAGGTGGAGTGAAAGAATCTGAAGATTTCAAGTGAGAGGTTCTTGAGAAAGGAAAAGCTTTAAAGAGAGAGATCACATTCGAGACAGAGTTGTTCGGATCAAAGACGTTTTTGATATACGTTGAGCCTGTTTACAACAAAGCTAAAGAGGCAATGGGTATCAATTACATGGGAATGAAAGTAACTGATCAGGTCAGGAAGAGGGAAAAAATGGCGAAGCTTAGAGAAGATAATGCAGTGAGAAAGGCGATGGAATCAGAGCTCAACAAGACCATCCACATTACAGGTTTGTTTTGAGCAGTGTAATCAAGTAAGATTCATGAGGAAACCAGAGTTTTAAGTGTTGTGTTTTGTTTTGCAGAGGAGACAATGAGAGCGAAGATGATTGTACTTCAGAGATAACAACATCAGGAATCTTGTATACTCAACGCTTGACGGAAAGAAGTCAAACCGCTCATCCATTCCTCTTTCCAGTACCTTGAAAAATCATCTTTTCCAGAGTATCCATCAAGCCAACATCAAGCCAAAATCACATTTTCCTGTTATATTAGTGTATATATTCCCGTCGTGAACGAAACTGCAACATTGTTCTTTAACAAAAAAAAAGAGAAACTGCAACATTGTTTCTATTTACGTTCCATGTGTTTGCTTGCACAAAGCAGAGTATTTATCCAATGAATCAAATAACAACGTTAAAAAATGTTATTCTTCTTCATCAAGCAGGACACTGAAGTTCTTCAGCTCTCTCAAGATCATCTGTAATTCCTCTGTTCGAGAATGCTTTTCTCCCGAAGAATAAAACTTCACCAAACCATCATCGGTCTCAATCCAGCTAAAACCTGCTTCTTTCTTAAAACTGGTGTCTCTCATAGCAACTTTTAGCCTCGCAGCATCACAGGCCTCCCGAGATCTCCATATATGTTCGAAGGGTTTCTCGGTTCAAGCTTGACCAACTCTTCAAGAGCAAGCTCTCCAACCTCCTCCTTCTTATAAACTTTGGAAGCACCAAGTAAAGTGGTCCATATAACAACATCCGCTTTCACTGACATTTTGTTTATAAACTCAACAACTTGTGTTAAAAATCCAGCCTTGGATAGTAAATCCACCACACAACCAGAGTGTTCGATTTCAGGCATGATTGAGAAATCAGTAAACATGGAACTGAAATAAGCCAAGCCATCTTCTATCTCGCCGATTCAACACCATTCCACTTCCCCAAAATCGATTTTAAGAGGAGAAACTGTCAAATAAATCGCCAAGAACCCTAACTTTTTCCCTCAAATCGATTTTAGTTTTCCCCAATTCAAAACCTGACGACATTGCTTTACACTTGATTTAGTTTTGTCCGAAGAACATCATACAGAAACAAAAACATCGTCCCGTTTTACTGTCGAAAACGCAGAGTTTTGAATTTTTTTTCGTGGAGAAGAACGAACCACGTCGACAATACAGGGAAGGAGTGTTTAGCGGGTGACTATTGAGTTTGGGGGATTGACCTGCACACAAAAAAGGTAAGGATTAATTTTGCAAAATTAATTTAGTTGCCTGTTTTTTTTTCACAAAATCCAATATTAAACTTAGTTCACATATTACTTTGGAGTTTGGAGACACACCTGACACATCTGACAACAAAATTTCTTGTTAAATTGTTCACTTTTCGGTCTCAAATTTGTGTGTTTTCCATGCTGTACTGTAAATCATTACATACAGTTTGTTTGTAATAAATGACAAGGTAACAGTTTTCATAAAAAATCTGCATCCGCAGATGTGGTTTGACTTTGACCACCAAAAAACAAGTTGTACGAAACTTCGACTCCTCCTAGTAGTAAGTTAACTGACTCACTTTACAAGTCAAAAGTCCGATCGTCAGACATAAAAGTGGTAAAGAAAATAAATTAAAAAAAAAAAGAAATACAAACATGTCTGTTTTGGTCATTTCACATACCCTCATCCGCAGTATATCATACGTCGCGCTGACCTAATCGCCTTATTCCGGATCGCTGACGTGTACGGTCTAGATTAAACTCCATCTTCCAACTAGATTCTCTTCTTCCCTCTCCGCTTATATTAATGATTAAAATCTCTCTCTCCTCCATTCGTCTATTCCTCTTTTCTTCATTCTCTCGATTCGGCGTCTGGAGAAAAATTAAATCTCGAAAATTGGATTTGGAAAACACGAAAAAAAAAACGGCGAAGCAAATTTTGAAAAGGGTTGTTAGATCTCCGATCGAGAATTTTGAATTAAGAAGCTTTCGAAGAGAAAAAAAAACAAAGTTTAAAAACATCAAATTTTCTCAAACTTAAATCTTTGTTTTCGATTGTTAAATTGGGAAAGGGACGACTCCAAAAACAACCCTAATTCTCCGTTTTTTTCTGAGAAGGGGGAAGATTTTTGGTTCTGAATCGGGTTGGATTGGTTTTTGCGTTTTGAGCAGTGTGGCTCTCGATCTAATCTAGAATCCTGAAATCGAATGGGCAACGATGAGAATTTGATTGTATTGGCGGATGTAGAGGAAGGAGAGATCTCCGGTTCCGGAAACACTTCGATTGGAGTTAAGCAGACTCCGGCGGCGGCCGATGGCGGAGAAGTCGATGGTGGAGGAAGAGGAGGGTCTAATGGAAACTCTAGGGTTTGGACAATGCGTGATCTGATCACTAAGTATCCCGGTTATCGTGGATACGCGAATTCGGGTCTGTACAATTTCGCTTGGGCTCAAGCTGTGCAGAACAAACCTCTGAGTGAAGGTTTGGGAATGGATTACGAACCAAGAGAGAGTGAGGAAGGTGGTGATGATAAGATTATGGTTGAAGAGAGTGGTGATGATGAGAAAGAGGAAGGAGAGTTGGAAGAAGGTGAGATTGACTTGGAGTCTGCTGCTGCCTCTGATGAAAAACTTGATGCAGGAGTTGAGATGGAAACTGAATCAGTCGTCGTCTTGACTAGTGGTGATAACAAAGTGGATGGTGATCGGATTCAGAAGGAGAGGGATTTGGAGAACAAAGTGAAACTCATCCGTGGGGTTTTGGAGAGTACCTCGTTAGTAGAAGCACAGACGTAAGTCGCAATCCCAGAGAATGTGGAGTCTTTAAAGATGATGATGAAAAAATTTAAAACCACATTTGTCCATGTTTTTTTCTGCTTTTGTTTCAGAGCATTTGAAGGAGTTTGTTCCAGACTTTTGGGGGCGTTGGAGTCACTGCGAGAGGTGGTTTCAGATAATGATGATTTCCCAAAGAGAGACACTTTAGTGCAACTGTCGTTTGCTTCTCTTCAAACCATAAACTCTGTATGAATAATCAAAGTGAAAGATCCGTTGGCTTGACTCTTGACGTTCACATTCCATGATTCTAATCTCTTGAACATTTTCAGGTGTTTTGCTCGATGAACAATATTTCCAAGGAGCTTAATAAGGATACTATGACAAGGTTACTTTCTAATAGCGCCAACCTTTGATTGAACATGTTTGGAATCATTTGATTGCTCACTTTATCTTTGGCTTTCTTGTGCAGATTGCTCTCTCTTGTCAATGACCATTTTTCTCGGTTTCTCTCATCTAACCAGAAAAACGAGGTGTGTTCAGAAGTCAGAATCTTTCCCACTATTCCAAGAACTTGGGAAGAGTGCCTTTCTCGTCTTACAAAAGTGTCTATCTTGGTTTTTTGCAGATAGAGGCGATGAATCTTAATTTAAGCCGTTCTGGTAATGCTGGAACAAGCAGTGAGAAGAATGTTAATCGAATGGCTCAGACGAGTAATAATGATTCGTTTCCTGCGAGAAATCTGTCATCAGAAGGTACACATCGAGGAGCCTTGTACGTAAGGAGTAGGTTGCCTCTGCTAGACCTTACAAAGGATCATGATGCAGACGACCTTCCTTCACCCACAAGGGAAACAACACCAAGTTTACCCGTTAACGGCCGTCATGCGATGGTTAAACCAAATTTTCCCGTTAAAGAGAGCCAAATGACTGAAGGTGCCAAAGTCTATCCATATGAGCGTGAGGCCCTTAAGGCAGTTTCTACCTACCAGAAAAGATTTGGTCTTAACTCAACTTTTAAAACAGATGACCTTCCAAGTCCAACACCATCAGGAGAACCTAATGATGGCAATGAAGATAACGGTGGAGAGGTTTCTAGTTCCGTTGTTACGAGCTCGAAGCAGAGGACTCTTCCCGTTTATGGGCAAGATGTTCCTCTGCCCTCCACTTTTAGTTCCAGAGGGATGCCTGTTGCAAATGCTGTTTCCAACACTGCTCCACCACATTATCTGTTAAATTATGGTATTTCTGCACCTAGTGGTGCTACTCAAACTATTCTTGCTTCTGATCAGACGGTGAAACCTTCTGCAAAGAGTCGAGATCCAAGACTGCGGCTTGCGAAACCTGATGGTGCCAGTGTAACCACTAGCCAGTACTCTTCAGACGATGCTAGAAATCTTTCTAAACTAGAGCCTTCTTCAGGCTTAGTGAACCCAAGAAAGCAAAAAGCCTCTGATGAACTTTTTATTGATGGGCCTGCATGGAAAAGAATAAAGACTGATAAGGTTGCGCCAAAGCCAGCTGGAATTGGTGGCTGGCTAGAGGTTACAGAATCATCAGGGCTGCAGAAATTGGAATCCAAACCGAGGCAAACTGAGAACGGAGTAACATCTATGATAACAAGTGTTGTGCCAACGAGTGCTGTTTCTGTGAGCCAAAGTGTACCAATGACAGCTTCAACTGACGCTGCTGGATCATTGTCATCTCTTTTGAAAGATATTGCAGTAAATCCTACAATGCTACTGAATCTCCTTAGAATGGGAGAAAGGCAAAAGGTACCTGAAAAGGCTCCTCAGAAGCCTATGGATCCAAGAAGAGCAGCACAACTTCCTGGCTCTTCCCTGCCACCAGCAGTAGCTCCAAAGCTTAGTATACCTGCATCGAATCCCTTAGCTGCTAATTTTTCACAGCCATTAGCGCTTCAGGATTCTTCCCAATGTGCCCCCTCGGTGAGTAATTTTTATCTTGACGGATTTGTAGAACCTTTTTTTTTTAGTTCTCCTCCAAGTAACTCATTTTTGGATTCTTCAGGACGAGTCTGGAAGCATCCGCATGAAACCACGTGATCCTCGCCGAATCCTGCACGGAAGCACTCTTCAAAGAACAGACTCTTCTTTGGAAAAGCAGTCCAAAGTGAATGACTCCCCCACTCTAGGAACCCTATCTGTTAAGGGTAAGACACAAGAGTCTGAAACGCCCTCCCAGCTTGTTCCACGGCAAAATAATAGCCAGAATGGTACCAGAAAAATGAATACTTCGGGTGAACTTCTCAGTGGAAAGACATCAGATATATCAACACAATTCACCAAAAATCTGAAAAACATTGCTAATATGGTTGCCGTATCACAACAAGTTAGCAATCCCCCAGCAATTTCGCATTCAGTAGAGCTTAAGACGGACAAAGTTGTTAAAACGGACCAAGAGAAGGGTGTGTCAGTTTCAGCAGCACCAGCTGGTCCCACTCGTTCCATGAACAGTTGGGGAGATGTGGAACACCTGTTCGAAGGATATGATGACACTGAAAGAGTGGCTATCCAAAGAGAGAGAACTCGGAGGTTGGAGGAACAGAATAAAATGTTTGCATCTAAAAAGCTCTCTCTTGTCTTGGATTTAGACCACACCCTTCTCAATTCAGCTAAGGTTTGTTCATCTCCCATCTAGTTTGCTTAATTTTCTTATATATTCTTTTCTAAAGCTTTCTATTTGTTGTCTTCAGTTTCATGAGGTTGAATCAGCACACGATGCGATTTTGAGAAACAAGGAAGAACAAGATCGTGAGAAACAGTATAGACATCTCTTTCGTTTCCAACACATGGGAATGTGGACTAAATTGAGACCAGGGATTTGGAATTTTTTGGAGAAGGTGACTTACTTAGCTAATGATATTTTTTTCATGCTGGTCGACTCTGTTTGCAAGACTTCAATGTAACATTTTCCTGTTAATTTCAGGCTAGCAAGCTGTACGAGTTACATCTTTACACTATGGGGAACAAACTGTACGCTACAGAAATGGCCAAACTGCTTGATCCCAAAGGGGTTCTCTTTAATGGACGAGTCATATCGAAAGGAGATGATGGAGATCCCATTGATGGAGATGACCGAGTCCCAAAGAGCAAAGATTTAGAAGGAGTCATGGGTATGGAATCGTCTGTGGTCATCATAGATGACTCTGTCCGAGTGTGGCCTCATAACAAAATGAACTTAATAGTTGTTGAAAGGTATTTCATCTTTCACAACATTACCTTATTACATGCTTACTGTATAATATTGGTCTGCTGATGTGTGTTTCTTGTGTGGCAGATATACTTATTTCCCTTGCAGTAGACGGCAATTTGGGCTTCTTGGCCCTTCTCTTCTTGAAGTAGATTTCGATGAGCGACCTGAAGAGGGCACATTGGCATCTACATTAGCGGTTATTGAGAGAATACATAAAAATTTCTTCTCGCACGCTTCACTGGAAGAAGCAGATGTGAGGAATATATTAGCTTCCGAGCAACGGAAGATATTGGCTGGTTGTCGGATTGTATTTAGTCGGATAATCCCGGTGGGGGAAGCGAAGCCGCACTTGCATCCCTTGTGGCAAACTGCAGAACAGTTTGGTGCAGTGTGCACAACACAGGTGGATGAACAGGTCACTCATGTTGTCACCAATTCTCTTGGAACTGATAAGGTAAGGAAGGAAGTCTGAATTAATTTGTAACTGTTGGGATGGAGAAGAAACAGATTATGAATGTGTTTTGTTTAAGCAGGTTAATTGGGCACTAAGCAGAGGTAGATTTGTTGTTCATCCTGGCTGGTAAGACCACTCTTGGTTTCTGTTTAAAGATAGACAAAAACATTATTGTCTCTTCTTGTTTTGTAATAGTTATCATTGTCCGAGTGCAGGGTGGAAGCATCAGCTTATCTGTACCAGAGAGCAAACGAGAGCAATTTTGCCATCAACCCGTAAACCAAAATTCATATTCCGCCCTCTAAACATCCACACCATACGGTGGAATTTGAGACTTGATAAGGCCTGAAATCCCAATAAGGCCATATCGGGTTTGATTAGACAAAGCCCCGGGGGTTGGCGATTTGGGGTTACATAGGCATTCTTTGGCCCCGAGAAGAGGCAATTCGTTGAAATGCCAAAAGTATTGGGGACTTTAACTAAACAAGGTCGACGTTCTGCCAATAGAGCTACTAACTTGTGGGAGGGTGAAGGAAAGTGGTTCTTCTCTGGAGACAAAATAACACCAGAGAGAGAGAGAGACCCAATTAGAAAGTGATGATGGGTCAAGGTGATGTGCCAAGGAGAGAGGATCATGTTCAGTTTTGGTCCTCGTCTGTTGTGTTGAATCGTGATGAGTCGGTTCGGTTCGGGCCGATAAAATGTTTATTTATGCTCAATGATGATGGGGTACCAAGCCAACAAATCTGCACCGCAGTTGAATGATTAAAATGTTAAATGTTGATGCCTTCCTTGTTATTCCCAGAAGTGGTGGAGAAAGAAAAGTTCATTCAAGACAAAGGAGACTACATTAAAACTGTGTTACTGGACCTTCAAGTTACTACTGGTATATAACAAAGGGCAACTTAAAAGTACACAGAAAATAATCAATGCCATAAAAAAGAACACAGAAGAATTCTCAGATAGATCAATGCCACATACGACTAAAAAGGATTGGTGAAAAATCCTTAAATACTCGAGTAATCAGTTCAAGAAGAAGAAGAAGATACTGCTCTTTATCCACAAAAGAAAAGAAGAATAAGAACCTGCTTAACAAGAAGAGAGAAGAAGAATCCTCAGAGCCTCTCGATTATATACGAGTTGAAAAACTTGGTGAAAAATATTAAACACGTAGGTCATTAGTAATGGTTCTGCTTAAATCCAGAGGACGAAGAGAAAAAACAGAGAGAAGAAGAATCTGCGAAGTTCTTGCACTGAAATTACGACACATCAAATAATTTGAAATAACCACACAAAAAAAATGATTATAACATCTTTACAATAAGTAACGCAAGGTGTACTATTTATTACTTGTGGTTCTTCATGAGCTAATAGCTGGAACTTATTGAAGAAACTATTGATAACAAACTACGTCAAGAAGGGATTATGCAAAGGAAATGATGTGCTTTTGCGGAGACTAAAAGGATACAGGTTCGAAGGAGACGTAGAATCATTGCAGCTCATAAAGGAGTGGTTGTTCAAAGATCAAAGGTCTCGAGCTTTCATGAAAGCTATTCTTTCTTTCGATTTTAAAGTTTAAAAGTTCTAAAACAACAGTTTATACCACTGGCTGTAAAAAAAAAGGTTTCATTTTCAATACAAAGTCCATTCTTCATAAACACAACAAGAAATCTAATTTGCATAATACAAGGACGCATAAAAAGCGGATCATAAGTAGATCATCATAGAGCTTAAGAATCAGTAACGACTTGGGAAGCAACACCGCTCCAGGAACCAGCAACAACATAGCGTCGTCAAACTGCATCATTCCCAAACATGCAATAGAGATTATTTTTTCTTTTAAATAGGCAAATCTACTTCCACTTTTTCATGGTTTTATCAAAGCGTGACACAGAATTTTTTTGAAAAGAAAAACTAAGAAATATAATAATAGTGGGTTACCAGCTTCTGAGGAAAGGAAAGCAGCCCACATATTCTCCTTCTCCATAGTATTCATCTGATCTATATGGACGCAGCGGCGGTGGATGCGGCTGACCGTAGCCACCATAGTAGTCTTGAAACCTTGTCCTTGTTGGTGGATACGGTGGCGGTGGAGCCTCCATTATCGGTTGGTATAGTGGTGACGGCCCTGCAAAATTCATACAAATATATATATATATATATATAAACATGCATGTTTTACTTAATTAAATTTATATACCAAGAAGAAAAGTAATATATACGAAAAATAGACCTTGAGGGTTGCCTTGTGGTTGTGGTTGGTATGAATCATGGGAAACATGGTAAGATGCCATTGTGAAGCTTTCGATTTTGCAACTCGTTTGGCAATAGAACTCAAAAAGTTCAAAGAAGTTTTGATTCAAAAAGTGATGTTTTGAAAATATCTCACAACATACGAGACATTTCTCACTCTATTACCAAAATTTAATTTTATTCTAGAACAATGGTTTTGTCGAGGGAAAGGCACTTGGCAATTGTGGTCTATTGACGTGTTGGCTAGCAAACAGCGTGACGAGCTACTTGGCAGAAAAAAATCCGGTTTAATCTGATTTGGGTCGGTGCCCTTCCGGTTCGGCTTGATTTTGAATTTTCAAGTCGTCTCCATTCTCTCTACCGGTCAATATTAATAGCGTTTATTCGGTTTGGTCCATTTCTCATCTATAAATTATAAAGCGAGGCCAAAGTTAATGTCGACTATGTTTGGTACCATCAAAATTTCTCTTTTGTCGTTAAAACGTAACTAGTTAAAAAATGGGAAATTTGATGGGAGGGTGGGTTTTGAGTTTGTAATTAACTTTTTGGCCGAGACGAGTTTCGAATTAGCAAAAGAGGTGGTTCACTGTTGGGCCCTTCGCAATGGCCCCGACCAAGTGTCCAAAATTACCAAGTATGCCACTTCATATACAAACATGATAATAATTAATGGCAGACAGAACTCAGGGTATGGGGCCCATGGAACCCCCCCTCCCCCACCAGTGCCACGACTATACACCCATTGAACCACCTCCGTTGAACCGCGGGTCCGAGAGAACCGGTCTGAGAGTGAAAATGGTTTGCGTATTATGGTTTACCCGGTCCGGATCGTGAAGGGCCAACGCCGGTTCGGTGGAAGGTGGGTTAAGCGGTTGGCTTGGTATTTTGAAGACCGACTTATAGCATCGTCTTCTCCGTTTCGAAATCATAAATGCGAAAACGATTAACCAAAGTTTGCAACCGTAATCGTCTAACATTCTCAGTGGGACATTAATCGAGAGGAGTTTTCAAGATCTAGATGGGAAGAAAGAGGAAGATGCCTGCCCCAACATCGCCGGCGCCGGTGGCGAGAAAACTTCGGAGTAACACACGGATCGAGGAATCGGGCGCGGTCACCGCCGTCTCGCAAGTGGAAAACCAAGGTCAGAGCTTCGGATAAACCCTACGATTGTCAAATTAAAGATAGATAGGGTGACTTACTCACCACCTTCTCAAACAATTATCAATAGGGTTCTGTGGGTGTTGATTAGGATTTAGCAGAGGGAAGATTAAAGTTTCATATAGGGTGGGTTCGGATTTGATTAGCAAAATTAGATAAAATCACAAGATCTGAATGCATTCGTTACTTTATGGGACACTTTATTAAGGGATTATTAAAGATTCGGTTTCAATCGTATTGTAGGGACATCAGCGAAAAAAGACGGCAACTCAACTGAGCTTCCTGGTCGTTTATATGCGGCAGACTGTTACCCAGGAGGACCTCAGAGACTAAACATCTATGCGAAAGCAAATGTCATCGGCCAAGTGGTTGCGGCGTTGCAAGGGCATGAGGAGTTGGAACATCTCCGGCAAACGCAGTTCGCCGGATTGCTGAATCTTCCGGTAGCACGATCCTCTAATTCCGCTAAACTTATTCACGCTCTGCTTGCCCGGCAACTGGTGACTAGGAGAAGATATGAACTGTGGACAGTGTTCGGTCCGAACCCAATTCGTTTCTCGCTCAGGGAATTTAAACGAATTACTGGGCTCTACTGCGGGAAAATTCCGGAGGACCATTTGGCGGAGAGGGAGACAAGTCCAGAAACGAGTTCATCAAGTCAGTCTACTGAAGACGATGATGGGAAAAAGAAACAAATGTCAACTATGTGGAAAGACTTGTTTGGGAGGAAGGATGCGCAAGTAACTGTTGATGATGCCATTGCCATGCTAGAGGATCCGAATTTGGCTCAGTGGAAAAGGATGCCCCTGGCTCTTATAATCCTGGTGGAAGGTGTTCTTATATGCCGTGACAAGCATCTCGTATTCACACCCTCATACGTGGATATGCTATGCGATATGGAGTACTTCCTCGAGTTTCTTTGGGGCAGAGAATCTTTCTTGAAAACGATAGTGAGGTTTATCCCCAGCGGAAATGTTGAAGGAGTCGGCGATGAATCGGCGGAGGGAGATGTAGTCCAATTGCGTCCTGCGGATCCCCTAGGAGCGATGAGACACTAGCTGAACCAGCAAACCAGCGTTTGTAATGGTTTCCCATTGGCTCTGCAGCTGCTGGCTTTGGAAGCCATTCCGCTTCTTGCCCAGAAAATCCCCGACCCCGGAAACCTGAATACCTTTCTGACTGATCCCAAACCCACAAAGAATACTATTACTATTCTTCATCTGAATACGATTGTGGACGTGGAACGCGATCCTAACGTAAGTGTCGACCAACCTAAATCGCTTTTAATGTCTTTTATGTCTGTTGATGTGGTAGTTTTGGGTGTATAGGTCAGACATATCGCAATTAATATTGACGTCAGTGTACACTTTTGCATTAGTTTAGGTGTACGCAGGATGCATTATAAGTGTCGACCAACCTAAATCGCTTTTAATGTCTTTTATGTCTGTTGATGTGGTAGTTTTGGGTGTATAGGTCAGACATATCGCAATTAATATTGACGTCAGTGTACACTTTTGCATTAGTTTAGGTGTACGCAGGATCCTAACGTATGTCAGGATCCTTAAGTTTTGGTTGTGTAGGTCATAGAGAGCACTATAATCAGGACATAAGTGTAATTGTACGCATGATGCATTATAAGGTTAAGTGTGGGATATCTGACGTAACCACTGCGGAAGAAGTGTAGGACGTGAAGCATGTACACTTCGTTTGTAGGAAACGAAAGTGTACAGTAAGGCTAAAGTTTTGCGGATGCTATTTTGTTTATTGTTTCGTAAGACGTTAAAGTTTTATATGTGGACGTGTAGTTGGAGGTGTTGTGTTCGTATGACGAGGATGAAGCGGAGGAGGTGCAGTGGGATGATGAAGTGGTCGATGAAAAAGTTGAATACTTACTGAAACTCAAGAGGGGCGGTTACAAGTTTAAGAAGTCTGATTTCAAAGGCGGAGACACAACCTTTGTTCCCATCGTAAACGCGAAGAATAGAGAAGGAAAAAACGGGAGGAAAAGAAATCATGTGAAGATGGAGGGGACGGATTCCAAGGATGGTCCGACACCAAAAAAGGCCGTAGAAAAGAAGGAGAAACAAGGAGTGAAACCTTTGCGCAGAGGAGTGCCAAAGAGAAAGAGGGGCCGTGATGGTAGGGATAGATCGAAGAGTGTTGAGGAATCTGGCGAGGAATTTCTTCCTCAGCAGGTGGTATTGGAAATTGTCGACGAGATGAAGAGCTGGATGTTAGGCCATCTGAACCAAATGAAGGAAGCTCTTTTGGTAGCTGTGGCTGAAGAGAGAGAGAAGGGAAAGGAGAAAGTTGAAGGCGGAGGCTCAACAGACGGGAAAGAAAATGCAAGGGCCGGTGCGAAAGGAAATATTGGAAGACCTAGGGAACCTACTCCGGGTCAGGGTGAAAAAGGTGGAGAAAGTGGTTGGGAAACTGAAAGTGAAAAAGAAAGTTATAAACTTCTCGCTAGGAGAGGAAATAGGGAAAAAGTGGCAGCTGAAAACGAGGAAGCGTCGGCAGGACTCAGAAGCGGTCCGTTGAACAAGAAACCTAGGGTGGTGGGATGGGAAGGGGATGATTATTTGAATACAAGATCGGATGAGGCGGGGAAAGAGTGAACTGGAGTAGATGAGGAGACGAGTACGTGGAAGTATTACGGTGGAACTCTGGATGTGTTGGCTGAGTTAGGCGTTGATAAAGTAGACAAATCTCCGAATGTAGGAGAAGAATTGGGTGGTCGTGGGGAAGGAGGAACCGTTGTAGCTGACGGAGGAAAGACGAACCGTAAGGAGGACAAGGTGTGGATGCTGGGGAGAAGGTGGTGGATGTGGGGAGGAAGAAAATAAAGAGCTGTTGGTTGAAGAGAAAGAAGACGAAGGAGTTACGCCGGGGGAGGAGATGCTTGAAAAAGAGGATGATGATTGCGAGGAAGGTGATGAAGGCGGAATTCCAGAGAGCGAAGGAGTTAGGGAACGAGAGACAGGTCAGGAAACGGAAGGAGGAGATGGGAAAGAAATGAAGGGCGTCCAAGTTTCTGTAAGGATAATGTTTTGCTATACAACTACTGAGAATTACCTTCGATTTTATGATTTGTATAACAAATCATGTTCCCAATTTAATTTAAATGTGAGCCACAGGTTGGGGAGAAGGAAATATTAGAAAGAGCAGAAAGCGAGAAGGAAGGAGTTGAAGGGGGCTGTAGCATGGTCGAAAGAGAGGAGGAAAAAATAATATCATATGACAAAACTGGTGAGGAAGACAGTGAAGGAGGGATAGGGGATGGCAATGCAAAGGAAGTTCACGTAAGGGTTATTTTGAATTAAATTCGCAGGTAAATAACACATATTATAATCCTTCTGTTATTATTAACAATCTGGCTTGCAGGAAGAAGAAAAGCGAGAGGCCGAAGGTGAAGAAACCGCATGGTGCGAAGCGGTACACCAGGTAAACACGTACACCATATTACCGTAGAACTTGGTAGCGAAAGAGTATTTTCTGTAGCCCAAACTCCATCCACCGTTGTCAAACCTTGTACAGATATGTCTATCGCTCACATGATGAAGTTTTGTTGTTTGAAAATATAATTGCAATAGGTGTCAGCCGAGGAAGCAGTGGCCGGTAGTGATGTAGGAGCCGTTGGTGAGTACACCGACACTGAAAAACTCCTGAGAAAGTTACGGAGAACGTAGAGGACGAAGGTGATGAAGCAATGAAGACCCCTGAAAAAGAAAAAGCTGATGTTGACTGAGCAATGCGGAGCCGTTTACATCTGCCGGTGGTCAGGCAAGCGGCAACAGTACTCTGCCTCAGAAAGGTGAGGAGAAGCGCGTCCCGCAGTTGTCTCAGAGAGTGAATGAGAGGGAATACATTGGGGATCCACGAGTGTGGGGGCTTTTTGCAAGTCGAACTGAACCGAGATATGAACCCATTAACCGAGCACTGTACCGAGTTACAAAGATGAGTTCAAGATATTCCAAAGGGCTTTAAAGGAAAATACGAAGAAGTGCGTTCGAAATGCGTGATTTGTTATGTGTTTTATAGGTTTGTAGGTTAATAGATTTGCGTACTAAAAAGTGACGGTCTTATTTTGCTTCGCAGGGAATTCAGCATAGTGACTGGTCACACCGTTACTAACAAATTATTCTTGGAGATTGCGAAGAAACAAGAATGGGTCGGCACTGAGGTATGTGAAAGGAGAAAAGAAATAATGTTTTTTCGTACACCGTGCCTAAAAATCAATTGAGCGTACACCATCATCTAACTTTCCGTCAAATTGGAATTTCAGCACATGGAGGTTATAATGACAATGTTGTGGCGTCGCCGAGGAGAGGTATTGGTGAAAGACCGAGCAGTATTCGTAGAGAGTGCCTTCACTTCACTTGTGGCTTCAATGTACCCTGTATTTAAGATATGCGATGACAAAAGTGCGTTCGACTGGGGAAACAACGTTCGGAGCTTTGTTTCGGGTAAAAGTAGAGGAAAAAAACTGAAGTCCGAATTTGTGACGAACGTGGACATGTTGTACGTCCCGATGAACTGGGTAATGATCACTGGGTTGGTTTGGTGATAGACATTCCCGGAAGTTATGTGGAAGTACTTGACCCGTACGTCGACTACAACCATAAAGAAGCTGTGGTCGAAGCGTACATGGAACCGGTCGTTCAGTCAATGCCTTGGATACTGAAGCGGGTGGGCGAGGACCGGTGGTCTGTATCAAAACACTAGGGCTGGTGATTGCGGACCTTGCGCGGCGAAGTTCCTAGAGATGCACGCACATGGGCTTCACGAAGAAATGTCTACGGTTGACTGATGAGGATGTGGATAGGTTTCGTGAGAAATACGCTATGGACTGCTACGAGGAGTTCGTGGGGAAAGCAAACGTAGCAAACAAATGATACGTCTACAAATATATTTGAAATCGACTATTAATCATCCTGTCGAACTCTGTTTGTGTTTTTACCTTTGTTACCGTTTCTCCATGACTTTGTTACTTATTTCGTCAAGACTTGCGTTCGTAGATGCCATATGTTATATCTTGAACTCATAGTAACGGTGTTTACACTATGGGAACTTCCTGGGCGAACGAAATCTATTATGACCCCCTTTCTGTATGCAAAGCGTTTAGTGTATAGGAAACTTCGAGATTGGATTTTAGTCTTCGTAGATGTTATGTGTTATATCTGAAACTGATATAATGAGTACAATATGCAACGAAATATTTCATAACCCGTTTCTCTATGCAGCGCATTTTTGTTTTAGGAAAATGTTTTTGTTTTACGATTATGTTGTTTAGCCTGACTGAGCTTCCTGTGTGGATTTGAATTGGCGAACTATCCCATAATGTAACTATCCTGTATGCGACGTTGTTACACCCAGGCCAAAAATTGTACTGTTTCAATAGTAGTTTTTGTAGTGCATCAGACGGAATTTGATGTAGGACGCATAAATCGAGGAATGTGGGCCAGAGTTTTCAAAATAATAATATTATTATAATATTATTTATGCCGAACAGCTGTAAAACACTCGCCCAATTTGAATGGAAAAACGTAAGTCAACATGTCAAATCAACTTAAGGCTTTCGGGGAAAAAACCCGATTTTTGAGGGCAATGACACGTGTACGGTGAAAACCACTATCACCACCAGTCATATACGCTATAGATTTGGTCTCATTTCACAAGCATACAGACATGGAGTCCAATTCTTCTTCCTCCGCTGGCGGTGCCCAATTGACAAGGTGGACGGGGTCACCTCTCTGCCGATGTCTTGAATCCCCGATAGTACTGACTTCGTGGACGGACCAGAACCCTGGTCGCGAGTTCTACAAGTGTCCTATAATGAACTCGCGATTCGAGTGTGGGTGTGATTACTTTAGCTGGGTTGACAACGAGCCACCCCATGGATGGCAGAAACGAGCGCTGATTAAAGCGAGGAACCGGATCCGCGCGCTGAAGACGGAGGTGGAGTACTACAAAAGGTTGAAGGATGAGGCCGAGGCGAGAATTAGTGCGAACGTCACTGGCGCCGCTGACTCCAATCTTCTTCTACGTCATGTTGAAGGGCCACCCGAGAGGTATGGATCGATCCGATCTTTCGTTGGATCAATTAACCTGCCTAAGTTGTCCTCTGTTTTAGTTGTCATTGTGGCGACAGCTGGGATAGTTTCCCTGTTCGCATATTAAATTGTTGTCTCGTTTTACTGCTTCCCTTCCCGTTTCAGCTGCTAAGCTGTGAACTTATGTTTTAGTTTCGACGATTACCCTAATGTTTATTCATATCTAATGGTGTAGTTAAGTTCTTCATGTTGTTGATTTCCCTTTGAATATGGCAGTACATTATGAATGATGTGTTAAATGAATCAATCCACCATTTTTATAGTCTATAGTGTACGCGTACGCGTACAACTGAATTGCCTCTTGTGGATGTTTGCAAAACATGCCCCACAATACCCTCGCAACAAACAAAACGGAATAAGCTAGTGTACGCTTTCACTTTTACGTACGAGTAGGGATTGTACACCACTGTTGACTACGTACGTTCCAAACAAATTTACCCTAAAAAGAGCATCGGCATTAAATACGAAATTAATTTTCCAACCGTCCATGCTTCGCGGATTGTTCATCACTCGCTCTGGGACGGGTATATATTGGAATAATTATCCATTTATGAAGCGTATTATAGTGTTGGCGATAATGAAGGTTCTCGCTGAATCGATGACTCTTCCCTTCATATCGGACGGTATATTGGTGGAGATAATGAAGATTCTCGCTGAAGCCGAAGTGTCGTACCTTTCTCCATTTGTTCGTGTCGGCAAGCGCACCTGGAACATCGCAGGGATGGCGGAGGTTTTTCAGAAATGTAACTTCACACATTTAATCTATGAAAACCACTAGGACATCATGCCGGGTGGGAGAGCTAGACGTTTATTCCAAAGGTGTTGCGAAGTCGGTAATTTGGAAGCGGTGTACTTCGAAGGACTACGCCTCGCCATCCACTCAGTTGATATAAAGCTTGGGATAGAGATGTTGGTCCGTAACGACAAAGGACATGGTAAGTCGACCCTCGCAGCTGCATTTTTCGCAATATGTTCTGGAGATCGGGAACAGGCTAGCGTATTGTTTAAGAGTTTTTCGGCGAACCACGGTGGTCTTGTTTCAGAGAAGGCCAGATTTCTCGGAAATGAGGTAAAGTGGGACATAGTCATGCTCAATCCACCTGGACTCGATACTTATATGGAGACGTTTTCGTATCCCGATGACGATGTAGTTTACCTCCCGGAGTGCGTGGATGACCATGTCTTCCCTCACTTATGCCACTTATGTTACATGTATTCGTGCGCACTAGAAGTTTGTGGTATGTTGTAAAAAATCGGATTCAATGTTGGAAAACACCGATGTACGAAGAACACCTGTCTAAAAGTAATTATAAACGACGAAAAGTTTGCTCGCTAAATGTTAAATATCTCTTCATGGAAGATAACTCGCAAGTCAATTATTGCAGGGTTTAGTAGTTGAGAGTGTTATTTTCTGAGTGGACGTTGGCGTAAATGCTGGAGTTCCCAACTACCTCCACGAGTATGAGTTAGTCTATATAATACTGACACAATTCGGAACCGCTTACTTCATCTTCAGACCTCGTCGACCGTAGTTATGACGTTACCCGATCTGCCAGACGAAATTTTGTTGGAGATCAAGCAGAGGTGTGGTGATGATGACTACCGATTTCTCACCCCTTTCGTTGTAGCTGGCAAGCGCTCGAACCGCCTTGTATACTCATCGGAGATTCTGCGTACATGCAATCTGACTGCGTTGTGTGTAGAGCCGTTGGATTTCATACCAGGAATGCGGAGGTTGAGGGGTCGTCCTTTTTTCGAGCGATGTCTTCGTGAAGGTAATATACAAGCCGCGTACTTCGAGGCCCTCCGACTTATTATACACTGTGGGGACTTTGAAGGCGGACTGAACCTGATGGAACCCAACATTCCTGACGATGGAAAGTCAACTCTTGCATCAGCCCTCTTCTACTGCTTGCTCGGCGACACCGACGAAGCAGGTTATCTTTTCCAATGCTTTGATGCCAAACATGACCACCTGGTATCGGATAAGGCTAGAAGAATCGGTCAGGAAATAGTGAGAGAAGTCGGGTCCTTCTATCCACCTTTCGGAGGATATTTTAGTTACTCGTTCCTATTTCCGCCGGCTCTTATGCCGGAGTGTGCGTACGATCACGACCCAGGTCATGATCCAGTCTGTCACACTTGCTATATCTACTGGGTCGCTCACCGTGTTTGTGCCCAGTTGTAGAATGTCGGAGTATGGTACGTGTCAGCCACTAATAAGCTATGTATTGCATGTCGTAATGCCTATTTGCCACATAATATGTCCACCATGTACCATTTAAAAAAGTGTTTCCCTAGCTAATATGTAATGGGATAGTTAGCGTAATGGGATAAATATTTCCCGCTTTTCTAGAATGTATCAATTTATTACGCCTCCTTTCGAAATTCAAACACGCAGCAGTTAATACCCTCCTAAACGAGAACCGAGGTGATATTACTACCATATTTGGAAGATATACGTCCCATCTCAGAAGATATACGTCCCATCCACTATGTCTCCACTATCGCAATTAAAACAGTAGTTAGGAGTTAGGCTATTTTATGATTTAAAGGGGTTAACCGGCCACGAAACAAAATATTCTCCTTATTCTTGGTTCGGTGATCCACCACAGTTTCCGGTTTCTTACTCGAGGTCGCAATGAAGAACCCTGATTTACCGGATGATATTCTTAGGAGAATAATTGAAACGGTTGCGGCTGATGACTATGCGCGCCTCGGAGGATTCATCCGCGCAGGAAAGGGAACAAACGAGATGGTTTTCTCCAAGAAAGTTCTCTCAACCGTCAACGTATTTCCAATGTTCTGGAAGAACTACAGGGACTTCGAACCCAGAGGAAGATGCCGGATATTCTGGGAAAAGAGTCTTGCTCAGCTTAATCTCGAAGTTGTGTATTTCGAACGGTTGCGTATAGCGATTCACGATGGCGAGGTATACGGCGCTACTTACCTCTTAGAAGCTATAATCCCGTCGGATCCGAGAGCTACTCTTGCGGCTGCAATGCTTTGCGTCTGCTTAGGGGAGACTGCACAAGCGAGTCAATTGTTCCGGGAGTTCACCTCACATTATGCACCTCTCCACTCAGAATATGCGAGGCTTATCGGAGACGCCGTCAAGGAGGACATTTTCTGGTTTAACCCTCCATACGGCAGCTCACTGGAGTATAGCTTCCTCTACCCAGACGACGAGTTCGTTCAGAAGCCGGAATGCGTGTCAGAGGATTGCGGCTACGGAGAGAGGTACTGCAACATGTGCTACATTCACTGGTGTTCGAAGTTGATATGCGGAATGCTTCCGTGATTCTTCCGAATTTCGTTTTTCCGGACGGGTGGACGGCGTTTGACACTTTTATATTTTCCGGTTAAATATGAGTATGCGAATGTTTAGAAATAGTCTATTACTCTCGCTTGCATTCTACCTTTCTTACTAACTTTTTGGTGTTGACAATCGGTACTATGTACGCAAAGCTGCAGCTATAAGTTATGGAATTACAATTTCTGGTTGATTATAACACAAAATCGTCTAGGTGGATCTGTTACGATTAATACAAATTAATGCGATTAAAATATAGCTAAACACTTACGATTAATACGGAGAATAAGTTAAACATCTTTAACAATAGGTAAACACTTACGATTAAATTATAGCTAAACACCTACGATTAAATACGGACCATAAGTAATGTATACGGAGGACTAGCTCGTAATAATAAGATTAATACGAGCATAATACGATTACATAATAGATAAAGACCTACGAATAAAACGGAGCATAACACACAAGGCTATGATAAAATAAAAGATAAACATCTTTAACAATGTCACGGCAAAGAAATAAGTTCAAGTTTGAGGAGGAAAGAGGAAAGTTTGAGGAGGAAAGGAGAAATAACACAAACAGCATCATCATACTACTGCCTTTATGCCGAAGAATTGTCTCCCATTTCCACCACCTCCGAGAAATTTGCATCCTCTCCTTCATTCCTGGAGGTTTGGGCACACACATAAGTTTTAGCAAAGGGATAATCACGAATGTAGTAATGGACATAAAAACGCTTAATTTAGTTTCCCTTCACCTGCGCACCATTGGGGGGAGGCCAGGCATATCAGGATCGAACCAAAAGCGGCAGTATTCTCCACCGTCGACGATCATGTCTTCGTAACTCATGCTGTGCATCACTATAACGAAGTAAATCATTATCCGTGTTCAAACTACTTATGTTCTCCGGCGTACACCAGCCGAAATGAACTTACCACTACCAATTAAGAAGTACACTTACCTCTGGAACGCGAGACCCTCCACTCACTTAGGATACAGCGGACAACCGCTCCATGAGGACGTAACCAGTGGTATGAGAACTCCTCAGCCACTCTTCCATAGGCAATACAGTAGAGCTCGACGTTTCTGGATAGGTTTTTCCAAAGTCAATAAATCATGGAAACAGGAAATGGATATAGAGGGAATTATAACCTGGCGTTCGTGATGGTGAAAGGGATTGACCTTTCCGCCCCAGCGCTATTCTTCGTCGGCGATAACTTCCCGACGGTGTGGATAGTCCCGATCAAATCTGAAATTGACAGTGGAGTTTAAACCCAAAAGCCCGGAATGAAGCAAGAGTTCTAATCTAATCTAACTTGGGAAATCCCGGAATGTTTACCAATTGGGTACGCAATATTGAAGAATCCCGAATTCACTTCTTCGAAGGAAGTGAAATTGAAGAAGTGGTGGTCCGACAACGGAGGGATTGGACTGCAGGTTGCCGTTGACGGGATGATGAGCATTGACATGTGCGTGGATAACAAATGGTTTGGATCTTTCCAAGTTGCGCTCGAGACAACAGCGCTGGCGATTTTTATCCACGCTCCTTCGGGAACGTCCTCGAAAGTTCCATAAGCCAGATCATTGACGGCTGCATGGATCTTCGTTCCCTGTAAAACGAAGTTGCTGTTAGACGTAAATCGGGATCGGAGACACGGATAAACAGAAGTGACAGAAAACTGACTTCCTCGTCAACAAGTAGGAAGGAGAGAGTCGGCGTTGTTCCGTCGTCGGTGGTATATCTTCCCTTCACCTTCCGGAAAACCTTTACCTTGATTGTAGCATATGTGTCCTGAATGAATCGCGGAGGCAAATCTTTGAGAAGTTGATACATGGTGTTTCGATTTCGTTGATTGGGGGAAGATGAAATGGTTGAGTTTGTCTTAAAGATTTCTAAGAGGAAATAAATGGGAAATCTTTGGAAATAAATGGGAGACGGAAGAGGAGCGGTTTCTAAGAGCGGTTTGAGAGAGAAGTTGCGTCTTTCGAGAGTAGGAGAGGAAATGAACTGTTTACTATGCCGGTTTCTAAGAGCGGTAATGATTATAATTTCGGGAAGGTAAATGTCATATTAACTGAGATTGAGTGTTGGTAGTTGCGTACTAGATGTATACGTGATTAATGTAAGGGATAATTGAAACGTCTCATCAGTAGGTCGAAATGAAAAAGATATGACCGGGAGCAATTGAACCGGATGTATTATATGTTTACTTATTTATTTTCCCTAGATAAAAGGAGACTTAAATTTAAATGGGAATTGTTGAATTAATCATCAGCCCTATTTGTTTTCAATTGGACCGGCGCCACCTTAGTTAAGTCCATATTCCTAATTCAATTGTTAATGAAAGTATATTTCCGCGTCATATCATATCTTAATGGGATTGCTACTTTCTGGTCCGAAAACTATAGCTAGTGCATAATCATCTAGTCCATTATGGTTCAGACCAAATAATATGTTCATGAATGGTTTGATCGAGGATGACAGTATTAATGGAAGGGATAGTTCCCACAAACTATAGTCTATTTGTTAGTGAAAGTATATTTCCGTGTCATATCATATCATATCATAATGGGATTGTTACTTTCTAATCCAAAAACTATAGCTACTGCATAATCACCAAATCCATTATGGTTCAGACCAAATAATATGTTCATGAATGGTTTGATCGAGGATGACAGTATTAATGGAAGGGATAGTTGATAATAATGAATTCCACAATGTACTTTCCGCGTCATATCATATCATATCATAATGGGATTGTTACTTTCTAATCCGAAAACTATAGCTACTGCATAATCACCAAGTCCATTATGGTTCAGACCAAATAATATGTTCATGAATGGTTTGATCGAGGATGACAGTATTAATGGAAGGGATAGTTGATGATAATGAATTCCACAATGAAAACAACATAAAAAAATCTGATTTTCGTTATGTCATTACATGGGTTTGCATCAAGAGAAAAAAATCATCAGGATCGAAACAACTATCCGTACTAATGGCCCAAAGGCTTAATATTTTACATCTACGGAGTCCAACTGCCCACAGTTTCAGCGAGATCTCCTGTACTCCGGTCGCCTTCAACTCTGCGTGTAATGGGTGAACAAAATCAGAAACGCAACGCACCATGATTGTACACGAAGGAAAGTATCACTAATTTAAGTTGTTCCCCTCACCTTATTGGTGATGCCGGTATACCCGCTATCTCCGGATCGAGCCAAAAGCGGCAATATTCTCCACCGTCGACGATCATGTCTTCATACCTCATGTTGTGCATCACTGCGTATCCAAATTTGTCACACTCGTTGCTTTTCAAAGTTCGGCGTACACCAGCCGAAATGAAATGTCGACTACCAATTAAGAAGTACACTTACCTCTGGAACGCGATACCCTCCACTCACTTAGGATACAGCGGACAACCGCTCCACGAGGACGTAACCACTAGTATGCGAATTCCTCTGCCACTCTGCCGTACGCAATACAGTACAATTCGACGTCCCTGGCCCTCTAGAATGGTTAGCAATTGTGATATAAAAGTGTGGAAAAGTGTATAGAAGTTCCGTCTGATACCTTTCTTCCCTCAATGTAAATGGGATGGATCTTTCGGCCTTGGAACTATTCTTCGCTGGTGACAACTTCCCAACGCTGTGGACAGTCCCTATCAAATCTGCCATTTTGAATTGCGTCAGCGAAAGGAAAACCTTCATTATTCTTCGTACAGACGCGGCATACACTTCATTATTATTAGTACAGAGAAGTATGTTACCTATGGGGTATGCGATGTCGAACCAACCGGATGTCACATCCTCGAAGGGGGTGAATTTGAAGAAGTGGTGTACTGACAACGTCAGAGCTGGTGTGACGGTCGCCGTAGATGGAATGATGAGTTTGGACCGGTGCCTCGTGATATGGTGATCCGGGTGTCTCCAGTTAGCGCTAGACCAGTAATTTGAACCCACGATCCTTCAGGCAGGTCGCTAAAACGGTGATACGCGTCCGGTTGGACGGTTGCATGTATCTTCGTACCCTGAAACAGAGAGCGGGGGCACAAAAGTAAGGGTTCACTTGCATAGATAATGGTAGACATGACAGCATGATAACAGAAAGTAACGTGAACTTACTTCCCTATCGACTAGAATGAAGTCGAGTTTCGAGGACTGTGGAAATGTCCGCAGACGATTGACCACCCGGAAAACCTTAACCGTGATAGTAACGGGTGGAGCACGAGTAGGGAGTCTGGCTAGAAGGGGATACATCTGGTCTAATTATTTTAGCGCTTGACAGATATTATGAAAATATTGGATATAAATAGGCGAGGGTGCTTCAACGTTGGGAGAAAAGTCGCGTCCCCAAAGATGTAGCAGTTATTAGGTTCGTCGAATGCAACGGTAATCGACATCCTCTTGTATGACACCGAGTGCGCGAAAAATTCAAACTTTATTATATGCATTGGTTAGCGGGAATGTTCCTTAATTTCATGTTCCGCATAATGTAAGACACTGAGTCGCATGTATAAGGCGTTATAGTATTGCCGATGGAGTTGTGGCTAGATACTACGAAGTTTTGAAACCCGAAATGTTACGTAACGTGCTTAAGTACAATGAAAATTAAACATTAAACCCACCGTACTGACAACATGGAACGCACCAGAAATTAAAGTCATCCGTTAGCCACCTCTGGGTTGCCTATGAACTCCTCGTATGTGTCCATCGCGTACCTAGCGCGGAATGCGTCCACGTCAGCATCTGTCAGAAGCGCCATTTGCTCAACCCCTTCCCCCGCGGCATGCATCTCTAGATATTTCAGTGTACATGGTCCGCAGTCACCACTTCTACCGTTATGGTAGATGGACTCGGGTCTTGTTCAAGTGTACGGGGCTGTAGAAATGGTCCCGGAGAACTTATCTTTGAGGTATCGCTTCAGAACCCATGGCAATGTTACAAGTAGGGGTTCCATGTGCTGATCCACGTCCGCGTCTGACGGGGCGAAAGGGGTGTACGAGTCGTATATCTCAATACTCGCGCACAGTAGATTGATTACGAGTCCCACCCAATGAGTCCGTCCCCAATCCATCACAGTGTACACCCGGTCAACGTCCCTAAGGAAGCCCGATTACAGCGGCCTGCCTGCTCGACCTCCTCTTCCTGTCACGCATCTTTCAACCACTGGCGACCAATCGCACTCCATGTTAAGAGCCCTTTCTTTGAAAGTTGGATACGATGTGACGATGTAGCTAGTGAAGAAAGGATCTACGAAAAACAGCTCTATCCTTCAGCAAAATGTCGCCTCGTCGCCGTACCAGCATATCTGTACTTGCTGTGTACGATGTAATATTTAGCATACTTAGAACAACGAAACAAAACTCAAAGTCAGGGGTTTCAATTTCGACTGTCTCTTACGCTTGTTCTGATCCAATGTGTTGGCGTTCCGATCTCGAGGAAGGTACTGTTCGAGACGTCCTGCCCATTGATTATCTCGAATGACCTGCGTTTTAACCCAAAATCAAGTCGTTGGAAAATATATAACGTAACTGGTCTATCTTCCGGATTTGTTTGACTTACTTATCTCGGTCCTCTTCTAGAAGTGTTCTGAATGAATTTCACTCCCCCAGGTCAACCGATTGCGTTGGTGCGTATGCGGGTTTAGTCCGACTGGCAAAAAGAGCTACAACCCTTGGGTCACATAGGAACGATCCCCTAAGATGGGCAGACTTGTGCACCACACTTTTTTTCCACGCACGTTAGCGGGGACACGACGAGGTGTATGGTTCTCGGATAAGGGCTGATGTGAGGCCTCCGGCGAGATCGCCTTAGGTGTACTATCCTCTGGTGACGAGACCTCGTATATCTGGACATCTGGTGTGCTGAAGCCTATTTCGATCTGCTTGGTGTGCACAGTAAGCTGAGGGTTACGAGTCCACGGCCTGTCAACATTGGAATCCGGATGAACCACCTTCGTTCTGGACCTGAAAGGAATGGAATGGGAAATTAGTCTTATAATCATCTTAGTTCATCACGAACAGCGTACACATATGGGTAATTACGTCCAATGACTAAAATTTGAGCCTGGACCTATTGCTGTGCGCGAAGGGCTTCCACTTCGTCAGCTGTAATATTTCCCCGTAATGGATGAGGGGTCGGAGTAACTTCATCATTAGGGTTGTCATCCGCAACAGTAGGGAGAATGAACGATACCTTCCGTTTCTTTTTTGGGACGGTGATTTGACGGGAGACGTCAAGCAACCGGAGATCCGATGAACCATCCACTGAGTTGTCCTTTCTTTTAAGCCTAGCGGACCTTCTAAGGGATTTGCCTTCCTTCCCAGTCGGGCCCAACAAGTTCACAGCAGACATCCTCATCCGCTACGTCCATATATCGGACGTCCTCTCCTTCTTCAGAATGCCCATTTGTATTTGCACGGATGTTTTCAGACCTGTTTTCCGGATGCATCTCAGATCCCCCTTCAGAGGTCTGCTCGGTTACTTTGGAAACGCACCCCTCGCCGCCGCCACGTCTTATAGCTTCCACCAGTTCCTCCGTCATAGTACGAAATTGGTCAGCCATCCATTCTTTCAGTTCATCTTTTACCTCGGAGATGGTGCGAAATGTTTGAGGTGAATTCTTCTTACCGGCCGGTTTAGCCGGCGCCTTTGGTTTATCCGGCATCGGTTCCGGCGACCTTTTCACTCTCGCCTCAACTGAGTTTCCATCTTCCTGAGGCTGATCAGAAACTCAGCCATTGTAGATTCACCACCACGAAGTCATCTTCGGTGAACGCATGACCTCCCCGAGCAACTGAACAATCCTATCGACTCCGTCGTCGTGAACCTCATCATCCCACTCGAGGTCTGCGTTATCGCCTTCTGTGACGTCCACTCGAACAGTCAGTTGTATGGAAAACGAGAGGAACGTCATATCAGAAGATGATTTAAACGAATACCAACCGTATACATGGGCGAATTAGATTACGTTCTTAGTGATACGTACGTTAGGGTTCTCCTCTACATGTAGGATATCCTCCGATTGCAACAGAACGATAGGGGTATCGCAGGCGAAGGGCGCTTCCAAAAAAGTGGCGGTGTCTTCCGGGCCGGCAATTTCTCTACCAGTAGTGGGATGGCATCAAAAGCTACCAGCTGCAGTGATAATGGAAATCCGTAGCATGCGGAGGTTTGCTGCCTCAACCTCTGTTTTAGTTCCTTAATAGGGTTTGGATTTAAAGGTGATAGCGGTGCTGGCCCGAAACGGGATAGGGTGCTAAGGAATGATAACCGCCCCCACGGGAATTGTAGAAAGTTCTGTACATCTTCAGCATATCCACGTACGCGGGTGTGATATTCGGTGGCTTGTTGCCAAGGATGACACCGTCAACGAGAATGATCAGAGCCAGATACAACCGCTTACGGTCGGATATATCCTTCCCATTGAGCTTAGACAGAGCTCCCTCCACAGTCACGCGTGTACAATTCCTTCCGAATAGCTCTTTCCACGTACTCGACCGTTCCTTTGGTACTGCAGGTGGATATGTGTGGCCTTTGGGAAGTCTAGAGCACACCAAACCCGTTACACGTTCGAATTCCCGGATGGAGAACCTGAATGGCTTCCCTCCAAAGACCGACCAGATCTCGTATTTCCTCTTCGTTACCAGCTGCCTCGCCAGTATTGCGTGGATGAGTTTCCCGGAATTAGAACATCTACGAACAGGCAACATGAACAGGTGCTTGAACTGAGAATCGAGAATTGTTTTCAGGGCCGGTGTTCCGGCTAATGCTGCGGCGACGCGTCCAATGAATTTGGCTTTCTCATATATGTTCATCCGCCCTGGCTCCGGATAGCAATCCACAGCGAAAACCCTATTTGGGAGGGTTTCAGCCAGATTACGTTCCCCAGTCGATTCCGGGACGTTTCTGTTTCCTTCGCTACCTGGGAAAGGGATTTTACATACTTTCAATTGTGGCACAACTAGTGTATTCCATTCCCGACTGTAATCAACTGACTCTAACTATAATCGAAAGAAAGAGATAGGTTTCTTACTTTCACCGGATAGATTGGCGGAATCGTCGATGTGGATGGACCCTTCGATGTGGATGGACCCTCATCGTCGTTCTCGACGGATTTCGAGCGCCGGATGTTGTCCTTTACAGCGACTGCCTCCTTCGCAATATCGTCTCCTCGGTTACCGGTTGATTCCCGAGGGAGCATTACGGAATCTTCCTCATGTGGGTATTCGAATTCACAATTGATCCGTTGCCGCAATCCTTCGTGATTCTCCAATTTACCTCTCTGTAAGAAGCAAGGGAATAGTTGAAGACCAGATCTGACTACGGTGGTTTCTCGAAAAGTTACTACATTTACATGGGGACGGTTATGATAGAAAATCAAGTGACGGTTCGATTGGATCCGGTTTGGTTGGTCTTGCGTCGCATATATAATAAATGCATTTAAAAAATTCGTTAATAATGGGATAATTGCCGCGGAGGGGGGTTATGACACGTGGACAAGCGGTAGTATAATACTATTTTTGCAAACATCGCATGGACGAAGTATTTCCACGTCTGAGCTATTAATAAAATACAAATATAAACTCCGTAAATAAGCACAGATCTGGGAAACAACAGTTGAGATCTAGAGACATCGACTCTCTGCGAATATCTCGAAGATGACATCTACATACATTTGCGATTCCTTTGTTGGGGATCTACCAGACGACCTTCTCTCCAAAATCATCGAGATATGTGGAAGGGAGTCCTACGCATTCCTCGCCTCCTTTGTACGGGCGGGTCCGAGATCTAAGAAGCTTGTGTACTCTACCAATGTTCTCCGAGCATGCAATTTAAGCCCCCTTTTCTTCGAAGCGCGCCAGGTGGATGCTTTGGGAAAACGGAAGGGCACGCCGCTTCTTCGAAGCATGTCTACGGGAGGGGAATCCGCAAGCCATATACTACGATTCGCTAGACCGCCTTGTCAACGGAGGCGATTTTCATGGCTGCGTTAACGGCTGTCTTCTATCGCCGGTAGATCCCCGATGGCCTCCCTAACAGCCGCAATTTTTTTTGTTTGCAAAGGTGAGACGAAAAAGGCGAGTGAGATGTTTCAGATGTTCATTAAACTTTCAGGAGTTTCCCTCGAGGACCCTCGGGCTCAACAGTTTGGTGATGAGATCGTGCGTAACATTTTCCGCTGCGAACCCCACATATACCCAGGATCGCACCTGAATCACTTTCATATCCCGACGACGACTTCATCAAGCTGCCGGAGTGCGCGGGTGAACATGTCTTCCAGCATGAATGCAGCAACTGCTACATGTACGGCCTTGCGTTTCGCGTGTGTTTATTCATCACTTTCGGTTAGTGGTTCATCATCATGGAAATAGGTCATATTAGTGGCTAAGTCTTTTGCCTCTACCTTGTATTCATGGCTTATTTCAGATGTTGACGGGCAAGTTGTTTCGTACACCAGTTTATGTTTCAGTTTTATGTATCGTACACCAGTTGTTTCATCCATTTGGGTTTTGGTCGGCGGAGTTTACCGTCTACTAAAACTCCAATTTGCCTAATTTACTATATTTGCACCGTTGTCTAACAAACGTACACCTTTGCAAAACCAGTTTCATGTAAACGTTGACCAACCATTCAGAGACCGTAAACCAACGGGACACGCTATTCAATAAGTAAGGCCTAGTAAGTAATCCGACGACATCATAGTTTTAGCAAAACGAACACATAAACAACCAAATGAAATGTTACCTTACAATAGAAATCGTTATCATCCCGTCACAAAATGCAACAGAGAAATGCAAAATGCCAAATGCAAAATGCAACAGAAAGGGTATGCGAACTTGATAGTGTCTTCGGGGCGCATTAATGTTACCGCCGAGAAGGGTCCTTTCTTCTCCTCAGTCGAGTGGTTCCTTGCACGACCTCCGGTTATGCCCGCCTTTGTGGCATATACTACACTTGTTGTGTTTCTTCTTTTTCGCCGTACCCTAAAACCGTTTACAAAAATAGGGTTAGACAATGGCCAATATTGCATGACAACAAAATTTAATGTCCAGCAGTTATGGTGCTTACGCCTTCCGGAACCGGGTATTCACCAGCGGACCTTTTCCTTTTCTTCGCTGGCCTTCCAGGAGGTCGCTTCAACTTCGGGAACATGGTCTCCGGTAGGTCGAGAATATACTGGGGAACATCAACATTGTCTGGGTCAGGGATGGGGAATGTGATACATGATATTGAGGATAACCATGTTGGCTTCTTGTGAATGTCGTCCACCAACGATTTGTAGGGCACGTTCACCTGTGGCATCAGCAATTGCGTGCCGACATGGTATTCTAAGACACTGAAATTCGAGGCATGTACACGTCCTTTTCTGGAGATCCACAGAGTAGGGTTCTCCGGATGCACCCACTACCTCGAAAGTCCACGCACCAACTCGCACAGCCGGCAATCCTGCGGATTGCTCCATATTTAACGACAGCTCCTTATCCACTTCCTCTGGTATGTCGCCATGCATTTTCTCTATTTTCTGTCTCCTGCTCTCAAACCATCTGCACAGCATTGTTCGAATGAATTCAAACAAGGCGACGATAGGGCTCTCCCTCGCAGGGAGTAATGCGGCGTTGAGGGCTTCTGCAATGTTGCTAGACATCAAATTATATCTGTTTCCGGGAAAATAAGCCCGTGTCCACTGTGAAACTTCAATTTTCTCCATGTACCTCCAACATGCTATATCCACCTCCTTCAGCATACGTAATACTTCTTGAATTTGGCCACCGTAAAAGCCTCTCCAGCCTGTTGGACTAGCGCTCTCTGATGTCTACGATGGTAGTGGTCGTCGACGTTCCTTGTCAGGTGGGTAAGGCATGTTCCGTGGTGGGAATTTGGAAACCATTTCCGTATCGCGCTCTTGATTGATGGGCTTCTATCAGAAATTATCGCCAGTTCAGAACTGTCGTCAATGATATCACCTAACTTCTCGAAAAACCAAGAGCAGGACAGGTCGTTTTCGCTATCAACCACGGCAAACGCTATAGGGAATACTTGAAAATTGGCGTCCTGACCGCTGGCCGTCAAGAGACATCCCCTGTACTTCCCAAACATATGAGTTCCATCCACGACGAGAATTTTCCTCAAGTGCTTCCATCCATCCACGCATGCCTTCAGCGCCATAAACGCATACTTAAACCTTGTTGCACCCTTTTCATCAACCTCGGTATGTAGATGTGTAATGCTCCCTGGATTTGCACACTTCAGTAAGTATAGGTACAGTGGTAGCAACTTGTAGGAGCTTTCCTCTGTTCCATGCGCAGATGCAATTGCCAATTCTTTCGCTTTCCAGCATTTCCAGTAAGAGGCATTAATGTGATGCTCTCTCAGAATCGAGTACGGTAAATCCTTAGGACGTGGCCCGACAGTAGTTTCGTACTTGGTTCTCAGAAGTGCTGCTATCACCTTCGACGATGCGTGCTTAGAGAACGTCCGTCGGCTGTCCGCGTCGCAAGTATGTTTGAGATTCGCCTTTCTGACATCATACATTTGCGATTTCCCAAGATTACCTGCGGTTACTCTCCAATCACACCGCGATTAATGCAAGTGGCGACAGTATAGCACTTTTCATGCCGATGATATTTAAACCTAAACATCTTCTTCAGGGCGTGTATAGCAAGCGTTATTTTGAAATGCTCTTTGTTTTTGAACAACCTACCAATGTAGATGGAACCATCCTCGTATGTCAGATCAATTTCGGCCAACCTCAACGAGTCGCTTGCCATATCGTTGTAAATAGGACCGATATCTTCATAACCATAATGATCAACCATCCGAAGCCCTTTCCTCAATCCAATCACTTCGTCAATTTTCGGTAAACCTGCGTCGATGCCAGAACAACGATTAGGAGCTGGATCCGTAAATTCCTCGCCAACATTGTAGTGCATAGCGTCGGCCAGTTTCCTTCTCGTGTTCTCCTTCTGTGGAGGGGTTTCGAGAAATATATTTCCTCATGACTCCCTAAAGGGTCGGCAAGCAGAGCAGCCATTACGGACGTTTGATCATCTAAAGCGGCCGGGTCCATCATTACATCCTTACCAACCAAATATGGTTCCTTCGTCTTCGAAGGAGTAGTAAGGGAAAGTGTACGCTCCGCTAGATGGCATCCGGATTAACTATCGGAGGTGTTACATTAGTCGGCGTTTGATGCGCCTTGTCTTCGGTATTATGAAAATTAAAATCTTCAATTACTCCTTCCGAAGGTGCGGATTTCCCGCTTCTCGGTAAACTTTGATACCTCGACGAAAAATGTGGTGGCTCATCCACAAAATCATCATCGTCAGCCGATCTCTTCCCGTCATTTCTGACAAACTGGTCCCAACGGTCCCAATCGTACTCAACTCCATCGCTGTGCCACGGCTCATCATCGTCATCGTCTGGTCCATCAGTATCTCCGTCTCCTTCATTGTCAGAACCATAGTCATCTTCTTCATCATCTTCGTCTTCATCTTCCTCGTCATCCTCGGTATCTTCAACCTCTTCCTCTTCGTTCTCCTCTTTCTCTTTCTCATCCACGCCTTCCACTACGACCTCTTCTGACGGTCCTTTCTCTTTCTCATCCACGCCTTCCACTACGACCTCTTCTGACGGTCCTTTCGCAGTTTGAACTTGAACGCCTTTCCCTGTTTTGCTCCTGCTATCAATCCCACGCACTCCGGGGGTTTCAACTGCGGTCATCTTAGCCTTTCTTTCCATATCCGCCTCAAATGCCTCTGCGTCTCTAACGATGATTTCCTCTACGGTCAATTCCCTTTCAACCCCGACTCCATTTGCAGAACATTCTTCGCCACCTCGCTTTCCTTCGCTTATTGGTGGGCAATCTCTTCTCCTCATTGACTTAGCCTTTCTTTCCATATCCGCCTCAAATGCCTCTGCGTCTCTAACGATGATTTCCTCTACGGTCAATTCCCTTTCAACCCCAACTCCATTTGCAGAACATTCTTCGCCACCTCGCTTTCCTTCGCTTATCTGTGGGCAATCTCTTCTCCTCATTGACTTAGCCTTTCTTTCCATATCCGCCTCAAAAGCCTCTGCGTCTCTAACGATGATTTCATCTACGGTCAGTTCCATTTCAACCCCAACTCCATTTGCAGAACGTTCTGCGCCAACTCTCTTTCCTTCGCTTATCTGTGGGCAATCTCTTCTCCTCATTATTTCGGCTGCAATACCTTCCTTTGGACCCAAAATAACCAATGACTCTCCGACTCTTTCCCTAACTGTGACGAAAATGTTGACAGACTTATCTGCCGAATGAAGGGCCTTCAAAACTCTAACGTCTTTGTCGCAGACGATTTGGACAGGTTGTGTCCCTTTACCATTCAGCTCGGCAATAGGATCTTCAATCCAATACGACAGCTCTATAGAAACGGGAGATGCCTGAAATCCGTACAACAGAGCGACTCTCGATCGAAGCACGTCAACTGACCCGATGGAAGACAACTTTATACTTCTCCCCATTCTCGACAGATCTATCTTGAAATCCCATTGGCCGTTCCAGTACAGTATCCACCGGCCAATAATTACGACAATGGTTCCGTCGTTGTTACCTGTGTACTCGGCTATTAATCACCACATTTATCCTACAGAAGGTGTACACAGTAAGAACTAATAATTTACCTGCGTCTTCGTCCGATTCCTCGAATTTTGCCATCGCCGCACTAGGGCCAATCATTTCTGCTCCAACGCGTACGAGAGCTCCAGAGGGTTTATGTCTACCTTCGTTTCCTGCTAATTGATAAAGTTCATCACTGAACACTTTACTTTCTAAATAAAGAACGAACAATATTCGTCCGACCGACATGTGTCACACATATTAGCCACATCATATAAAATAGCTGTTGTTTCCCGCCATATCTGATAAATAGTGCGGACCAATGTTCGGCCCGTTAAGAAAAGAGAAAATATAGCCCACAGAGATTATGTTCGGGTATTTTTTATTTCACTTTATTTTGTCATTATTTATCCGTAAACCGAATGCGTAAACCGAGTGTTTAACCGCCTTAACTCATACCGTCCCCAACAACCATTAGGGAAACTAACCGGCACCAACCGGCGTTACTGAACCAGCGGAAACCAACAATGGTTCCCTACTCTAATCCGACCTTTGCGGTTTTACCGTGCCAATTCGATTGAAAACTTAGACCGTCTTCGGGGCATACTTCCGTCCGTGCGACTGCACCTGCGAACATGATTCCATCCCGATCTAATCAGCTCCGCTTTTGGGTTCATGATTCCACGCCTGTAATTACCCGATTCCGCTCCTTTCATTGCATCAAACTTCAATTTGTTCACCCTTTCCGTCAAACTACTCGCTTTTAAGTTTCAAACTACCCACTTTCTCTGAGACCGGATTCCGGGCCCATGCGTCGTCCACTCTCGGCTACACAGGCGCGTCAGCGCGTATGTTTGGGGGATGGGTCCACCTGGGACCACTTCTGCTTCTCTCTCATCGGTCTGTCTCTCTCCCACACACAGGGCGATTTCGGTCATGGAAGTATGAAAGTAACCTTCTCTCTCCTACTTTCCCAATTACAAAGTTGGCCCAACTTATTTCCTAATTCCAAACTTGAAACTACCCTATATGCAAACTATCCCTAAAAAGATTTGGTGTGGTAGGTTTAAGACATTTAAGTGCAACTCAGATTTTCGTGACTTTGGTTGATGATTACCTGATTTGATTGAATCCGAATAAAAACCTCAGGATTTTGGTTTCAATATTTTGAGAAGTACTTAATTTGATATTGTCTTTACGTTTTGGTTGAAAATTTCTCTATCATTTATTATTTAATCTAATAACTAAATTTTATTAAACTATTTTATACTCCCTCCATTTTTTAAAATGAATTTTCTAGACACTATTTGTTGTTTCATAAAGATAAATTTTCTACCTTTTTGATGCACTTTTTCAGTTTTTAAGGAACAATAATTGTGTTTATTAGATTTTTATTGATTTAAAATCATAAAAAGTTGTTTAATTGCAAAAATCTATACACTAATTATTGGAAATCAATTTTTTATTAATATATGTGAAAAGTCTAGAAAATTTATAAAAAAAAGGGAAAAAAATATTTGGTATTTATAACATATCCTCCAATCTAAGATATATTCATCGTTTTCTTATCTCAAAAATAGATTTTCTCTCATTTAACAGTTCCACGGACACCTCAACTCCATCAACGGGTATAATATTCATGAAATCCAATGGACTAATGCATTATATGTCCCAAATTTGGAATATCCATGGTGGCTGCACTCACGGCTCTTGCTAGTCCCACCCTGAGGGCTGAAGATTTGAGGACAGCCATGGTTTCTGCTCTTGGCTTTGGTAATAGCAAAGTCGTCACAGAAGAAGTCACGGTTCCCATTGTAGTCAGGGCAAGGTTGCGGCTGTCAAGACCCAGAAAGCCACGAGAACTGACCAAGTTGCGATTGTCGAAACCCAAAAAGCCCCGAGACTTGGCAAAGTGTGGAAGACTGAGCAAATGATTGCTGATTTGAGTGAAGCTGTTGACAAGTTTGGTGGTGTAAAGAAGGCAACATGAAAGAACGTCTTAGAGGAACTCGAGGACAAATACGAAAAGTTGGACTTTGTGAAGGTTAGTGGGAGAATCAAGAGGGAAAAGGATAAGCTTGTTAAGGAGGAGAAGCTTGCTAAGAAGGAGGAGAAGCTTGCTAAGAAGGATGTGGCTAAGGACAAATCAGGTGAAGCCAATGCCAAATCAGGTCGTAACGAAGCCTAATCAAGATGATGGAAGAGCTAATAGATATATTACTATAAATAAGACTCTTCTCTTCTTTTGTTTCCTTTTTAGTATATATCGGAGCTTTTGTTGCTGATGGGATATTATTAGTTTGCAAATTATTTTGGTGTCCCCAACTCTCTTTCAACATTAATTGCTTGTTTGGTTTGTTTACGGCTAGAAAGTTGGATGTTTCGAGTTATGAAATCACCACTAAGTTGTCAATTAAGATTTGTTTTCCTTTTCAACTGTCACAGCTTCAACAAGTAATATCTACTAACTAATGCTAGAGTTTAGCCCATGCTCAAATTTTTCACACAAATATAATTTTTGTTTTCGAGGAATTTTGAACCTAGAGGTATTCACAAACCTTACCTATCACTAGACCACATATGTTTGAGTGTAAGTTTTATGTTTTTTTCTCAAATAATCTTTTTGAGGATATTTCTCCATTTTCCTTAAAATCGGTTCAAGAGACCAAAAGTTATATTTAACAATGGGTCAATGATATGTTATTCACTTATTTGTAGTGATTTTGTGATTTTAAGATGAGATCAGTGAAATTATGTTATTCACTTTTTTGTAGTGATTTTAGATGATATCAGTGAAATTATTTGCTGGAAAAAAGGCCGTATATGAAATGACAAATAAAAAAGTGTATCTATTCTACCCAAAAAAAAGAGGCAAGTGTGCTTTTGCTTGAAAAAAATCTCAAATAACAGTTTTACGCATTTTTTGCGCAAAAAAAAAATAAAAAAAAAACAGTTTTACGCCTTTATCTTATATTTTCATTTACGTGTTTGAACCTGTTTAAACTTTAAAGTATCTAGTTAGCCGCCAATCGCAATTTTGTATAAAGGATTCTGATGCAATGCAACGAAAATCAAAACCATGAAATGTGGAGTCAGTCACATGTAGCAACAATCACTCGTCTTTATTATTTACGAGGCGCGCGATTCCTCAGGGCTCATTTCATTGACCAACTTTAATGCAACATGATTTTGCCAACATCTGTTCTTAATCATCCCCTACACTTTCACATTATTATTACTCCAAGGCAACCAAAACACAACTTTCATTTCAATGTGACTACCATTCTTGGAAATTTCAGACTCATTTTAACATTTTACTGTCTGAAATATTAAAACTCGTCTTAATGCCTACTCACAAGAGAAACCACTAAGTTTCTCATCTGAATAAGATTAAAGAAATAAAGCGAGGAAACCTAAACAAACTCTCATCTGAATAAAAACGTGAATATGAAATGAAAATAAAGAGAGACAGGTTTCAAGGAGAAGCAGAATGAGGTCGATCAAAGTGGAGAAGCTGTGCAGCACATTTGGGACAGTCCTCAACGAGCTTGGGGACCATGAAGTACATGAAACAAGCTTTGCATCCACCAACCACAAGCACATCTTCTTCTTCTTCATCATCATCTTCCTCTTTCTGATTCTCTCTTGATGATGGAGATGATCCTGATGAAGACTCTTCGCTGTCGTAATACGAGCTATCTTCTTCTGAGCACACAGTTCCATAAGATTCTCCACTGTCGTTATCTGCATTTATCATCACCTTCCTTGGATCCTCTTTCACTTTCATTCCGTTTTTCCAGTTTATGTAATAAATCTCTCCTGTCTAAACACACACACATAAAAAAACCCACCTCCAGATTTCAATCATAAAGTAGAGAAATTTAAACTCCTTTTGAATAAAGCTTGTGTTAGACAAAAAAGCATTGGTCCTAGATCTATATATAAGCAAATGACTATGTACTTTTATATGTATGTTTCTGGTAGTGGCCATTCATTTCTCATACATATATCATTGAACAAGAAAGAAAAGAAAAAGAACATTTGTTTGTTTGTTTAGAAAAATCATATCAGGGAGATGAAAGATTGGCTGAAAAAGCATCAAATAGCCTATCAATATTTCTTTTTGTTAAAATTTCTGCAAAAGATATAAAAGCCTGAAACCAAAAGCCCTATGAGCAAATGTTTCTACGGTCTCTGAAGCAATAAATGCAACACAAGGAAACAAGAAAAGCATTAATTAAAAAGATTTTTTTTCTCCCCCAATGTACAAGGAAGTATGCATTTAATGCAAACCAAAATACGAAAACGACACGAGTTCGAAGTTTCTGCAGTGATTAATTTAAACCTAGAAGTAGAGACCAATAGGAAAAAAAGAAAGAAAATAAGAATCTCATTTGTTTTTGTTGTACCTTGAGATCAAGACACTGTTCCCAGTGACAAGGAAGAGATAAGTGAGAATTGAGCTCCAATGTTCTGTCTGAGATCGGAGGAATATGCTCGTTGCTCTCTTCCATCGTCGACGACGATCTCTCAAACCCATCTCTCACTTTTCTTCTCCGATCACTCAGAGAGAAATTCTCCATCGATTTCTCCAGAGATTTCGTTATCGTCTCCATGTTTGGTGCCTTCATCTTTTTCCCCTTCAAAGACGCTCAGAAGAAGAAAGAAAGAATGAGAGGAACAAATTGAGTCAGAAAACAACAAAAAAACAGAGTGAGGGGTAGTTTCGGGAATTTATCAGGGGTTGGTTGAAAAATTCACGCGCCGGGAGAGGGAGAAGCGCGTGGGGATATTTGGGTAAGAGAGAAAGTGGACCCGTAACTGTCAGACACAAAGTGACTCTCGCACTTTTGTCTCAAGTCCGTGTTACCGAGTTAGTTGAAAACCGTATGAAACCATTCGGTACACGCGCGGTGTTAGGTGCGTGAGGGGTTAGCTTGCGCGTGTTGTATTGGTTTGAGAGGAAGAGAATAAAAGTTTAAATCTTGGGAAGGGTTAAAGTAGCAAACCTGAGAATTTTTTCTTTTTTTTTTTCAAGAAAGATGGAAAAACTCTGAAATTAAAATTGTAATTAACGTAGCTATCGAAAAGAATGCCGGAACTTACCTTTATTCTGTTATTTCGTTTTCTTTTTACCCTTGAAATCTTAGAAAATTACATGCATAAACACAAACCACATGGTAGTGTAGTACAATATATGAAATTCGATGATTTGTTACTTATATTAATGTCATGAAGCTTGAGGGCTGATTGATCAAAGAAAGGCGGCTTTTTACATTGACAAATATTGCATTTGACAATTAACATTGTTTGGTGCATACATGAAAACTCAATAACAAACAGGATAATATTTCCGGGAAAATATGACAATAAGTATTAACCTCAGAGAATGAAATGAATCTGGCCATGAGATGTTTATTTAAAATAGCCGAGCCTAATCATGCAATATGATGCGTGGAGCAAAATAATTGAAAAACAGATCTTTTTATTTTACAAAAATCAAAGTCAACCATATTATAAAAGAAAGTAAAGGCAAAATGTCAACATTTTAGCTAATAGACTAAAGTTTCTTTTTTCTTTAGCCGCAATTATTAAGTTTGTGAAAATTTTTAATCGTCGACGTCTCATATTTCAAATTTATAAAAATAACAAACTGATAAAAAAACATCACGTCAAAATGATCGAAAACCAAAATAAAAAGTCAAAACCATCGCCATGTTCCGACTTATCATTTTTAGTTTAAGAAAAAATACACAGAAATGAAAAAGATCATGAGAAAAGGAAGACAATAAATAAGTTTTTCTCACCCAAACTATTCAAGACCATGTGATATATTAGGCGCAAACACCAAAACATGATCTCTTTTGTATAGTGTGGTAAAATTAGGTACATGTAAGTATGTTAAGCGAAAAATAATAATAGCATAAAAAAATATGTATAACAGCTTGAACTAGCATAATAGCGGCTATTATCGAACTGGTAAAAAAACCTTTACCATGAGATGTCCATAGTACATGCGTACACACACACACATGCAAAGATAGCTAATTACCCCTTTCTATGTACAAAAATACAAAGGAGAAGATAGAGAAGGGAATTTATAAAATAAAGATAAAAAATTATTTACAGGAAGGGAATAAAGGTATTGTCTGGAGGAAAATGATGTATCCGTAAATTTGCTGAGGCAGAGAAAGAAAAAGAAGGAAAATAGTGAAGATAGTGAAAAAAGAGAAGTGCAAGGGAATCTGTCGGAAGTGTAGAAAGGGAAAGCGACGAACCAAGTCCAATCCAGTGTTGTTCTTTTTTCCCTAGAGCAAAGATTTTGCATTTACCGAATAATTATTTATTTTTTAATATGAATAGTGAGGTTTCTTATTATTAGTTGGAGTAAAATACAGAAAGAGAGACAATGGGGCCTGAGAAGGGAATCTCTGAGCAGAGACAAAGATGTTTCAGATCGATAAGACGTCAAAGTGTGTCTGTGACTCTGTATGTGTTGTGGGTCTCTTCTCTCCTCTCCTTTTTTATCGTAACCAAATACCATTTTCTGCATTCTTTTTGTTCGGATTTTTTTTTCAAGAACCCAATTGAAATACACGACTTGGATTGGTAAAATATTTATCCGTAAGAAGTATACCATTTTAATAATTACTACACAAACAATATTATTAACAGTGTATTGTAAGTGGTATTTTCTATTTTGTACTTTTATTTCTTACCATGACTTCTTACTTTTTGTCTCCTTTTTAGCTGTAGTTTACCGTTTTTTATTTTATTTTATTTTTGAAACTGGCCTACCATTTGTTTTTTGGCTTAAAAACTCTTTCGGTTTCGTGTCATCAGCTTGTTGTGTTTGTATCCTTCAAACAGCTTTTCTTAACCTTCTAGAAGCAAAGTTCACGAAAACGGTGGTATTTGTCACTTCAGAGTTCAAGGATCAGTAATTCGGTGATATATCATAAAAGCAAACGCAGATTTTACATCAATGAATCAAACCAAAAACTTAGAAGTACCAACTTTTAACTGAAGCAAATACTAGTACTAACTATCAAAAGGTCGTTGAATCGGTATGAAGAAGGTAAAGAGAGAAGAAACTCAAGACCTTAATTTGACAAGTTATGTGATTAAAAAATACCAAAATTCATTCGCAATTATTTATAAATGTTTGCCTCCCTTTTTTTGTTGCCATCATTCTCAAAACAAAACGGGATGAAATATATACATATCTGTACCTAGAGGGAATGCCTTCTTCTTCCTATATAGCTTTTAGGTAGCTACAAACATCTAACACCTTTAGGTTCTCCTCTGCAATTCACACATTAGAACGAATATCAGAACAATTACGGATTTTACACTTAAACGGAACAGTACAGAAACAAATCAGAAATTTCCACCTTCCTAATTTGCAATTGAAATCCTAGTCCCAAATGAGAGAGATGAATTTGTAATCAAAGATCAAAAGGAGTGTCAGAATTGATGGTTTACCTCTGGTTTGGACATTGTTAAATGGTCCGCACGCTCGGGAAGAGCCGATGGTGGTGGTTGGATCAATGCCATTGGGGTTAAAGGAGGCGAGGCAGTACCTAACTTACTAGTACCCAGGCTCGTCTTAGACATATCTAACTCTGCTGCTCTAAGGTTGCTAGTAGGTATAGAGAAGCTACGAGTGATTGGAGGTGGTATTGGGAGAGGAGATGCTGAATTTGAAATCGGAGCTTTCCTAAGCAATTCGCTCTTGGAAACCAAAGGAGCTGAATATCCAAATGCCCTAGAAGACTTAATGGAGCTGCTTGGTGGTGGTGGTCTAGGAAGCTCATGGAGCTCGCTTATCTTCGGGGTTGAGACAAAAGTAGGAGACGCAGTTGGAGACGATGACGACACTTTTGGTAACTTAGAAACTGAATTCCTTGGGATTGGACCCGAGTATAAGTGAGGTGTTGTAGAGAGAGGCTTGTTAGGTAAAGGCTTACTCGTTATTGGACCAGAGAAGGACCGTCTCTTGAGTGTCCCGAGACGAGAGTACAAGGGTCTGTCTACCAAAGGCGGAGGCAACCGGTTCTTGTTACTCTCTCTCAGGACTTGTTCTTTCAAGGCTGTCATTGATCTAGAAGAAACCTTTGCAGGTCCACGAGCTTCCAGTGGCGATGAGTACCAGATCTGTTTCGTAATCGCCTTTGAAGGATTAGATGAAGCCATGCTCTTGTTACCTGGGCTTGTAGTAGATGAAGGACTTCTTGCTGTTTCCATAGGTGTTGGCAATGCGTAAGTGCTGAATTTCCGCGTCAGAGATGATCGCATCCGTAACAGTTTCTCTGAAGGAGGAATTGTGTGGCTCTCGGCGAAAAGCGGTGCTGATTGGCTCCCTATCCTAACATCTCTTCTATAAGAAAGTGATTTCCTATAGTTTACTTCCGCAAATTCCTGTTCAACAAAATAAATGGATAAGACTGGTAACAAAGTCGAGCAAATTAAAATAATTTAGTGAGCATCCAGAGAATTTTTATGAGGCAATTCAGAGGAGATAGGTTTAAATGTAAGGCACGGCTGTTACCTGCGCAGTTTCTGGTCTTGTGACTAGTGGGAATGTGATTTCTGGCTGACCCAACTGCATGCATTAGACGAACATTTTTAATCGAAAACAGGTTGAAATAAGTAATAAGTGCCAAATTCAGATTACTCAAGACTGATAATTCTAACCATTTTCAACCGATTATACTCTAAATGACATTAGTCAACCCTAAAAGGAAGTGGTTTGGAAACAAAAGCAGAGTCATGTAGAGATATGCCATTTCTGCTGGTAAAGGAGTTTAAAATGGTTTCCTTGTTAAGCATTTACAATTTATCAACCTCATTATAGTTTCTTTGTTATAGTGGTCATTTTTAGGAGAAACATTGGCACATGGAGTATCACTATCCTATTAACGATCATCAAAACCACCAAAATAGATAAGCAGGAACTATCATCAGAAACGTAAACATATGAAACAATCACCTCTGAGGAGACAGCAGCTGAAGAATCCGCATCTTGGTCCTTGTCATTCACTCTATCTTCAAAACTCAACTCTCCATCATCATGCACCTCAGAACCATCGTCCTCGTTGTTTTCTATTTCGTCATCCCCATCATCATCTTCTAATCCGCTGAAATGGTAATCGATATGTTGCGACTCAGATACCATTTGTACATGCGGCTCTACTTCTTCAAGCGAAGTAAGAGCCTTCTTGAAAAAGCATAACTGCAGAAACACACCAGAAAAGGTAACATCAACATGGTGCTCGGGTGTGAAACAGAAGGACCAAAAACAGCTCAAGATGAAAACCTGTGCTGCATGGTGCCGTGCTGCCTGAGTCAAAAGACTACGTGTTTGCCCTTGTTTCAGGGATTTCAAACGGAAAACAAATAGAGTAGTCTCGTTATCATATTCTTCATGAGCTTCTTGTAGTTGCTGCGTCGTAAAAGTTTCTCCTTTCCCGCCCTTAGACCTCCCTTTCTCTCTCTGGCTTGCGAGCATGCCTTCATAAACATTCCTGAAAGGTAAAAAGCTCCATGATTAGAATACTTTTCGTCCACTAACATGAGAGGAAATTTAGATAAGAAGAGATCATTTAATAACTAAGGAATGCTATTCCCAATTAGAGACCAATCAATTCTCTGAATCATTCCTCAACAAAATTCACGTATCTCTACAAACTGAACAAATATAGGCATTCACCTTCAACATTAACTTTTTTTGTTTGTTTTCAATCATATTAAGATAATGAATGTCATATTTTAGTTTTCCGTCTCACTAGTAGGTATAGGTGTTTAGAGATGTAAAAAAAAAAAGGCAAGGCAAGGCAAGAACAACCTTTTCTCATCACAAAGCCGCTTCATTTCCTACATCACCATTAAAACACATTACAATCGTCACTTGAAAGGGCTAAATCAGCAAGCATACGAAACAACACTTAAAATCTCGCTCTGTCAGCATGGAAATTCATATCTACCCAGCAAGCGTGAGCAATTCTGACCATTGCCGAAAGAAAATAGATATAGATTCCAAATAAACAAACCTCAACTATGCGGAGTTCATTAAGAAGCGACTCCGAGGGGATTGTGATTGTTTGGAATATATGAGACCGCTGAATCAACAATATAAATAGTTAACTGATGTTTTGGTGGTTAGAGTGTTAGACAAAGGAAAACTAACTTGAAAATTATTAAATCAGGCTGTACCAGAACTCAAAAACTCACATATTTATCAACAAGTTTTTGCAGTTCGAACTGCAATTTTCCCAGCATAAGCAACACTCTACCTACATAAGAACAAGAGGAGCATAATGTTTCTTTTTCAGATGCACATTTATTTAAATCGAAGCAACAGAAAAGATAAATAATGTTATGTGAAGAATAATTGGAAAGTGGATAAATGCACAAACTGTCGGTTTCAAGTGTTTGAACATTAACAAGAAAGATATTGGTCTGTATTTAAGGAACTTTTCAAACTTACCACTTTCTTCATCATCATTTAGAGCAGTTTTCTCAAGAAGACAAGCACCTAGTTCTCGCAACGATTCAGAAAATTCTGCAAGCAAACGAAATCTGCAAACGATAAGATTACATCTTTATTAACAGGAAGATGCTTATCTCCATATATTGGGATGCAATAAATTACTTATACAGATAAAATTCAAGCACTAATGCTAAATTTCAATCAGCACAATGAGAATGCAACATTGCAAGTATCAGAGCTAAATTGAGGAATAAATCCAATTAAAAAACAAACACCAGTATCCCCTAGCAAGATCCATTCTGAAATCTAAATAGCAAAGTAATATGAATTTGTTGGTTACTTCTATTAAACCAAAGCAAAAGGAAATGATAGATTACCATATGCACTATTCGCAGTAGCAGCCGCAGCAGAGAGCAAGCTATCATAGCAATCTCTCATGTCTTCCACGTCCTGCAAAAACCACAGACGAACTACACATTGTGAGACCAGTTGGGGAGATTATAACATTTCAGTAATTTCATCCGTAAACCAGAGAACTCGAAAACCAAAGCACTCAAGTGAAGGAGATGATCTGATTTAATAGGGACACTCCAGATCCATCACCAACTAACACAGATACTTTTTCGTGAATTCGACATCTGAATCATCACCATTTCCTAAATCGTTGCCACTAAAGCTTAAATTGGCGGCTAATTCATGTAAAGAGACGAACATCCGACGAATAGAAGAGACATAGGATTTCGAGACGAGAAATTGAAGACAATCCAAATTCGAATTGGGGAGAGAGAGAGAGATAAGCACCTGAGAAGCCTGGGCCAGCTCGTCCTTCTGAACCAGAGCTCGAAGATCTCTCTGGTCTTTAGAATCATGCTTGTGAAGCACCCCTCGCAACCGTCGGAGAGAGGTTTTCATGGCCGGAAACCGCAAATTTCCGGCGAATCAAGGAATTCGGAAATGACGACGACGAAGAACGGGCCAAGTAGATGATCGCTTCGTCTCCTACCCCAACTACGGCATTTGAAGAACGTAAGAAACCTAATAATGTCAGGAAAAATCAAACCAGGGGAAAAAAAAAAAAAAATCAGAAGAAAAAAAAAGCGTTTGTTTAGAGGAAAAGGAAACTTGATCCTTGACTTCGTCGTCTCTTTGATTCTCTTTCGTCCTTTATTAAATTTTCTTTTCATATTAATTATTATTCTCGTTGATATTTACGTCAGCAAGTGTAATTAATGATGGCAGCACATGGAAATGCCTTGAGTTTATTGAACAGCTTACACCTTTAAAACACATGATTATTTATCAAACTGTAGCTAGTTTTGGGAGATTAATTTACAATCTAAATAGTTTTGAGCTTTTACTTTTTAATTTACAAAAAACCATTATGTACCATTTTTCATCTCTATATATATTTAGTAACGGTGTGAAATACCCCTTAACCTCATGGTTTAAGGGTTAATTAATGTTTTTACGGGTTCCAATCCTAACAAATACGATTTATCCTCAAGATTAATGAAGATAATATTACAGGAGATCTTCAGCGTGGAGCATGTGAAATCGGTCGGTCGCGAAATCTTAAAAGACGATAAAATTGTTTGTTGTGAAATTTTCGATGTAACCGTTCTCATAATCTATAATAAAATAATAAATTAGCATTAAACAATATTTAGCACCGATTTTTTAAATGATACGGGGTAGATAATCTACCAAAATTTGATAAAATCATACATTATGATGTTTTTCTTTCCTCTCCCGGATAGTATTACATTAGATTCATGTTGTTGAGGGCACGTTATTCTCAGGATGTTTCCAATGCTATAATATAACTAGTTTGATTAGATATACTTAGAGATAGTATTATCGAATATCAATATTATTGTTCTTCAAATTAAACAACTAGATGGTTAATCTTTGCCTAGCCAATGCAAGTTGGTGTTAAGTGAGGAATGAAGTTGAGATTATTGTTTAACGATCATCACCATGATAAATCACTTGGCAAAGCTAAAGAAACTTGTTCCCAAGTTTTTTATTTATAGAAACAAACAAAATTTATTTTCCCGACAACTAGTTTCTTCACGAGTGTCAGAGTCATTAGCAGATGTCTGAGTTAAAGCACTTGAGCAAACCGACGAAGACGCTGAAGAAGAACAAGAGCAACAACAACACGTAGGAGTCAAATTCAAATCGCAGCATTTTCTTTGCTTCACGTCATTTCTCATAAAGTCATAGAACACTGGACAAGCACTCTTGACGTCGACATTATCTTCTCTCTCTTCCTCCTTCTCTCTCTCATCTTCTTTCCTCTTGTTATTATTATTATTGCTCATCTTCTTCAAGAACACTCTGCAGAGAACCCAATTCCTCTTCTGTTCCTTTTTTTACCAAACAAACAAACAAGAACAGAGAGTTTTCAAATGTGAGCCCAATTTGTGAATGAATGATCGAGTTTCGTGAAAATCTTACAGATGATTCTTGTTCCGGATCGACAAGTCGATATTCATGAAGAATCCAGCTGGTTCTTGTCCCGTTCGGAGGTTTCCCTTTGTAAAAAACCAGAGTTTTCTTCATCCCCACAACAAGCTTCTTCTTCCCGATCTGCTTATCGATTCCGGTCGCTTTCCAATAACCCGAACCGGTCGACCGGTTAGACCGGTTTCCGTTTGGGTATTTAGCTTCCCTCATGCTAAAAAAATACCTCTCCGAATCACAATCACCTGGATCATACATACATACATACGCAAAACCATATAAAATTTGAAATTTAAATTAGAATGATACACACAAAAATGAGTTTAATTACCTGGTAAATCCCATGGATTGGCTTTACAGATATCGATTTCCGGTATAACAGAAGCTGGTAAAGGTAAACCGGTTACTTTTCGACGTAAATATTGAACCACTAGCTCTTCATCGGTTGGGTGAAATCGGAAACCAGGTGGTAATCTCAGTCCTCGGTTCTTAATTGAGCTGCGTTTCTCCATCGTTTTAAGGCTTTGTTTGAGGTGAGAGAAGAAGTTAAGAAAGAGATTATTGAAATTGAGAGGGAAAGTTTGGTTTATTATATAGCAATGGATGGGGATGAATATGGCTGTGTATCAATGTTCCTACTTTTTATATTTTGAGCCATTTCGTAATGAAATCGATTTGGTAGCATTACCATTTCCATAGTTTTGGACTTATATTCAATAAAAATATAAAGTGATTGTCTTTAATTATAAAAATTACTACCATCTATCGGATCCTTTATATTCTTGTTTGGCTACCATTTGTATGTCACCTATGAAAGAAAACCGATATCTTAATCATTTTCAATCGTTTGTAATCTTTTGAAGGTTTATCTACTCCTTGAATATCACACGAATACCATAAAATTGAAACTTGAAACACGTAAAACAATAAACAAACATGCATGCATACGAAATACACATTAGTACGTATTAACGATCGTTAATTAACAATCTTATTGGAGGATAATGTCATTTTATAGTTATATCCTGTTATTAATTTCGTATATGTGTTGTTACGACTTACGACTTGGGAGCAATCGTATGTAAAGATGCGTATGCAACTAAATTTCGATAAAATTGAATAAAGGCGATGTGATATTCTGGGGTCCATGAAAGAAACAAATGCCCTGCAGATTCCTCTACTCTCGGATCGTCCAATTATATTTCCCGATCCAGATAATAAATTACATAACCCCTGTGGTTTCTGTAAAACACATTAGCTTATGTGTATATTTCATTAATATGGGGTTCTCTTCTTTCTTTTTTAGTCAACCATTAATATGGGTTTTAAACAAACACGTTATCTGAATCAGTACTCTTACGTAAAACAGAAGAGAAAAGAAATTCCAAAACGGTTGGCTTTGTACAACAATAAATTAAAGGAGATGGAATTGAACTGATGTGCTTTTTCACGAAGTATTTCCATTTCGACGGAATATGTCCTAAAATTTGGCATATTGTTGTATTATAATTTTGTTCTTCTATTGACTGATTGTTTTATCTGATTTTGAAGCAATATAAGACCGCTAATCATTCTTTGACCGGTAATCCAGACTAAACAAATATGTAAGACGAAATATGGTTGCCACTTGCTATAAATTTAAAGAACAAAAGTGGTAGTGTTTGTAGAAGAAGAAGCTAAACAAGTAAAAGCTGCAATTAGGTAAATGCGTAATCGCATTTGAGAAATGTGGATAAGTTAATTAATAAATTAAAGGGCCCTTTTAGTTGCTTCTAAAACGACGGAGATTACCGCCCTTTTAATTGCCTTGTCCCACTAGAGATCTCTTCTCCATTATTTTCATCTTTTTTTGGTCTCACACACTCGTCCGTACACACCTCCCAATCTCACAAATGACGAAATTATTTTTCTAATAAAACTCTTAAGATTACGAATAAAAAACTTGTAGCAAGCCATACGAAAAAGAAAAATAATGTAATAGACGAATATAATAAATTTGCGCAAAACAACCATGACAAAACAGATAAATTTCTTTTTTTGTTGATGCCACTTTTTATTAGTGACAACATACGGTTAATGTTCGTTGAACCGTATGCGTATCGTAGAGAGAATACCAATGTGTTGGTTTTGAATGAAAAGTGGGGTCCAAGGAGGGAAAGTGGAGGGACCTTCAACAATGCCGGTTACGTGAGGAGAAGGTAAATGTCATGTCCATATAATAATAATACATTTGTGGATTTGTCGTCAACGAAATTCATATGGACTTCTTTTTCTTGTAGAGAATATAAATTTGATCTTGGATGCTTTTGTTGTATATATGTATATCTAAATGTTACGGTTTTTGGTTAGGATAGATAATTTGGGTTGTTGAGAAATTTAGGTAATAGTATGAATTTCATTCACTGCCATGAGAAATTCAAGAGCTAATGCATGGAGTAAACTAAAGTAAATAACTTATATCCTAATTTGCTCATCTAGTCTTATTAGTTATCGGTCTTTTAAACTCTATTGAGACAACCAATTCCTAATTTAAATTGCTACTAATCCAATTTTAGAAACTGAATTATCATTTCATTTGACTTGCATGATTATATGATAAAACCAACCAACACCTAGAATTTGTATATGGATGATGGGCTAAGTTTCTCTACCGGGTAAACATTTATATTTATGCTCTTCATTGCCAAATGTGTTGAGTCTTACAAGATCAAAGAGTCTGAGCGTTGATGTTTTTTTTGTTGTTTTTTTTTTTTTTTAATGTTAAGATTTTGTACCAAAAAAGGGGTTGCAAAAGATATACAACAGCTCAGAAAGAAAAGAGCTTACCTAAAAAACTTACTCTAACAAAAGGGAACGCGAGCACAAAACAAAGGATCAAGACGGATGAGAATACAACCAAAATAGGATTCTAGAAGAGAAGGTGATTGGTCCCTAGAGGGAAAGAGAGAAGCCGGTCCCTAATAGTGCGATCAACTGCAACCTTTAGAGCGTGCACCGGAGTTGTTGTTGTTGAGATCCTCGAGTTTCGCTCACGCCACAGAGCGTAGACTACCACTTGGAGGAGAAGCTTTAAGATAACCGTCATGTGCCATGAGGAAGATATTCGTGGTTGGAGCACCCAGTCCAAGATTTCCGAGAGGAGAAGTGGAGGAGATTAGCCGTAGATGGGCAAAGCGAACAAGTTCCACAGGGCCGCCGAGTAGGAGCATGAGAAGAAGAGATGGCCATGGGATTCTTTCTCAAGAGAGCATAGAGGGCAGATGGCTTGAACATTCATTCCCCACACTCGCAAACGATCACGCGTGGGTAGACGACTCAAGAAGACAAGCCACAGAGTGAAAGATGTCCTTGGTATGGTTTGATGGAACCAGACGACATCAGACCAAGGGACTGTCTGTGTTTTCTGCCACAGTTGTTCCCAGGTTCCTTTTGACGAGAAAGAAGGCAAGTAGTTGCCGGCTGCCGACCTCCACAAGAAAACATCCGGGCCTCTTTCCTCAGCCGGGATCGCCATTGTAGTCAGCAAAATCTGGAGGTTTTGGATAGTATCAGACCTAGCACTAGAGAGATACCAATTTCCTTCTCGAACCGCTTCCATAGGGTTGATGTTGTTATCGCTATGGACCCACTCTTTAATCGTAGCATGTATATATATGTTATAGAATATTTGAATAGATTTTGAACAAAAAAAAAAAAGAATATTTGAATAGATGTTTAAAAATGTTACAAAAGTTAGCTGAATTGATAAAAACGAAGATTAAAAATGTTATAAAATGTTTCAACATATCACAAGTCACAATGTTATAATGCTAGAACATTTGATTAAAATGTTATAAAATGATTTTAACTGATCACAAGTCACAATGTTATAATATTATAACACTTGATTAAAATGTTATAACATGTTTCAACAAATTACAAGTCACAATGTTATTAAAATAATTTCAACATATCACAAGTCACAATGTTATAATGTTAGAACATTTGATTAAAATGTTATAAAATGTTTCAACAGATCATAAAATGGACATTTGAAAATAATGTTGGAACAATTGATTAAAAATGTTATAAAATGTTTCAATAGATCACAAGTCACACAACTTGAGAGAGCAAGTTAAAAAATGTTAGCCCAATTGGAGACTTTCATGGCAAACTCTTCCGCAACTCTCTCAGTCAAGTCTTCTTCTTCGCTAGTATACTCATACATGTGAAAGAGTTTAGATATTTATACTTCAGCAATTCAGCAAATGATTGTAGTGTTGCCAATTGTCTCTCTGTAATACTTCTTTTCATCTACAAGGATAAGATTTTTAAACAACATTCTTGGATTAGCAATTGTAACCCTTTCCACGATATTATATGTCTCATATATATATAATACGACACTTTGATGTACTACAATCGTATTATGATCTCATATCGATCATCTTTGCGAAGCTCATTATATCGCTTAAACAACAACAATTACATAGTGCATAACAAGAATCTAATCAACATACTCTTTCTCTTTGATATATTGTAGTCACAATGTATCTACAAATTATGATGTATTCAATATCTAGCCCCTTCTGCAACAATGTCTGCAAAAGCCTACCACTGATGTACTCATTTTGGTTCGAAATGTGGTGAAATTGGGCGTTCTCATTTTCCCACACGAGATGGGTGTAATTGACAAATAGAAAATATTAGGGTTATTATCAGAAGATTCCGTAAAGTTGGGGCGTTATAAGTAAATTATTGACGATAGCCGTTTAAAGAGAAAAAGGAAATTTCCAACGCCAAGAGAGCGAAGAGCAATCATCAATCACACTATTAGAAGAATCTGATCTCACTTTTTTATTTATTTGTTCTCAGGCGAAAAAGGTACAAATTCTTCTCCTTCTCCGTTGTAGATCGGCCTTAGATTCGTCTTTCCTCGTCCGTTTATTTCCGTTGAATCGGTAGATCCATCGCATAGATCTCGAATCATCTCTTGTTTCTGTGTCTTCTCACGCTTGATCCGATTGAAATTTAGATATCTGCGTCGTTTCGATTGATGAAATTCGTCATCTTTTCGGTGCGGTTCTTTATTCTCTGTCTCTGTTTCAGCGTAATGGAGCTGATTTTAAGCAATATCTGCATGTACAAAGATTGTTGGCTGTTTGGATTTGACTACAAAATGATTAACATATTTGATTTGATAAATTCACAACCTTTTGGCTCTGCGTGTTTCATTTTCCATTTATTTCTCTTTGTTTGAACAAAATGATGATATCGTTTTTTTTTCTCTTCAGTTGAAAATGGAAGGGACTGTGTTCACGCCTTGTTTGGAAGGAATGAAGCATGTCAAGACTGAACATGGCGAGATGCTTACTAAGCCTTTTTTAGAGCTCTGCAAGACGATCTTGCCTGTTATAGGTAACAAAAGGCTGAAACTTTTGATACTTTCTGTTTGTGATTGTTCTCTGTTCTTCAACATCTTCTGATTGTTCACTGGTATTCTTAACATTACAAATGTCGTGTTTCCTATTTCATGAATTCTTCAGATAAGTTTGGAGCCGCTATGACTCTGGTGAAGTCTGACATTGGTGGTAACATATCGGTAAATATTCTCTTCTATTTCCCACAAATTTTGATGATCGAAGAGCACAAATCCATTTAGTATTCACAGTAAAAACCACTGATAAAAGTGCAACTCCATGGCCATGTTCTTGCTCTTCTTATATAGTAATGTGTACGTCGGATAGGCTACTGAAAATGTCTCGTGCTAGCGACATGAGCTCTGTGCATTGGGTTGTTATTGTCTCTAGTCTTTACAGTATGATAAATATTTGGCCCGTCTCTTGTGTAGAGGTTGGAGAAGAACTACTTATCTGATCCTGACAAGTACAAGTACTTGTACACCTTTGTTCAAGTTGAAATTGAGTCTAAGATAGCTAAAGGATCGTCTAGCTGTACCAATGGTCTTCTCTGGTTAACCAGGTAAACAAACAACATCGGCATACCTTTATTACGAAGAGAGAGTTGTTTCTCAGTTATTGAGTCTTTCAGGGCAATGGATTTCTTAACGGAGCTGTTCCGCAACTTGGTATCACATAAAGACTGGTCAATGTCACAAGCTTGTGGTGACTCTTACCAAAAAACACTCAAGAAATGGCATGGATGGCTCGCCAGCTCTAGCTTCTCTGTATGCGTCTTTATCTCCTTTCTCTGTTTGATCCTTCAAACCAATCTCATTTTGATTTTGCTGAGAAACTGTAAAACTGCTTTTATGAATCAGATGGCTTTAAAGCTTGCTCCGGATAGGAAGAAGTTCATGGATGTCATATCTGGTTCTGGTGATATTAATGCTGACATGGAAAGGTTTTGCTCTGAGTTTGGTCCGTTACTTCACGATATTCATAAGTTTCTGGTAAGCAAAACACCTTATAAGCTTTAAAATCATCATAGTTTCATCAGTTTTCATCACTATATTTGATTCGTTTGTTCTTCTTCTTGTTTTCTCTTTTTTGCAGGCTAGTGTCGGTATGGACGACATGAAAGCTTCTTGAGTCATCATTATATGGTTATCTCCGGTATCGAATCCGCTTTGCCGGAAACTTCTTCCGTTTTAATTTTTCTCGTCTTCGGATTCTAAAACTTCCCTTTTTTACCCGCCAGAGAAACAGAATAAATGTCTCATCGTTAGTGTGTTTGACAGTTTGTTATGAATATTGTGAACCTTTTGTTTTATTATTATCTGAAGAAATGTCTCAAATATGTTACATGGCTGATTTAAACAGAGAGCTGATACCATTTCCATATGTCAAAATCAAAAGGAATTTGATGATAACAAATATCTAAATCGTCCATTACAATCAGTAGAAAACAAAAATCAAAGACATATATTTTGAAATGTACAATGTTTATGAATACTATAGTATATGTTTTGGTGTGGTAATGTCTCCTTCTGTTCGACCCGGAAAATCCTCATTGACAACTTGTTTCCCATGGAGGGTTGTGATTAGCTCTACGTTGCCTCCATTACCATCAACAATCTAAATATAAAATTATATATTATCTGTAAGTTACAACTTTGGAAAATTTTCTAAATTTTCTTTTTTATCCTCTGTTAAAACAAAAAAACAAAACTTAGTGCTCTCCCTCTTCTTTCTCTTGGCTGATCTCAACCAATAACTCCTCGGGGGATCTTTTGATCCTTCTCTCTCCGGACTCTCTCCCTCTCTCTCTCTTCTTCAAAAATTTTCAACATTTTTTCTCGTCAAGACAAAATCCATGCGTTCAAGGTTTTTAGTCTTCTGATTTTTTGCTATGTTCTTTGTTTCTGCCTTTACTATCTTGTGTTGATTTGTTCTTCTTGCTTTTTTTTATGCAAGCTAGATTTGCGGGAGTTACAAAGCTGTAACGATCGTCAAATCTTGAACCAGAAAAAGGCTTGTCTCCGGCGTGTGGGTGGTACACACTAACCGGAATCAAACCTTCATAGAGAGATCAATGGCGACGACGATGAAAGGCCTTCTTAAGGGCCTTCGTTACATTACTCAGATTTTTGGTAAGTTTTCCACACAAAAAAAGACTCTCTGTTGCTTTCCTTGCGTCATAAGTCATGTGAATGTGATCATTTCTAATTGCAGACGAAGAGAAAGAGCAGGAGATGCAGATCGGATTTCCGACCGATGTAAAGCATGTTGCCCACATCGGCTCCGATGGTCCAGCCACAAGTACTCCAAGCTGGGTACGATCACACAAATCATACGCATTCTCATTCAAATCCAAACCTATCAGTACTCATTCATTATTTGGATAAAAAAAAACGCAGATGAATGACTTCAAACCTCAAGAACATGAGAAAGGTCAAGTCGTTTCCAGAGGCAATTCCAACAAATACAACCCTCAAGGTTAAACCTTTTTTCTTAAAAGTGTCAAAGCTTTGATTGATTGTTTCAGAGTTATTGACGTTTTATCTGAACAGGGATGAACCAAGGAGGAGCAGGGCTAAAAGAACTTCTTCCTCCGAGCACAAACGAGAAACCAAAACAGAAAACAAGGCGGAAACCTAACGGCGGCGGAAATGCAGCATCATCAGACGAACCAACAAAGCATTCAAGACATCACAGAAGCACAAACGGGTCGATGGACTCATCGAATGATCAAGAACCTTCGGTTCGTAGAAGGCGTGGTGGTATCCCGGTGCCAGACGCGGAAGTCTCTAACCATATTCCTGATGGCTCAGCTCCTCCGAGGAAGGCAACGTCGCGACCGAGGAAACTAAAAGGCTCATCAGTAGGAGGAGAAGGATCGATAAAGAAATCATCCAAAGGAAAACCCGAGAATTCAGTTGATATCTCTAACAATAGTATCTGAGATACATAAACGCAAAACACATGATATGTAATTTTTCTTTTCGGCCACTTGAATCTGAATGTGAGAGTTTGATTTCGTTTCTGCTTCAAGTCTTTTTCTTAAACCGCAACAGCAAGAGAAACAGTTTCTTGATTCAACTCGGTACTTACCAAAACGAGTAGCAAATGTACGAGTGCAAAAGGAATGTAAATACAATACAAACTCATCATCATCATCTACTTCTTGCGAAGATCTATGCCGGCTTTCTTGGCAACAGCATCGAGTCCGTTTTTCTCAATGGTCTTCAAGGCCTTTGTTGATAAACGGAGTTTGACGAAACGTTTCCCAGCTTCCCACCAGACTTTTTTGTACTGTAAGTTTACGAATTGCAGCTTCTTGGTCTTGTGGTTTGAGAAGGACACTTTGTTTGCTCTGTTTGCTTTCTTCCCAGTAAAAGGGCAGATCCTACCTGCAAAAAACAAAACAGAATAAAAAAAGAGGGGCAAATGTCTCAGAGTCATAGCGTATAATAATGATATCAGAAGCAAATTCAAGGATAAGCATGTAAACAACTTCATAAACTCAGCATTCAAAATCTAAAGCAAAACTCTGATTCAAGAAATTATGCAGCGGAAATTGAACAGTGATGATATCTGCTCTTACTTCCGTATCTCCAGCAAGACATAATTTCAACACAAAGCTACCCAGAAATTCGAAATTTTCAGATGAATAAAACTAAAATTTCGCAGCGAATGCATCCGGTTAAAGCGAAGAAAATAGGAAAAGGGGAAATTACGGGCGACGATTGGCTGAAGACCGGGGAAGGAAGGAACGGAGATACGGTTGATGACGTCACTGGGACCGTGAGAGATTCTAACGCCACTGAGCTGGGAGGTGAGAAATCCCAGCTCCGTTGAAGTCACCGTTGACTTGACGACAGACTTCGGTGATGAAGTCAGTCGTAGCCAAGCCCCTTGCGTCGCCATTGTCGTCATTTTTGGTTCTTCCTTGTTACTGCGCTTCCAGCGGATTGGATAAAGAAGGAGATTGGGTTCGTTTATTTATTTTGTAGACGACGCAGACCCTCTTGCTCATCCAGAAGGTTACATTAGCTGATTCCGGTTTTCGACAAATCGAAAATTCAATTCATCGGTCAATGTCTCGGACTATACCAAAACAAAATTTCGGTTTAAACATTCACTTCATAGATTCTCATTCTCGACCTGAACAAAAGTAAAGAGACAAAGGTGGTTATGAAAAAGAAAAACCAACCTGAATCAATTCCAACTATTACAAAAGATATACAGTAAAAACTCTATAAATTAATAATGTCTGGCATAAGATATTTTATTAATTTAACGAAATATTAATTTATCGAGAGATTATTGGATCAAAAACTTAATTTAAGACCATACAATTTTATTGATTTATCGAGTTATTAATTTATCGAGTATTAATTTATAGAGTTTCTACTGTATTTTTAAGAGGTTTCCAATTTTAGATGCTACGTATTCAGCTCTGAACCGAGCTTGAACCGGTATGTGGTCAAAATAAAAAGAATCAGAGACTAGTCCCTTTTTTTTTTTGTTCTGTGGGAGTTGGGATCAGGATTATTTACCCACTTGGGAACCTGATATGGTAAAGCTCTTTAGAAACGTATTCCGCTTTCACAGTCCGGTTTTCGTAGAGCCTTCCGTGTAACGAATGAGCTGCATCGCGTGTGGCTTCTGGTCTTCCGTACTCGATGAAGATACAACCTGGCTCAAACACATCTTTGGGATCTTGTTCTTCCTCTTTCTTGTCGCTAATATCCCATCTTGTTTTCACAGCACGGGCTGATACTACTTCTTCTTGCGGATTCTCTGCCTCAACCTGTGCAAGAGCCGATCCTACTTCTTTCGGAATCTCTGCTTCCTCTTCCTGTGCACTTTCCCCAACAATCTTTTCACAATGGTCTGATTCAGTGGAGTCACCATCTTCATTTGCTCCTGTATTTGTCTCAACGGCAGCATTTGAGCTCGGCTCACATAAATTGTCTTCACTTGTCAAACTGTCTTGCACAACCTCTCCAGGATCTACATTGTCTGCAATAGCATCAGTTTTCTTGACTTCCTCGTTTTTCTCCTGAATCACTGACACATTCATATCTTTAGAATCAGTTGATTCTAGGCTCATCAGTGCATTTGTTTCGGAACCAGTGATATCTTTGCTCTGGTGTTCCACCATGTTTATCGACTTGATAACCCCAAACCTGCATCACAACAAGACGCAGAGGTCCCGTTTTCTTATCCTACTAGCTTTTAAAAGTTCGATGAACTCATGGAGAAGAATAGTTTCAGAGCTTAACCTGGCACATTCTAACCGTACATCCTCCAGAATTTCTTTCAATTCTTGTTCTGAAAGCAATGGGAGATCTTCCGGGTCAACCTATCAAATAAGAGAGAACGGAATTTTAATAATAGCCTCAAATCGTTTAAGTTTGGCAACATTCACATTAAAAAAGGATAATGGTCTTCTCCTTACCACATTCTTAAGCTTCAGAATATGCTTAGGCTTGCCAAGAAGTGGTTTTGCATGCTCAGGTATCCCATAGAATGGTGGTTTCTCATTCACCTGCAACACATATTATATATCACACCACTCTCACCAGTAACTAATTTTCATGTCACCCCTAGAAACAGAACATGAACTAAAAAGATCAAGGATGGGTCACTGAATTACCGTTACGGATGATGCATCAGGAAGTGCACAAACGGCAGTTATTACACTGCCACCTAGCTTCATACCGTTAAGGCCAGCACAAGCTTTGAGGGTAATAGATCCGTCAGTGTACTGAGGTATATAATTGTAACAGGAGTTAAGACATGCAGGTATTTGGAACTACAGTCACTCACCAGAAAATATGAAACAATCACAATAGCTACATCAAGTTGGCTGAGGATGATCAACTTCGGGGCACAAATAATAAACACTATCCACAGAGAAACCAAAATAAAAGCATCTCCTTACCTCTACGAAAGCGCTTCGCTGATTGAGGTCATTGTTAATCACGAACCGGTATGCTTTCAGAGGTCCAAAGACGCTGACAATCTCCATTAGCTGAAAAGGCAGCAAAAAGGAATCAGACAATCCTTCAATGTGAAACGGTAGACAATTTATATTGAAAGGAAAAATGAGAACCAATTAGAAATCGAATGTGTCAAAAGTTTTCAACGAGCATACCATTTCCGATGAAATTACTTTTGGAAATCCACCAATAAAGATCTGAAACAAGTACAACAGAATCAACAGCAAGCTTGACAGAAAAATGATAATAACAGCAAGCAACTAGACTATTCAAAAACAGATTAACGCTTTCAACATTATCCACCACAAAGATGCCGCAGATGGAGAGAGAATTGCAGTTCTATTCTCAGTGTGTCTCGGTTTAAGATTATAGTAAGTGGTCTGACGTTTGGCTACCAATATCTACAAGCTTTCAATCATGCTCCCTCCTAATACCAGCCAAAGTTACAAGAAAGTTGATACGCATATTTCTATTCCTACGTTCTTAACTCTTGACGATATTAAAATGCTTCATTTTAAACTACTACAAGTACAAACGAATTAAACAGGAACTTGTATAAAAGTTGTCAGCATTGAAAAACGTGCAGTAATTTCCAAAATATGCCTCAAACAGTGGAAAGGACCAGGTAAATTAGATATACCTATGTTTTGGTCTCTAGAGCATAGTTTACAAATTACAGTTGAATCAAAACTATGTGCACAAACTCAAAATTTGATCTGAACTATATAGTTATTTTACACAGGAAATATGTTTAGAGATATTATAAAAGATACTCTACACTCATTTTCAATATAAAAAGATTTTACCCACTGTCAAACGAAGCAAATTGGGGGCATCAATTTCTACCTTGTTCGATGAGTCCTCCACATCGTCACTAAGTGCATTTGTGGTTGGCTCCTTTTTCTCCAATTCACCGCTCTGCATGAAAATAGCAACCGTCTGTAACCCTGCTTCATGGATGGTAAGCATAACATAGCTCAGAAATCATAACAACAAACATGGTACTGGTCTACATAGCCAAATAAAAGGATAAAGTCCACAGCCTTGATAATCAGTCATTTGTCATAGACTTTCCTACAACTACTCAGCAATTTTATAGCTCGACCAAAAATCCTCGGACTGTTCCTTCTTGTCAGGGCTCCACATCTCATTAATAATGGCTATAGGCGAAAGGTCAATTCTACGAATCTTTTACGATTTAGAAGAAAGTTGATCATAAGCAATGGAACAAGGATCCATTCAAGAGAAGGTGGTAAGAGTTTTAGGCATGAATGTACTTCTTAGGAGCTATATCACGAAAGCTTAGAGATAACAGAAAGCAGTAAGTATATGATTTTGCTACGAAATGAAATGCAGAAATTAACCAATCAGATAAAGGAAACAATAGAAAACGAGTATCCTAGGCGGCCTAAAACTGCCTATGCAAATTATGTGCATATTTTGACAACCACGTTCACTTCAGAGAAGTACAAAGATAAAACAGATTGATATGGTATCATATGATACCAAAACTTCAAACAAAAGGAACAAAGAACACAGTAACGGTAAACCAAAATTCACACAGATATCATATCGATGCTCTGTATAAATTCCCCAAATCCCAAAAGAGAGAAGGTGGAAGAAACTTGAAACACAACAAACTCGTCACTACACCTGGGAGTCTTCTTATTTAGCAGACAGCTTCATCACCCTCCTGAATTTGAATTATGACATACCCAACATAAACACCCTATTTAAGAGATTCCAACACACGACAGTCAGAATACGGTTTCACATGTGGCTTGAAAACATTATTATTTCAGGTGCAGAAATCCGTAAACTACAGTTAATCTTAGTGCCGCCTACAGTTAAAAATCACTTTTGACTTCACAACTCAGCTAAAAAATCATGTGATGGGCCCCGAGTAATCACAGTAAGAAATTCATAAATTCGTTTTTTTTAACCATGATAGAATTTACATCAATGATGCCACTTTTCTATTCTCAGAGGCTCATCATTGGGAAAAAAAGGGCTAAGGTTTAACCTTTCAGAACTAATCCAAAGCATATTTTTTCCACTAATTTTGCCTACAGTTGTAAGATCAGCATATGAGGTTTATCAACTGTCTTGCATTCATTAAAATCTAAAGTTACATAGTTTATAAACAAGTGGCATGATGCTTCCATCAAATTGCTTTCAAAGATAGGGCTATGACATTTTAAGCAGTGGCACAGTTATGACATCAGAGACTGAATCATGCATGAATGGGTGATAAATAAAAATAAGTCTCCTAATTTTTCTGATATAAATCAAGATGCTTCAACAGAAGATATCACGTAAGGAAAACTTGGATTGACAGCACCATGCTTATGTGCTCTACATTATTGGTCCATATGTTTTATTAAGTTTCGTACGTCTGTCTACTTTGAATCTCTATATGCATCAAAGGGGAATGATGATGCTCTCTACTCGTGAATAATGTAACATAGACTTACACCAGACAAAGGTCATATTTCACAATAATTGAATGCCAACTTGGCTTCAAACCTCAATCACTAAAAAGAAGTCATACAGGTCTCAGTATCAGGTTATCAACTGAACTGAATGTGGAAACATTAACCATTGAATCTTACTGATGACAAATAAATATATGCAGTTACTTGAGCTAGCTTCCAAGATAAACCTGATGACTATTCAGTTGACATGTGGAGCAGAGGCAAGAGTTCAAGAGAAAGATAATGTACAGATTGTAATTCTTACTGTTGTCTCGACAAAGTCTTTAGGGCGTCGAATTTTGAGATTTGAACCTGCGAAGGAGCAGCCATCCAAGGAGAGTGCAGCAGAGGCATCCTGTGGTGTAAGGAACTCTACTAGCGCCTGACCTTTTTCCTTGTTGATCTGCATTTAGAGAACAACAAAAATACTATCTGGTGATATATTCCACAAACATAACAAGAGTCAATGGAATAAGTCATACTCAAGAAACCTACAATACAGCTAATACATGGTTCGCTTCCTTTTATGTGGTTGGAGCCTGAAGATAGCATATAGCCATTGAAGCATTCAATCAGAGACTTCTCAGAGGCTGAATCCGGCACATTATCTGCATAAAGTCTCCTCATACGCCTGGTGGATTCGGTCAGTTGAACAGGATCAACAAAAGTGGTCTGCCTTGCTGGCAGCGTCCTAAAAGGTGCCTCCATAAGTGGCTTTAAAAGCGTCAAAGAAGCCTCACTGATGGTAGGATATGCTTTCTGAGTTGCTGCTTGGAGACCAGAAAAAACTGAGCCCGGGAACATGTCAGCAGTTACAGTAGGTGTAAGATCCCATTTAGCACTTTTTTTCTCAGAAGAAAGGTTAGGTGGAGAAGCAGCCTTGGCAGAGGCCTCCTCCCTTCTTTTTCGTGGTGAATATCCACCAAGCTCACTTTTGGAAGAACTATACCGTTTAGACTTGTTATTCACTGTGCTTGCCACTTTGTTTTCATTATCATTAAAATGATGCTTTTCCGACCTATCTTTAACAGCATTTTCCGAGCGCTCCTCATGGTCTCTCTTATGACGCAGCGTAGCCTTTTCAGGGGATGACCTTTTCTGTCTATCATGCCCATGATCTCGACTTCTTGATCTCCTCCTTTTCTCTCTCACGTCGCGATGATGCGATTTTGGGTGTTCCCTTTTCTCCCGTCGCTCTGAAACTTCAACACTGTGCACTTTTCCTGGATCATGCCTCTGAGACGTATTCCTCTCCCGATTCTTCTTATGATCTCCATTTTGATTCTCTGTCTTGTTTTCATTGTTAGGTTTTATACTATTTTCATCATCTCGAGGTAGTTCTGCCACCACTAGACTTCTAAGACGCTTCCTACTACCAGATAAGTTTTCAAGAACACTCCCTGCTTGTTCGCCGCCTGTTTCCTGAGGATGAATCTGCTTTTCAATTGTCCTTACAGCAGAGCTTTCTCTTCTTGCCTTATTTTTTGTATCTATATGATGCCCGTCTTCCTTGTTCATCTTTTTATCTTGTCTTTCCTCCCTACAGCTAGAATTAGATTCTTCTTTCTTTCTTTGTCTATCCTCAGTCTGTTCTTTCACTAGTTTTGTTTCAGCCGTAGAACCCTCTCCCTCTGCCTTCCGTTTTCTATTTGCAGCAGGCTCCTCCTCTCTTTTTGGTTTATCTAGTTTTTCTTTTCTATAACTCTTTCTTGAACTTTCCTTAACAAGCCTCAGTTTCTCGGATCTATCATACACTTTTTCAGATTCATAATAGTTAGAAACCTTCTCAACGAGAGCTGCTCCCTCAGGATCCTCTTTTATCGGTTTTCCTTCTCTAGATCTAGAAATGGCGTCTTCTTTCTTTCTTGAACTGTCTTTAGCACGTTCTTCACGCCTCACTTTCGTTGATCTATCATGCCCTTTGTCAGACGCATGATAGTCAGAAACCTTCTCAACAAGATCGTTACGGTGTAACTGAGCTGCTCCAACAGGGTCCTTTCTCAATGGTTTATCTCGTCTTTCTTCCCTAGAAGTAGAAGTGGCATCTTCTCCCTTTCTTGAGCTGTCCTTAACACGTTCTTCATGCCTCAGTTTCTCGGATCTATCATACCCTTTTTTAGACTCATGATTATCTGGAACATTCTCAACAAGATCGTTACCCAGTAACTGAGCTGCTCCAACAGGGTCTTCTTTCATTGGTTTAACTAGTTTCCCTTCCCTAGAAATAATAGTGGCATCTTCTTTCTTTATTGAGCTGTCCTCGACACGTTCTTCACGCCTCAGTTTTTCAGACTCATGATAGTCAGGAACCTTCTCAACAAGATCGTTACCGAGTAACTGAGCTACAACCACAGGGTCCTCCTTAATCGGTTTGTCTAGTGTTTCTTCCCTAGAACTAGAAATGGCGTCTTCTTTCATTTTTGAAATGTCCATTAAACGTTCGTCACGCCTCAAATTCTCGGAAGTATTATACTCATGACAGTCAGAAACCTTCTCAACAAGATCATTGCTGAGTAACTGAGCTGCTCCCACAAGGTCCTCTGTCATTGGTTTATCTAGTCTTTCTTCTCTAGAACTAGAAACAGTGTCTTCTTTCTTTCTTGAACTGTTCTTAACTCGTTCTTCACGACTCACTTTCTTGGATCTATAAGACCCTTTGCCAGACTTATGATAGGCAGAAGCCTTCTCAACAAGATCGTCACCCAGTAACTTAGCTGCTCCTGCAGTTTCCCCCTCCACATTGACCAAGCACTCTTTCCTCTTCCTCCTTAGCATAATCTCCTCAACGCTTGTAGGTCTTGTTCGAGCAGCAGATCCTTCATTTTCAAGCGTCTCATGTCCATCAGGATTTTCATTTTGCTCGCTAACTTCATACATCCTGCCTGCTCAAGGAGAAAAAAGGCAGATTGTTTTTAAATGATAACCGTAACACTATTGGAAACTTCAAAATGAAATACATGCAGCCAAAAACAAAGAAACATCAACCGAGCAATGTGCTACCACAATAATGTTCTACTAGTTCATAGACTCACAATCACATTTAACAAGTTCCTAATCACCAGAAAATCGAGTGATAACCAGTTTAACAAAAATTTCCTTGTTTGTACATGAAACTATGGTTGCGCCTCTAAAATCCGAAACCATTTCCAAACTGGTGAACGATCAAATCACTAGTATGATCCGATTGGGTTTAATCGCATTAAGTAATCCACGACCTATAGAACACAGACGGAGCAGAGTATAAAAAAACCTCCAAAACCCAATTTGACGCCAATTAACCACGCAGACATTCGATTACTAGCAAGTTCTCAGCTATTATATGCTCATATGAACCCTAGATATGTCGAAAATGAAGAAGCAGTCGTGATTCTCTCGCGACCAATCCAACTATATACACCCAAAGAGAGAAGGCTACAAACAAAGCTTGACATGAGAGACAGAAATAGAACGGAAACGAAGCCGAGGAGAAGCGACGCACCTCCGGCAAATGAAATA